GGTCCAGTCACAAGTCAAGTCACAAGTCAAGTCACAAGTCACTTGGTCCAGTCACAAGTCAAGTCACTTGGTCACAGGGCAAGTCAAGTCACAAGTCTGATGAATATGGTGGCAAAACCTAAAGAGACAAAGCCATAAAATTTTTCGTTGGTGCGATTTTGTAATTGTGTATTCCTATGTGTATGAAAACTACATCCAAGTGTGGGTTAAGCATACATACTAAAAAGTTGTTTTTTTTATGTGTAACTTGTCCACCAGACTTATCCAGACATGCCAGAAAATCAAGGACAATGAGATTATCGTGGCGTGGCGGTCCCTCCCTCGGCCGACCAAACAGGCGGCCGAAGAGGCGACTACATTATACATGGCGGGACGAGTCCGTTTAGGGGCATAGTCGATCAGGCGCCAGAGCTAACGGCCACATACCTTGGAATAACTTCCATACTCTGTGAAGACGGTTGGCGAGGGGGCGAGAACCAGGGGGTTCGGTGTTCTGGCGAAATCCTCGGCACACGGACAAATTTACACTTCGCGCCATTTAATGATACACAGAAGTTCCCGGATATCCGACCGTGAGCACGAATACACGGCTAGCACGACTCAACTCTCATTTTGATGATCAACACTTCCTCCTAGCATTGATGATTCCTCTATGCTTCTAGAAAGGTTAATCCACTGGGGTAAGTGAATTCTTAATTCGTGAACTTGCCCTAAAACTGCCCCTTTCACTCTGACAACACTGGCAAGTAACGCGCAGCACGTGGACCTTTTACGCCCGCTCACCAGCCAGAGGGCGGTAACTAGACTAGCACTCTTAATCATCAGGAGGCGTCAGGCCACTAGACAACTCAACGTTATTTTTTGAATAATTATGGGATATAGAGAACCAAAGTGAATTGAGTACTGACGTGAATACGTCACGCGCACAATTAGTGTGTAAAAGGCATTAGCGCGAGAACCATAGCGCGAGAACCAACACGCGCACGTTCCCCATTCGTTTGCACTGCACTTTCTGGCTCACAATGACGTCACACTTCGGTATTCCGGTTCGTGACGTTAATGGCTGCATCCGAATCTGTTGTCTAGAGCTAGGTCTAGGTATTCGCTCCATTGGAAATGTGTGGAGACGTGTGGACAATAGACCTAGCCGTAGCTCTGGGAGCCTGTTTCGGGCACGGCCTTCTTCGTCACAAAAGCGGACGCGCCACAGGCTCCAATTGGACGATTGCAGAAGTTACCCAACCTCCCTAGTTTTACGGCTGCGACGCTGACATTTTTAGTTCACGCCCCCATGGAAAATCCAGGATCTGCCCCTGAGATTTGCCTCGAGAGGGGATTTAGCGCGAGTTGTGGGGAATTTAACAGGCGTACATTTCAGGCCTTTTCAGCATATAATACTGGCATACACCTGCATGTCAAGTACAAGTGCATACAATTTTCGTACACTCACTATTTCTAAAGGGAGATTAGTCCATTCGGCTAAGCGTTCGTATTGTGTGTTTGGGTTATGTATTCAGCAATATCAAGAACCAGAAGATTTTTTTCCACGTGAACAAAAACAGCTCAACAGGAGATTTCTGTGTAAAGCTAAACAAAAAAGCCTCAAAGCATCTGTCCCTGTTTTAATATATCTAGCGATCCAAAAGGGAGCCTGATCTCAAATCCATAGCAGTGAAAGTTCCAAACCAATGTGTGGCCACCGCAGCTCGACTCGGCCTGCACGAGAGCCGGGTGGGGTGAGGTAATCTGGGAAATCCTTCACACGGTGAAATGTGTCGTTCTTACGTTAAATTGTAATAGTGGGGCAGCATAGTGAACCTATTGTGCATTTTGTGATAAAAGCACCAAATCTGGCATGGAGATAGACTAACACAATATAAACAAATCTGGATATTGGGGCATCTCTGATTTTGCTCTTCACAGCTGTGGCAGCCATTTTTCAAAATGGCGGCCAAACTTTAAGATCAATGTACGGAACCAAGTAATCCAAAGGGCTTTGACTGCCTCAGTGGGGTAAATTGATCAATGGAAAGCTCTACAACACTATTTGTTGTGATTACAAACAGTAATTGGACATTAGAGGCTACCAAACAGCCACTTTAGTAGCCTAATATACAGCATTGGGATGAAAATTACCGTAGAGTCACGATTAGCTATCGTGTGCATTTGCAATGTTTACTTACTCATTGAATCTACTTTAAAGCATGTTAGTGAAGCTCAGAATCAGGGTTGTTTATTCATCATTGTTATCCACAACAAAGTGGTTGGAAAGTATCGAGTCCTCAAAGCATTTAACAGATCAGTCCACAGATAATATGACCGTACCATTCAATGTATTGGGTACAATTCAAAATAAACTATCGTGTCTCAGTTCTAATCAGAGTCGTAGACCTTAACAATTTTACATCAATGTGCTGTTACTTCAAAACTCTTTCATTCATCATTCAACTTGAGTTAATATACTCTCAGAAGTTTAAGCCAGCTGACTTCATTTTTGAGAAATCAAGCCTTAAAGTTCTGTGTAACAATTTTATTGATATTATACCAAATTGACTGACTGAAAGATTACAAATTAAAATTGTAATGGCACCAAACAAGAATTACACAAAATCTCAAATTGGCCAAAAATGGAGACTATTGTGCTGTTTTTTTCTAAAACAAACTCGGAGACATGAGTCGCTGGGGTTTTCCTAGATTGCATCACACATTGTTCTTACCGACTCCGACTTTAAATTTGCAAGTACTCGTCTCACTGCCAACGGTAGCGTTGCAGGTGACCTGTGTTTTGCCCAACGGGAACTTGTCGCCCGGACGGTGACTGCATGACACTTGGACGAGGTTACCACCAGGATCTTGGGCCTCGGGAAGGGGGAAGTTCACGGCTTGAGGAAGTTCTCCTGCCGCCGGCGTGATGTAGTTTCTACAACTCGTAAATGTCGGGGCTAAATAGCAGAGACACACAATGGCTTATCAACATTTTCTCAATTGAAGAAAAAATGACTTTCAAGTCAACGACGTTAGCAAATCGTGAAAGATTAGGCCCCCTATGTACGATAAGTTGAAAAGATGTTTTCAAAATCACGGAAGAGCCAAAATTTTACAATGTCGTCCCACAATAGGGGAGTTGAGGATTCCTGAAAATATTTTGTAGAGTCTTTTTTAGAAAAAAAATCACATTTTCCCACTGGACAGATCAAAACCTGCATATCCCTTCTTTGTGGTACCCAGTGGCGAATACGCCACTGGATACCACAAAGAAAAGATAGCATCTAATATACTTACGTTCTGCCTCAATCACAAACGCCATGGCGAGGACACACGCCACCAGCATGCAGGCTTTTCCTCTCAAAATGTCCATGTCCACAAATTTTGGAGGAAAATGAAGACGACAAATTCACACGAGTATGTCAAGTCCAGAGCCTGGCTGAAACCTGTTCATCGTGTTCCAAGACTGTTTCAATAACAGGCAATTACGTTTTATCCTGCTATGAAATACAAGAGTTCTGTGTATTGCGACTATGGGACTCTTTATGAAGTTCTTTAAGCATCGGGTATCCTGAAGTATTGACAAAATTATTACGCCAAGACTTCAACTGAAAAGGAAGCCAGCAGCAACCCTACCATCGGAGCGAGGCTATAGTAAAAAGTCACCCATTTAACTGGCCGCTCCCGTACTCTGATTCGCTTTTGCAACACTCATTTAGACATCAATTGAAACGCCAACTACGAGTGAGGGGGCCTCACCTAAACCCACCAGGTTTTAAGAATGTTTCAAGTGACAACCTGTTAATGTTTAACCTTTGGAAGACTGCGCCAAAAGGGGGTGCCGTATTCGCGGTTTCACAATTTGTACAAACAGAATCAATCTGCCAGTTGTAATACAGCTCTTGATCAAATAAAATGCAGTGTATTTTTTTGGATGGGAGAACATCGCAACCAGCTTGTCGAAAGATTAAAAAGTGGGTCGGGCATTATTCCGAGATATAAAAATGGTGCACCTGGTCGGTTACACTTCAGTGAAGCATTTTTTCTATGTCGCATAACCTGATTTCAAACGATTGGATATAAACAGCCAACCGATAAGTAATGGCTCCTTTCTGCATTCACGCAGTCAACTCGGTGCTCAATGGCGTAATTTCCTCTTTGTGTGATTAATAACTATAACTTTGGCTAATAAGTTAGAGTCATTCAATATCGTATCTTGGTTTTGAATTGGGTGGGGTTTCAAAATGAGGATTCTTTTCTGAAATGATTTTCCATTCTTAGTTTTCATCTGTAAAAACTCTCTCTTTGAGAGGGTGGTGCCAGCACCATTTCCTAAGTGTTAGCACTTTCAATTAAAAAAAAAAAGCGGCAACCTGTCTCGAGGTAAATGCCCCCGTCCCCTTTCCCCTGCTGGATACGACAGAAGTACCCAGTTATTAATCCACTTCTCAAGTAAGGACTACGCGTGATGTGTTCATTTCTACCCTCATTCTTTCTGCCCAGTGTTCGATTTGCTGTTGCTGTATATGGGCATCGAGGTCCCGACTTCAAAGTCTCGTGCGAAAAGGCTGCAGGTCAGCGATTTTCTAACTTGAACGGAACATTGAACTATCTTCCACATCCAGACCTTTTAAATTCCACTTTTTTGTTTATCTCTCTCTTTTAAACCATGGCAGTGCCGACACCCCGCTCGCGTGGTTTTTCATTATACGACCGTCTGGGGCTACACCATATACTTTCCTAAGGGAAAACTGTGTTATTGCCAATCTTGAAAGGAGACTAGTCTTCACGCCTCATGGAAGCTTCTCCTATAGTTGATGAAATATTGGACGTTACTTAATTCTCTTTGAAAAAATCCTCAAGAGCCACGATTGTAGCCTTTATTCAGGTCAACTTTCTCTAGCGTGGAAAGGCGGGAAGGTTTTGATGGCATTTAGCAACGGGAACTCCAATCAATATATTCAACTAATTGAGAAATCGCAACAGAAATCCTTGGGAATTGGTTACAGTGATACATTCGAGAATCGGCATTACTATTCTACCAAGGCTAGCCCCACATAATCGAAGGAAATACAAACTAAGGTTTATCACTGCATGGTCATCAATTGAAATTAACTGACCTGCACTTGTTATTTAACTGACAACAAATAGATCATTTTGATGATTTATCGTGTTCAGAACATGTTGAATTATAAGTCATCTTTTCTTCTAAAACGAAATCTTAATTAAGATTAACGATACTGAACACTTCAGAGTAGACACGCAATAGCGCGATAAGAAATTATTCAGAAAGAATTTGAATACAGATACCACTGAAATCACCTGTTGACAAGTGTCTTGTTCGTTAATATCTTTACAACCTGTCACTTTGAAAAGAAATACAAAACGACCGGAAAATGATTAATGGTTCCACCATGAAGTGTCGAAAAGAACGAACACCCCGGTGCGAATCATTTTGTTGGTTAATCTCTTGTTCAGCCCGTTGGTATAGAGTCGGGCCATGTCAACAGTGTATTATCGCAGGGTGCCCTGATTAATGTTTGAAGTCTTCAGTAGCAACCGGGAACGATGCGACTAAACAGCGATAATTTTGGCCTTTTTGTCTGTGGGAAGTGGATTTTCATAGCATACCTCAATAGATAAGGGAACGCCACCCAAAAGCTAATTGTGAACCGATGGACAACTCATTTTTTTTTTAAAGAGTTCGCTGCACTTCTTGTTACGGAGGAGGGCTATTGACTTTGGCTTGGGAAGCATGTAGGACGACACACAATGGACCACTTAATGGTTGCTTCTATTACCAAGCAAGCGGCTAGTTTGACGTCGAGATAATCGGTTTCAGATCGGTCAAAATTATCTAGAAAAAAAATGATGGCTCAATCAAATACAAACCACCACGGGATGGCTAATAAAACGGTCGTTGTCCATGTCATTTGCGCATACAAAACGTAGAGATTTATCAGATAATATCGGGTAATTAACTGTGAGGGATTTCTCGTCAGAAGAAAAAAACTGTAACGAGCACTGGAAATGCAGTAGTTATAGGGCGGAGGATATATGCATTGCCGCTTTAGACTTCTCTGTTATCGAGCTTTTTTTTCTGTTGACGTTTGAAATAAATTTGTATTTGCGGTGATATTTTGAAAAGGGCTCCAAACTTTTGTTTATAATTTTTCGGAATGACTAAATCACTAATAAAAAGCTGCTGGGAGTGCGCAATTTTACACTATTATGTTACTGGTATACCCAACATTTTGATTCCTGTAAATGACGATTTTGATACAAAATAAGGAATATTTTAATGTGAAATCTGTGATCAAACGAAACCATAGGCATACATTCCGTTATACTCATGATGGAAGAGGTAATGAGCTTCGTGGGGGAAGTCTATAAGGGGTGTTTGTTACCTGAAAACTTTTTTTAAAGAAAGAACAGAAAAGGCGAAAAATATTCCAAATCGCCATTTTCCTTGAAATTGCTTCAGAACTGACGCTGTTTACTGTTAATTGCTCAGTTTGTAAACTGCTGAGTTCCCCTCCCCCCGGAAAAAGCAACGACCCCTCCATGTCAACGTTTTACAGCGAAACAATTGCACTGCTTAAAACAAGAGCATTTTATCAATTATATCATACTTCCCTGCTGCCATATGGAACCAATAGGAAAAACAAAAAGAAAAGTTCCGCCTGCCCTCCCGCCGAAAATATGGCTCTTGGTCCGTCCTTGGCAAATTTCCTTCTTCCCTGTTGCTAGATCATATGTGAATACGACACTCACGTAACACACCCGAAATTACGACCCAAAACACTCAACGCTTGACGTCATTTCAAAATGGTACAAATTTTTTTTTCACTTTTAGTGACAGCTAGTCCAGGCCCGTAAGCAGGATTTTTAAACATGACAACTCATTAACTTGACGTTAAAGGGAGTTTCAAAAACGTGGATGTTCTCCATTTTTGGAGATGTTCTAAGGCAACAATCGCATATCCTGACAACGGACCAGAAATCATACAAAATCAAATTATTCTAATAATGTGATGAAAATATTCGCGAACTACGTGTCATTCTCTATAATTCAACAGCAAAAAATCTAAAACTAATCGAAATATACATGTGAATTTATTTTTGAGAAAGTTCAAAAACGAAAATACTTTAAAGTACATGACAAAATACTTCCAGAATGCTTGAATCATTTCAATAAAATTCAGGAAATATTAAAACTAGTTGTAAAAACATCAAGAGCCTCGGCATCTAGCATGGTTGCAATATTTGTTCGAATCCACAATAAAACTCAATTTGTAGTTTTGTTTTCCAGACCGAGACCGACTGGAATTCATGGTCGTATACCCTTCGCATACCCCCTTTCGCGGTTAGACACAAGATGGTTGAAGTAGAACAGTACCCGTGTAAACACTTGAAAAATCCGGTCAAACATTTGAAATGTCCCCTGTACAAACTGTGGGTGTAAACTGAACAGTACAGTGGCTTTGTTCGAATCGGCAGCTCTTATCACGAGAAGAAATCTGAGTAACACAATTTAACAAAATAAGGTGTATTCAAGGCTGAGGTATACGAGAGACGGAGGCGAACTGGTATTTACACATGACAGTAAAGGCAGTTGGATATTGGACATTAGACACTCGCATAAGTTTCTCCAGCGAATATCCAATTTTTTTTGGAGGGAAGGATATCGGTAGACCGACGACACAACACCTGGCTGCGGAGTGCCGAAGTTGGAAACAGATCTGATGGTTTGGCCGCAACAGCTGAGGCAGTCCGCATCTAATTGAAATGGCTGGGTTAATGTCCAACACCCTACCCCCTCAAAAATGGGATATTCGCCAGCGAATATAAATATGGCTGTCCAATGTCCAAGATTAAACTAACGTTAGTGTCATTATATACAAAGGAAACAAGTACAGTTTTCAAGGTAGCTGTTGTTGAATCGAATCGGATAAGACCAAATGGAAATGAAAGTTTTAATTTTATCCTAAATTGAGTTACTGTTAACTTAGTCTCAATTTCAAAGAGCTGCTTAGCAGAAATTATTGCTGGGCAAAATTCAGCACGGAGACTAGTCAGAAGACGTACACGTGGTATGACTTTTTGGCTGGTAACCTTTTTCTGGTTATCGCATTTTTTTGTGCTAAACAAATCTCTGTTAAGGCAGCTGCACGAATTGGCACCTGATAGAATGCACTGATAATTATTCCAGATGGAATTCCGCAAATAAAAATATCAATTTTGTAAATTTTACAAGTTCTTGATTATGAATTATATGGCACTGGGGAGAAAATACTGAACAAATTAACGGAAAAATTTGGGCACTTCATTGGGGAGGGAGCGGAAAGGATGTTCACCAAATGAAAAACAAGAATCCAAATTCAAAAACATTAGAATTGGTTGAGGTTATATCCTTGGCCGAGTCCTTCATGCTTAAAAGAAATGACAAAAATCCATGGATCGATTTTTTTTCAAAGTCATGCCTTCTTTCATTAGCATGACCCTCTGGTTTCGTGCCTGAAAATTACACGTAATTCTTGAGTCTGAGCGCTGACGTGGAATTCCATCCAATTGAAAAAAAGGAACTGGCCTGTTGGATGAACTGCAGAATAGTGTGAACTGCAGAATAGTGTGAACTGCAGAATAGTGCGAAACCAAACAGAAAGGGAAGATATATTTGGGCTCAATAAAGTTGAGCAGTACAATAGTTTTAAAATTTCTGTGTAGAATGCAAAACAACACGTAAGACATGCACGTTACCATCTAAACGTCCAATAACATTCCTATTCCATGCTTTTCATGCATATCACCCAGAGATGCGCGTAAAAATGAAGACAAAACGTGGAAACAAATCGTCGTTTTGAAAACCGAATTAGTGTTCAAACACTGTCCTTAAACCAAAGTGCAAAACTTATTACAGTGTGGTTTAGTGTAATTCGACCAGCAGAATGAGAAGCCATTACTGCGGTGGCACAAGGCTCGTGGACAGGTGGTACGCGCGCGTTACATGCCTCTTCGACCAATAGGGTGTCGTGATTTGCCAACTGCACGCGCGCGTCAAGCTGAAGAATGTGCGTGTGAGTGCGGTGCCACCACAGTTATGGCGTCTAATCGGACTAGTCTATATTCCTAAGTAGGCCTATATAATTAATTTGTTCTTCCTTTGATGGACCACCATGCAGTGGTTTCTTAAGTTGGCGATCCCAACCATTCAACAAGATACTGTCATCATCATAGTTCTTAAGTTTTGTATTATGCGGGGCTTTACATTATTCTCTAACCAGACGTATGCAGCTGGATTTTTTTGGGAAGACTGTCCTTTAAAAGTAGTCCCGTTCCTGAAAAGTAATGGAAATGAAGAACTAGATTAAAAATGGTGGAGCCAAAGCCGAGTTCCCACTGAAGGAACGTCTGCTATATGTCCATGTATGCCACCAAAATAGCCAGCCAATCAGAGCAGACTTTAATTGACTGGTCAGCTGTTGGGGGACCCTTAGATCAAAGACTTTAATTTTCATTCATTTGTTATTATCAGTGGAGTTTCCCTAATGGGAGCTAATTTTCCATTTGACTCTTCTCTGTCTGGTTCTCAAGTTTGACATAGCTTCAGTTTAAACCACGCCCCACTGCGCATAGAGTTAGATGGAATCTGGAACCATGGAACCAGAAGTTAACGTGCACTGAAGGGTTCATCCAATGGGAGCTTGTAATCAGGTGCACTTGCGCATATGTGATGAAGTCACTTACGAAGTCATTAACCTTGGATGAGATATGATAAACTAAAAAGAAAGCATTACGCTTTGAAAATAGAGAGCACTACTCACGGGCAAGTCATCGTTTCTGTTGACGGACAGCTGGGGACGTTGTATCTTGTACTGTTAGAATTCAAACACAAGACTACCATTTACGTTAATGTTTGTGTGCTAGTTTTAGCAGGGTATTCCGCTAATATTCCGCGTATTTCTGTTACATGTAATTTCTCGGAATAACAAACTTCTTTAAAAACCAAACAAGTAAACGAGCCTAACTTAAACAAAACATGTGGCAAACTGCTATACTGATACTGCGCAGAAAAGTAATCTCGGTATGCAGCATAAACCAAAGTGGTAAGAAGAGCCACCTAGGCAGAGACACGCTCCCCCCCTTTGGGATTCTTCCTTGAAGAAACTAATTTTAAGGCCGGTTTGTACTATACAGACGAATGTAAAAGCAAAACAAGTTTGACGTCACGGAAGATTTGCAAGTCGCTCGACTTGAAATGTGCTCGGCTTTTGCAACTTTGTAGCACGAATATTTGATCTCGTGTCACAAATTCCCGGTTGTGCTCGCTTTCGCGCAAATGAACCGGCCTTTACACGAATGATGAACACCATTTTGTTTTCCAGAGCTGGAATTAACAATCAGGCAGATACACTGCATGCGACTTCAGAAAAAACCACGAAGCAGGAGGGTCCAATCACAGGCCACTGAAGTTTAGTTGATCTTCGATTCGGATATGAGTTTGCACGCAGAATGTTTGTCTCAAGCACAGAGTCTCTAGTTTTTTTCAAGCTGCGTTTAACGTCTGAAAATTCAACTGAACCCACACATTCGCTTGAGAAACCGACGTGAATGTCGGATATCTACCTGTTCCCCCATTCACCGTACAAATCCGTTTGAATTTTGAACATTAGATAACAAACTTCAGTCATGGAAGCTATCTTACAACGAACGACAAGAAGCCGTTTACTACAGCACTTGGGAGGTAACTACGTCATTACTGAAGTACTCTGTTGATGATTAAAAAGCTACATGGCACGGTCATCACTCACCATTTTTGTTGGGTCGACTGCGCTGACCATCGGGATCATCTCTGCGTCCTCCTTGGATGGCACGGCCAGGTTACCCCAGAAGTATGAGCTCCTGGCCTTGTCGCTCGTGTCCTCGGCCTGGTCGTTGTTACCGGTACCCGTCTCCCGTTCGCGGTCTCTCGCTACCGAGTTCTCGTAGCGGTTCTTCCCTGGGGCCGCCGCCCCCGAGCTGGAGCGGGACACACCGACGCCGCCGCCGTTGCTGTAGATGTACGAGTAGGGCCGAGTGGTTTCGACGACCGGTACGGCTGTCTCGCCTTCGACTTGCTCCTCGGCGACGGAGGCGGAATCACCTTCGAAGCCTTTGTTGTGATGCACCGCCCGGACTTCCCCTTTCATTTCGCTGCAAGAAGTAAACACATAATCAAGACAAAAACACCAAAGAATTCATAACACAACACACTCATTTCACAGGATCAAAGACAAATGCTTCATGTCTAACAAAGGATTTGAAAATTCAAACCGGTAATGATCCATATACATACCGCACACCATGATCAAACCTCACTTCAAACAAGCACCCTTTATGAATAATGTATATATCTTATAAAGAAACGGACAGAACTAATTTTGCCATCTTCACTTGCAATATGGAAATTGTTATGAACTTTACGGCTTTTTTCCCCAAGTATGTCCAAACTTGTAACAGACAATGCTTTAAGAAAAATTCTCCTGCGCAAGCGCGTAAAAATGTGGAATGCGCAAGGTGGCCTAAAGAAAACAAAATCGATTTGCTTTGCGAGGTGGAAGGAGAGCATACCCTTCTTCACTCTCATCGTCCTCCTCGATCCTCTTAGCTCTTTTTCTGTAAATCGCCACGCAGGAGATTAAGGCGACGACGAGGAACAGGAGCACAGCTCCACCGATCCCGCAGCCGACGTACAGCCACAGAAGTTGTACCCTCAGCTGGCAGTTGACACCGAGGTACATGAACTCTGAATTCTGTGGGCATCTATTTACAACAAAAGAAATCTTCAACATGCTGCATAATGTTTTCCTAAATAGCAGAGCTTCATGGCCAAGACCAATGATTTTTATCGCTCAAAATATACAGACCTCACAATATTCTAAAAAATTACAACCAAGAGATTTGTAGTTTGTATTCGTCCTACGACTATGCTTCTTGTCCAGTCGCGTAGTCGGGGTTCGTTCAGCAGTTATCAAGGGAAATTGCCCCACTTAGGGACAATAATAGAATTATGCGGTTTGTTATAGAGTGAAAAAATGCTTTTTTAAGGGATACATTTGGCAACACATTGCGAAAATAGTTTTATCACCTATATTTCCACCGTCTCAGTTTTGTCATTTAGTGAGCCATTGTGCCGTCTTGATATGTTGCTTGTACCAGTGTCCTGATGTAGCTTTGAAAATGCCCTGCCCGTTGCACTCTGCCCCTTGGTTGCCCAGTTATATAATTATTCTTGGTACATTTAAAAAGTTTCCCGTTCTCCCATTCCTTTGTAGCAAGACCCTCTGCAGAGTATTAGGCGTTCCTGGTCATCACCTCACGCCAAACCCAACAAGATTCTGTATAATTTCAATGGTCTCCAAAGAGAGTAAACCGTATTCACCAGGACTCAATTTGATTACGTTCCCTGAATCTATATTATTCAATGGAATATTTCAAATTGGGGTGGTGCCAGACTATTTAGGGTTCCATGCCTCACTTCGATTTTTTTGTAAATGTTGGTTAATACGCTTAGATACAATAAATCACACATTTTAAATTATCCATCGTCCTAAATGAAATGAATCCGTATTATACAATTTTTCCATTGCCTTCATTTTTCACTCAGGTACCCAAACCAAAAAAGTCAACCTCGCTTTCAATTCAATATGGCCGACCTATGAACAAGGTCAGTTGCAAGGCAGGCACTCTTCCCTCCCTCCCTCTCCGTTGACTGAAGTTCCTCACGCTGCAGGGGAGCGGTTACTCCCTCTCCATCTCCCCATCCCCTTCAGCACATTACCCATTCGGATTCCTCGTGCCACAATGTACACGCCGAGCACCCACCTGCAGGACTTCACGCCGTCTGCATCCTGGCTGCACGTTCCGCCGTTCTGGCAGAAATCCGTATCGACTTTGCAGGCTGCGCGGCAAACGTAATAGCAAGAGTTGCCCACTCGCTCTTCAACGACTTGGAAACCGGTAGCACATGTCGGTGCAGTTGAACGACACGTGTTGGTCTCATCTGGAATCAGAACATTAATATCCAACTTTAAGGGAGAAAGCTACATCCTGTCTGCATAAGATTTTTTGCATATTTAACAGTATCATTGGACACGCTTTGTTGTGACTGAAAGTTTTCTCTATGACAGTTAGGTACACCTAAAATACATCGAGGCGATATCTGCAAGGACATTTTGGACGGATCAGAATTTTAAAAAGTCCTCAGATGCTTTTTGGTTGTGGTTTTGTCTTTTTGAAAGTGGAAGATAACATGGGACAACATCATTATGTAACATCACTGCTTTGGCCATTCAGGAGGCGGCAGACAAGGTGGACCCTCGACTGCACAGGAATATGAACTCAACAACGGAAAACCCTGTGCAGGAAAGGTCGATCCCGAACTCTGTCATGGTTTAATTATTCTAGAGTGTGCCTTACCTTCAGGTGCTGCACAATTCATACAATCTCTGTCTAACTCAAGATTTCCCAACTTCCCCGATGCCACTGCCGTGGCAACGGTCTCTCGATACAGATCAAAAGCCGACAGTCCTCTTTTTGATGGGGCCATTTTGCCGTAGTCATAGATGGCCGCGTGTGGGACAATCACGCTCCCTTTCCTGGCAAAATTAACCGATCAAACAAGACTAGTCTCATTTTCGTGCACCCATTTATTCCTTTCAATGACTCGCGTTTCGCTTTTGCAAAAGCACCGGTGGGGTTATCAATCGTCGATATCAATCAGACCAGAGAATCTAGTCTCTATCATTTGTTTAAGAACAAACAGAAAATTGTGCATTTACAGTGTTGCATTAAACATGCAGTGCATTCGTATCGATAGTAGAGGCTATATGAAACCACAATTTGGTCTCAAAGAAATGTTAGCTTCGCAAGACTCACTTTAAATCTCCTTGATTGATCTCAACCTGCTTGAAGCCCGCCAAACGTTCGTATTCTTTTTCGACCTATTGTGGAAAAAAAGCTTGAAGTCAGTTTTCAGACTGCATGGGTGTAAATCCCGGGGATGGGGTTATTTATATATGTCCCCCCCCCCATACACACACGCTTGTTGATGTGGGGGGAATGGACTGTTGAATCATCCCCCCGCACACACTTTTTGTGTGGAAAAAAAATTAAAGCGGATTGTGATGAATGTTTCGGGCTTCCCAACGACCAAAATGTTTTCAATATCACTCAAAATGGGAACACGATTTTCAACAGCCATAAATATGCCATGCTGATGTTTCGGCATGAATGTAATGCATATTACAAATTTACATTTGTATCATGAACATCGCCCCCTATGGTCACCCCTGCGTTTCAAATTTAAGCTGGGCACGTCACCCCCCCACCTTTCCCCACCACACCCCCAATTTCCGGCACAAATTTACGCCACTGCCACTGCCTAATTTGAATACTCGAAAACTCAGTACAAATCGTAATTCGGAAGTTTTCAGACAATGAACAGCACCGTTCTTTGAGTCAGTCCTTTGAAAGTGCTACATTCAACATAATTAACAGGCACGGAATGAACACAAGACAAATCGCCAATGCAAACTAATCACATTTATTTTACACTCTGCATACCTCTGTTGTGAATTGCTCGACAAGCCCCTTACAAGCCGATGAATCCGTGCTATTGTCAGGATCACATTCCCCAGCGGATATCACTGAAATTTCGAAAACCACCCTTTTGTCAATTTCTGAAAAAGAGAAGGACGAGATGAAAACTGTTGAGGGAAGAGTCATGAAAGTTTATCGGAACGAGAGACGTGGAGATGGGATATCATCCGTGACATGGGGGCGCTGTATTACTGGACTTCTCCTGAAAATAGATGGCGCTACTCCCAATGGCCTCTTGCCCATTGTTACATGACAAAACTGCTTCTCTGACAAAAAAGACGAATGGGTATAGCACATAGTGTACAATCTGCATCCATGGTGGCGCACCACAGTTCACTTGGCCCCTACAAACGGCAGAAGCAGCTACACTATAGCTAATATCACTGATATTTATACAGAGACGAATCTGGTAACTATGGTGACGCCATCATTTGGCACCAACCCAGCCAATGGTGATAAGCAATTGTGATAGTCATTGTACTCAATCACTCTTTTGTGAGTGGTCGCTTCGCAATTAAAAAAGCAACTACAATAATTTCCCCCATGAAAGAGGCCATGATCGCCAATCCAGAGCACCTCATCAGTGGCAGGGTTGGAGAGAGAGAAGCCGTAACACTCACGTTTAGTAACAGGTTCGGATCCAGGGGCAACAGACCTCATGAAAGAGCCCATTTTTCAAATACGGTAACGAGAGAATTAAAATTTTCGTGGTCTCTTCCATTCCCCTCCTTCAAGAAATTGTGCAAAGAGCCCAAACTGTAGCCTCACCCCTCATGAAATTGCTGCCCATGCACCACATTCCGGAGGGCGCTATACACGTTTGTAATCATTTTCCAAATTTTCTAGAAGTACCGAATTACTAAAAAAAAGTGGAATGAAGATACAGGGCAGTTTTATTTCCGTGGTGTGAGACTTTGTCAACCGCATGAGTGCATTTGGGCGTCTAACGATGGCTACTGAAATGACTAGTGTACACTCCCTCTATGCCACATACGTAGCAAAAAGCCCGCACAAGGTAACGTTGCATCACTCCCAAGTATAAAAATACTGCACCTCCTGTGCTTGTTTGTACAGACTGACTCTTTTGGAACACAAATAATGAGAGTTTGTAAAGTAGCACCGTAAATTGCAAGGCTATCCTTAGGGGTTTTCTTCTTCATGGTTATCCCCAGTGCGGGCCAGGAAACCCCCAAAAAAGACACTAAAATACAAGTATCCCTTCCCTTGACTTACCGACCCCAGCAGGAGGGTCCGGATATTCGTCATCAGGTACGGTAGGAACAGGCTCTGCCAAGGGATGAGACCAGAAATTGGCAATTTAATCTGGTACAAATAGAACACGAAATCTACGTACGAATAACATCACATTGAACGAGATGCACGAGTGGCTTCAGCCTATCAAGCAGAGCACATAAACACACACGCGCATGTGTGTATTTGCCTGCAACTGGGGACCCCTATTGATCCTCTTTTGTTTGTACTTTAATTTTTTTTAGAAGACCACCCATATATTTTGTATACAGTTGTCAATCGGGGACCCTCTGTCAATCGGGGACCTTATTGTCCTCTATTGTTCAGGGTCCCCGATTGAATGCAGAAACAACCTCAATTACACACCTAAAAACCCACCCATTCACATACCAAGTGTGGACATTCGTTTGTTCTCCCGTGGTTAAAGTAGGCCTAACTCGGGGAAGATGCTCCTCATCTCCCGCTAGGATAACTATTTTGAGCTGGATTTTTGATGGTTTTTTCCTGGACTTTTCTTCTTCATTTTACCACGGATAACCTTAATACCCAGAGAGAGGGAAACATTGTGTGGAAGTGTGCGAGTCCACACAACGCCACTTCGCCCTCCATTACGTGGACCTCTTTAGTGCAGAGGTCCACACTATCAGTACGCCACGCCTGCACAAGCCAACAGGTGTTGAGCTGTCGAGCGCAACACCAACTTTAACTGACAATGGCATTTACCTGTGCAGGTACTCCCTGTCCATTCTTCTGTGCACTGGCAAGAGCATGTCTCTCTCTGCATTTCGCCGCCATTCTCGCAGACATTACCACTGGGACAAACTGCACAATGAAAAACAAAGGGATGTTTGACTTTCCAGGGTATTCCCATTTTACCTCAAATAATAAGCAATATGAATGTCGCTGCTGAGTTTTATTGCAGGAAGACCAAAAGTACGGCTTACGGTTGCAGAGTAGACCGCTCCACAAGCCGGGGCACTCACAGGCGCAGGTGAAGTCGTTTTGAAATGCTCCTCCATTCTTGCAAGACTCGCAATCTAATATGGCAAAGTCAAAGTACTTTTAGCTACTTCGCGAAAAAGAGACTTACTGCAGATATCATTTAAAAGCTCTTCCCATTTTGTACCGATTCGGAGCTGTACGGGAGTGACGTCTCTGTAAATCCTCATTAAAGGGACGTCACACCATTGGTTCAGCCATAATTTGGAAGATTGGCAGATTTAGAAGGCGTAAAGTTTACTCACGTACGTTCACCCCTTCCACTTAATTCGTGCTCATGCGCTCAAATTCGGCAAATGGTCACTTTCTGTTGCTTGTTAAAATGGCAACACCAGCCAGCAAACGACTATATCAAAATCCATCTGCAGAGATCTTCAGCATTGTGTAAAAATTTGCCGCATTTATACCAGAAATATAATCAGGCTTCAGATTTCATTTTAACTGTTTCTTGTTATAAGAGACATTTGGAAGAAAATTGGATTGTAACGAATTCTTCAGATTTTCAACGACTAAAATGCACTCAATATCACTCAAAAAGGGAAAACTATTTACAAACATAAATATGCCACTTGGAATACATATTATAGATGTACATTAATATCAGGAACACCAATCTCAATAAAGAGTCATATTTTGTCACACCCCCCGCTTTTCAGATTTTAATGTCATCCCCCCACCTTTCTCCGTCTCCGTGTCCCCTCCCCCATTTCCAGCATAAATGTACGCCACTTATCTGTACACTTTCTAGACCATCCACAGCACTGAACAGAAGCGAGCAGGTGCCTAGAAACTACGTAATACCTGAGCATAATGGTGGCAGGAACCCTTCGAGACAAACACACTCGCACGTTGTGGCATTCTGGCCTGTTCCTTCATTTTCGCAGCCCTTGCAATCTGTCGGGGAAATGTCATTGCACGTGGGAACTGGCTTATCGTGTACATGGTGAAAAGGGAAAAAGGGAGGCTTGTGACGGACCCCACAAATTTTTTCATACTGCAGATCACTGTGAGGAAATATCACAGCACTCACACAGCCTTGCCCCAACTTCAGATTTCAAAGAACATGATAATTATATTTGTTCTCTTCTACCACTTACTAAATGAGACTATTTATAGACCAGTAAATTTAAAAGAATAAACTTTTACGAAGCCCACCATCACGAGTTTCGACACTTTTTACATGAGTGAACAATCTTGTCGAACCACGACAGCATGTTAAATTCTGCGGTTCATCGTCAATTTTGTGTACACCAGTATGAGAAAGCATCACAGTTATGTCATGTTCAATTTGGGGATCAGGTTTGCGAAGAGGTTCTTTCCTCACCTATCACCTCTGCTGCCCGGGTTCTATTGCCAGCTCGGTCCACGTGTGGATTGGGTTTTCACCCCTTACCTGATTCCGTGGGTTTCACCCAGAAATTTCTTGTATGGGCTTTTCCTCCCACAACTGCAACTGCTTCTTATCGTCTCCCCGTTAGATATAGGTGGATGGGTCGTTTGGCGTCTACCTGACGCGCCCTTGTATGCCATCGGGTGGATTACAGTTAACATATCATTATTGGACAGCGTATTTGAACACAAATGAATGAAAATTTGTGCTTAATAAAGAAAACATTATTATTGAAATCATATTCGACCTTCAGTTTGGCATCTGTGTGTATCCCGCTTAGTTTATTTCGACAATTTTCGTTTATCAAAAACACTTCAAGTTTAAAATAGTTACACTTTCTAAGCAGAACAGATTTAAAATAAAAAAAAATTATTTATTACATCTGCATATCCATTTTAGGTTATTCGAGTTCGTGAGCACTTTGCAGGCTGAGCTTTTAATTTTTTTCTACTAAATGCATGGTCCTCAAGAAATGGCACAGACATTTCATGGGTTGGGCTGGAGTTAGTCAACTCTTAGCACGGGATGTAATACTGATTTTTACCTGAACAATTCCTTCCAGTCCACTGAAAAGGGCAGTCGCAGCTGCAGGTAGCGTTGTCCAAAGTCCCGCCATTTTCACACCGGGTATTTTGTGGACAATCTGAAATGTTGACGTAAACAACAGGGCATCGCAAGAGCCAATATCAATAATAACTGAGGTGTCACAGAATGAGATCTAGAATGTGCTTGTTTTATCTCAACTTTCACCGTGAAATACAAACTAAATTAAAAGCTGAAAGCACACGATGTTTGTTGAATTCTTTTAAAAAACGTTAAAAAATAAACAAGGGGGATATTGGGGGAAATGCATTTAATGTCAGGAGTTGTGACGTGTCACTAATTTTTGTGACTCGAGTCGAATCGAGTCATTTTATTGTACTGACTCGAGTCGAGTCATTAGGCAAAAAAAGTCGAGTCGAGTCAAGTAATTAGCTTGAGTCAATTCGAGTCTCCAATATTTGAACACAATATTATAAGAAAACATGAGAGAAAATCATTTTTGGCACTTTTAAAATTTACCTCTGAGCTTCTATATGTGGTCGCATCACATCTAACTCTTAATGATCGTAACACATAACATGCACATTATCAACCAACACTGTAAGTCACTGCGACTATTTTTCGCAAACAAGTCTGCTTTTATGTTTCAGACTCGAGTCTTATCAGCTTTCACCTGAGTCACGTCTTTTGATGTGGGACTCGAGTCGTAACGAGTAATATATGTGCTCGCAGTAACTCAAGTCGAATCGATTCATTTATCCGTTGGGATCCGAGTCGAGTGACCAAAAATTGTGACTCGAGTTGAGTCGCTGACTCGAGTATTTACATTTCTGCAAAATGTCTGGCTATCTTTCAAAGTGACCACAAACTCAAAGAATCAGCAATGTACCATTCAAGGCAAGGGAAAATGACAAGCCTTTTGAACACCAACATTCTCAAAACAAAAGTATTTTGTATATTGAAGGCTGCTACAACTTGTAAAAAACAAGAAACTATTCTTACAATCACAAAGGTCGCCTTCGTATAATCCTGGACAATCACATACACAGGTATCTGGATTCTGATTTCCGCCATTTACGCACTCCTTGCATCCTGTAGCGATGGTAATTTAATTAATGTTCAATTGAAAAGGATGTAAAGAGTAAGAATTGAAAGTACAACACTGCATAGCAACTCTTTAGCTTGCGATAAATGAAATACTATTTGACAACAAAAGCTACTTTTTCCAATAAAACCCTTGCATTGTATGTATGGCATTTCTGTTTATGTAATAGCTCCAAACAAAAATTTTCGATATCCACGATACATCATGAGATTGGAGGACATTGCAAGTACGCAATGCAGTGTACAATGCTATGGCAAAGGTGTACCTGCAAACCATCAACCAGTTTCCATCTTTTTAAATACTCGAAATTAAGCCATTCTATTTGCACACAATATCGAAAATAAAGGGTTGGGATAAACTCTTCCCCAAAACAGAAAATTTTACACCCTTTAGTATCAAACGCCCCGCTCAAAAAACATTTCAAACTAACAGGGCAAAATGATCTTAAACACACGCCACATAAGGGTTATAGGGCTGAGGCGATAATTTCTTCTTATACTATTCCGAAAAAAATGGTTACTTGAGAAATAATTCTTGTGTACTATTGATGCATGTATGAATGAAGCGGGTACGTAACAAAGATTTCGAAGAAAAGAATTACTTTATGCCTGACTGGTTCACTTCCCCATAGGGTCATGGATAAAATGAATGAATGTAGCTCGTTTGTCATACAATCAAATGACGAAATGTTGACCACTCCATCCGTTGTTATAAAGAAATAACCACAAGTAGGCTACGTTAACTGCAAAACTGCTTTCAGTTTGTCAGTCTTTATACTGCATCTTTCTCTCTAACTTGTTGCATCCACCCAACCCCCTAAAATCATGAATGGTGCCTCCAAGAGTTTGAAACGCGTTGGCCAATCACAACGCGCGAAATTTGTTGACCCTTTCCAAACGCGCATTGGGTCGACAGGCTTCGCGCATTAAAATTGGCCCCCGAATTGCAAACTCTTGGGGGGCGCACTATTGTGAAACGCTCGTATTCTATAAAACGTGACTGGTAACTTCCTTGAGGTAGATGCAGGCTGTCCCTATGTTGCCTTAAAGTGCCTAATATGGTTTGTAGCTGTTACAAACCGTTCTCAGTTCTTTTTTCACTCTGCTGCTCAGTAAAAAACTGTAATGTCAAGCATTTTTGAGAAGCTCAGAAAATATGTGAGTATAGGCCTAAAAATAAAGCCAACACAGTAGAGAAATGTGTGATCGTTCCCCCTTTTCCGGGGCGTTCTCGTTGTAAAGTAATGGTGTATGCCTACTATTGGATTCGATACTGCGTCACCAACAAAGGAAATATGCAGAGAATATACAGGTACACAGGGTGTCCACATAAAAAGTATAAATGGCATTTGGTATTCCGCACACTTGCATGGTTGATCCTTGTTAATCAAATATGCGAACTTGTCACAGTGCCGATTTCAGTACCCTTAACATCGGTCTAGTTTGTTCACTCATCTGTGTCAGTGACATCACAAGCGGTATACCATTGCAAAGAGGACATTCTGCCCTTTCTAGAGATTTTTCCTCTCTTTTCCATATATAAATTAGTTTTGCCAGAGCAGGAATTTTTATCTCGGAATGTGGACACCCTGTACTTCCACTTTTTCTTTAAGGTTCACAAGGAAAAGGAAAGCAAACAAACGACAGGAAACTCTATCCTTCCCGTACTCACCAGAACAAAGTGGAGCTTCGAAACCTTCGCCTGGGCACTGGCATTGACAGGTTGCGATGTCCTGGTGGTACCCTCCATTCATACAACCCTTGCAATCTGTATGGTACAACCATTACATAATCAAACAATCCGCAACTCAATCACAAAGTCCTCATTCCTTAACACCGGCCTGAAATTATTGAAGGGGGTTGTTATTTCCAAAAACAATTAATACCACATCCATTATATTCACCAAGTCTGTCCAATTCGTGTATAACTTTTAGAGCAATTACGATATAACCTATAACATGAACGATATCTGAATTCGTACAATAAAATGAGAAAACAATGAGGTCCGCCTCACCATTACACTGAGGACCTTTGAAACCGGGCTTACACATGCAGGACTCCGAGCAATCACAGTAAGTGTTTGTCGAGGAACACCCAGCTGCGTCCAAAACTGCACGTCAATGAAAAAAAAGGTGAGCTGCAAACAACCAGACTCAAACGATGGCCCTGCACTCGATTAGCACAAAACGTAATTATGACATCATTCGTAGTAGGGCTTGTCTCCTGTTTGGGTATACGACTGTAACCACGTTTTGGCCCCTTTCTGGGAAAGACACGGGCTCTTCTCCATGCCACTTGCTTCCATGAGTTCTAGTATTTGTAACGTGCGTTTCCCAAGCATAATGGCAATACTTCCTCGCGCGGAGCAAAAAGCCCAGCAGGTTAGTTGTTGAACGCGACTCGGATCCAAAGCTACCTCTTAAAATAATAAGACCACGAGACTGCAGCCTTAGTGCCGGTTAACCTGTTGCTCGCACTGGCGGCCGCTGATTTGAACTCGATTCAGTTAAGGACAATGAAATCAGGGACGTTAGATGGAATTTTACCTGTTGATTTGGTGCGGGAAATATGCCTTCCGAAACCCAAACTGCTTGCACTCACCTGAACAGTCTGGTCCACTAAAATTCTCCTTGCAGGAGCAGTTTTTGCCATTTTCGCCACAAACACAATTATTTTGACCCTCACAATCTTTTCCGTCAACTGTTTGGATAAGAACAAATGTGACGAACAATAATTACAGTTGATCTATCGACAATACAACGACAATTGACTATGTTTATCAGAATTAAAGGTTTAAGGAGAACTAAAAAGACAGCATCAGGAGAACAACTCTTTCGATAGAGAGGCGCCAAATACGGCCGTGTTTAGGCTCGATATCTTAGACGTCATTCAATTCGAAACTTCTGTTATACAGTACCAGATTTCACGCGTTAATGCTGACCTGTTACAGTGATTGTGAAAGAGCAACTATTATTGTTGCCGGCGAAATCGGTTGCCGTGCAGGTAACCTCAGTTTTAATGGCGAATTCCTCTCCTTGCTGGGGCACACAAGACGCGACCAGTTCCCCGTCCACTACGTCCTTTGCGGTGGAAACCCAAGTCAAGTCGGCGGTGGTTTTACCCTCGGCCACATTCACGCTTCTATCGCCTGGGCACGTAATGTTTGGTGCCTCGTTATCTGGAAAAACATGATACTCTTGAAAATGAATCATGGAACTTTGGTCTGCGTTTATGGAGAAAACTGCTCTCTTTGGTCAGGTTTAAGGACGCGACAGGAGGCAACAAGCCATTTGCGAGTTAAATTTGAATGAAATCGGATACAATGAGTTCTTTAAATTCACGTGAACATAACCATTTGAATTCTCCAGACTAAAAACTTTGTCGCTATACCTCGGCATATGCAGCAAGGTATGAGACGGAGAGAACCCCCCCTGCTTTGTGTTGGTCATTGTCTCGCAGGAATCTGGGGAATTCCTTTCAGACATCGGGGGGGGGATGTGTTAAGTAACAATAGTCTGGAATGTGTATAGGGATTGGACATGTTGGGGGGGTACCCCTCGGTCTCATTTCTTGCTGGGTATATACCTCGGGATTCGGGGCAAGCTTTGCTTAGTTACATAAGAGACGCCTGGCCTCCGTACAATGTTCTCAATGGATAAGAATGGCACAAAGGACCCAGTCCATTCCAGAGATGATGGTCGCTATGTAAGAGCTTGCCCCGAATCAAGAGAAACAGCAACAATGTCTTTAGTCTGGGGAATTCAAATTGTTACGTTTATGCGCAGTAAGATAACACATTGTACCAGATTTTATTCAAATTTAACTCGCAGGTGGCTTATTCAGCTCAGGAGTAAATCGTGGGGGTTGGGCAGTATACCTGCATACATCTTCCCATTGTCTGAGGTAGGGGTGGGCTATATTAAATCATCCCCCCAACTTTTTGGGCTTACATTATCTGCCAAAAAAGAAATGGAAAGAACTTTTCTACCTCCGTCTCAAATTTTGTGTCTTCTCATTAGTCCAGTCCGATTGCGTGATTGGGCGACACAAATGCAAAGTACCCTCATTTGTCTTCGCGTCATATGTTGAGATTACTCCCCGCCCCAACAGTCCAAACCATACCGCAGGGACCGCTAACCATATAGGATTGAGTGCTTCATTGTTCTACGTTTAAATGAGTTAACAGTACCCTAGACAGAACAGCAAAAGGACAAACGATATCAGCTGTTGGAGTATGGAGATTTTTTTGTAAACGTTTATTCTAAACTTTGTTTCTTCATGCCTTCACACTGTTTGCTGAGCATAAAGAGGTCGATTCAATCCCCCCCAAAAAAAATTTTAAGACGAAAAAATAATGCTTTCTAGCAAGACAAGCGCAACCCCCAAAAATGATTAAAACCTAATTTTATTAATTTGCCGCTTTAATATCTATAAAATGAAAATGAGCGAGAAAGTGCCTTCCCTTCCTGTTCTCCAAAAAGACCTGAAGATATACTTTTCTGCCGACAGATATATTTCTATGTGCAACAATAACGTCGGGTTATTCTATCGTAAATGGAATTCCTTCTTGGAACTTTTTGACTGATTGTTTTTATGATTTGTATAATTTTACAAATCGGTGTTTATTTGCCAAAACACATGTATGAATACATAATGTTGAAAAATCAGAAGTCTTTCCTGGAATAAAAAAAGAAAAAAAAAAGACAAGCGCAACCAAAAAAATAATTACAGATAAACACTAATATTTACTGAAATTAAATCGCAAATCCAACTCTGGAAAAGGCCCTGCCTATATGTACAGTTTGCTTTTAGTTTCAAAGAGCCCAGAGAGTGCCTTGCGAGTGAGTGCAATCTGTAAAATATTAAAATGGACAATTGAGAAGTAAAGATCAGTGCTAAGTATTTTTCCCTCTTGCGACCAGAAGGAGAAAAAATGTCCCTCTCTCTCTGCTTAACATAAAGGGAATAAGGTCCCTCTCCGTACCATGCGGGTAAGGCAGCGACGAAAAACTGTCGGCTGTGAAGCATGGTGGTGCTTGAACTACGTACGCTGACGCACACACTGGCAATCGGTTGAACGTCTGTAAGTTGAACCTGGCTCAACTTAGCCAATTATTCAAGTGATAATTTGCGGTACTGGCGATAGGAGAGAGATTTTGGATAAAACTTCATCCTTGTGTACGAGTTCATGTAATCTGGTTGCTGGTTACGAGAGGCTACCATATTTTGGTTCATTACGTCAGCTGAAGCATTGTCACAGGTTGTCTTGAGTAATTTTGTCGTCAGTTCCCATGAACTACCAACAGCCCTTTGTAATTGATGCTTTGAAAAAAAGACGTGCATATCAAATATGAGGAAATGCAGAGCATTTTATGACCATAATATATATAAACAGAGGGTCATGCCATTAGAAATTGAAACTGCAGGTAATCAAAAGGAAATAAAATAGGTGCTNAATTTGAATGAAATCGGATACACTGAGTTCTTTAAATTCACGTGAACATAACCATTTGAATTCTCCAGACTAAAAACTTTGTCGCTATACCTCGGAATTCGGGGCAAGCTTTGCTTAGTTACATAAGAGACGCCTTGCCTCAGTACAGTGTTCTTAATGGATAAGAATGGCACAAAGGACCCAGTTCATTCCAGAGATGATGGTTGCTATGTAAGAGCTTGCCCCGAATCAAGAGATACAGCAACAATGTCTTTAATAATCTGGGGAATTCAAATTGTTACTTTTATGTGCAGTAAGATAACACATTATACCAGATTTTATTCAAATTTAACTCGCACATGGCTTATTCAGCTCAGGAGTAAATCCTGGGGATTGGGGAGTATACCTGTATACATCTTCCCATTGTCTGAGGTAGGGGTTCAATTCAAGTGAATTGTGGAGAATTTTTCGCACTTCCCAGCGGCATATCCAGCTTTTGGTGCAGGTTGGGGGGGAATTCAAACTCGAATGCGGCTTTGGGCTCATTCAACATAATGTTTAGGGAGAAAAAAAATCGAAAGCCTTACTCACAGTCCCAACATCCTTGCTTTATTACTAATGATATAGGGTTTTGGTGCTCGTATTTGATAAATATGCCGATTACTTTCTTTTCTACTCACTTATGAAGTATTGTTTGTTAAAAACAAAAAAATTCGTGGGAGGGGGCAGTCACCCCTCCCCCGCTTTGCAAATCCCAAAGCCGGGAAAGTCAACTCCCCACACACACACTAAAGTGTGTATTTGCCTGCAACTGGGGACCCCCCTATTGTACTTTAACTTTTTTAGAAGACCACCCATATGTTTTGTACACAGTTGTCAATCGGGGACCTTCTGTCAATCGGGGACCTTAATGTCCTCTATTGTTCAGGGTCCCCAATTGAATGCAGAAACAAACTCACACACACCCACACCCACCCATCCCCGACCACCATCCCCACTTTCCGGCACAAATTTGCACCACTGTAATTCAGGCAAATGTCTTGAAAAAATAAATATATGACCAGTTCTCCACGATCTCACACACCAAACGAGTGATTATAATGATATCAACTCGCTTCATAATTAATTAGATAATAGAAATATCTTATTTTATTAGTTTTATCAAATATGTACATTTCTAAAAACCCATGCAGTGTTTTAACTTGACGAGGCCCTCCATTCATTCTATTCTCAGTAGAAAAAATGTTTCGTAATGGTCAAGTCGTTGGACATTGTGCCGAGGACTTTTGCTGCACAGGCTCAGGTGCATGCACAGTCCCCGTACGAGCCGCGAATCCCCCAACACCCTTGCTCCTTACATGATCAAGAAAGACTGTATAGTGCACTCAGAAGTGGGATCAAGGGAGTAGATCATGGAAGATGGGACACCCCGCTTTTTCTGACAGGACCACAGGATCCCCCCTCAAAAAAATTACATGTATTCCGAACAGAAACAAAAGGGCATCCCCCTATCATCAGCATTGCTTGAATTTCACCGATGGCACAGACTGCGCAGTGTAACTTTCTCCACAATCAACCCGATTCCGTGACCATCTCAGCACCTCATCTAAAGACTCTGATATGTGCCCAAGTGGCACCCACCACGGTCACCTCGATATGTGCCCCTGAGTGGCACCCACCATGGTCACCCCAATATGTGCCCCTGAGTGGCACCCACCACGGTCACCGCCAACCAAACCGAAGCACACTATCCTAGGTTCATGGATATTATTTTTTTCAGAGGCCGATTCACTCACGACAACAAAGCAAACGCCAACGCCAATTCGATGTCCCGAAGCATTTGCTGTGGAAGTCTTCCAGGTGGAAGGGACTGAATCTAAACATTCGCCTCGCGTTCACATGCACCTCAGGTATGCATCTGCCTTAATAAATGCAACGGTGCACCCGGAAAGGGGCCTTCGGGGGAGAGGGGTGTCCCCACCCACATATCCACATGGCTATTTCTGGGTGCGCCAGCGGTTCATAGGCCTACATGACGTATGCTGATAGCAGAGAGTGAAGAGTCTTACAGAGCGAGGTTCTGAGAAAAAAAAGCCGCTAGGAGTGCTGAGCTACTTTTGGACACGTATTGAGAGAATGGAAAATCCTGCCGTGCAGCAAATTCGCTGGAGTTAAAATGTTAAAATCAACTACAACGCAAGTCTTTGACTGGACATCACAAAAGCACGCAAGCGTGTGTGCTGGTCTCTTCAGAAGAGCATAGCAGACAATCCACAAACAATGAGCATACTCATTCGGCAGGAGAAAAGTCTCACCTTTCACTGTGACTGTAAAGCTGCAGTTGCCCTCGTTGCCACTCTTGTCCGTTGCTATGCATGTCACTGCGGTGATACCCGCTGGATAAATGCCCGGTGACTGCACAATACCACCCAGTGCGTTTCTACATTCTGTATCGAGTTCCCCATCCACAACGTCAAAAGCTGTGGGTGTGGACGTCCAACTGACATTCGCATTCACCATTCCAGGATCCAAGTTCTCTTCTATACTCCCTGGGCAAGTGACGTTAGGGCTTTCATTATCTGTTAGATAAATTGTTCAGTATAATGTAGTCAATCAGATACAAGCCGCAGCTGGAAATGACTGATAAAATCGTTTATTCGTGATGTAAAAAGTACAGCAATACTAGCAGGTGTGTATGTATAGCAGAAATACGAAGACAACATCTGAGGCCTTATATATCATAATCACTGTAGTATTTGTTTCAAAAAAGCCCGAATTCCCGACTCATATAAGACAAGCCTCTTTTCAACTTTTTTTCGCTTCAATATGCACACTTATCTGTTTCCATTATTTCTTTTTTAGTGTAAATCCTTGTTTGTGCTATCTCTGTCAAATTCTCTAATAGTCTTACACAATAATTACAATTATTTGAACCAATCAGTGTAAGCTCTGGACTTGTTGAGAGTATATACTGGCTAATATTGTATAAACATCCATCTGTATTGTTTTTGCTCGTCTGCATTTCAAAAGTCTTCAAGCTTCCTCGCACATTACAGAAACGATTCTGGACAGCTCCAAAAGTAAGTACTCCCAGTCAGTGGCGTACACGGGGGAGGGAGGAAGTCCCCCTCCGCGGAGACATGGTTGCAATTTTATTACGAAATGAAAGTGCAAGCGCTTCAGAAAAGGTATAACCATCCCTTTGATGGGGTGGGTTTAGGATTCTTTTATGGATGAGAAAACTGGACATTCCTTTCACTATCAGAGACATGGATCTACCGCTGCTCTCAGTACTCCTCGGGATAAAACTTTCAGAGTTCCCTCTGTGTGAGATGTCAACTTTTTCACGCAGGTTGGCGCAAAGTTTTCATTGACCACGCATATGAGAAAATGAACAGTGATGTAAGATACCAAGTTACAAAACTCGTCGTTGATTCAGCTAAACCCTCACAGATAATCAAAATATGAATTTCCGTAAATGTCACTCCAAGTGTCAAGAGGCCACCACACGGCCGAAATGGAGAGATATTGCCCACCTATCACTGTGACTGTAAAGCTGCAGTTCCCCTCGTTGCCACTCTCGTCCATAGCTGTGCATGTCACTTCGGTGACACCCACCGGATAAATGCCCGGTGACACCACGACGTTACCCGATGCGTTTCTACATACTGGATCGCGATCCTCATCCACAACATCAAAAGCTGTGGGCGTGGTCGGCCAACTGACATTCGCATTCGGCATTCCGGGATCAACGTTTTGTTTCACATTCTGGGAGCAATTGACACTTGGGCCTTCATTATCTGTAAAACATGCAAATCATTAAATTTTCATTGTGAAAGCAGTGATCAGCAGTAACTCTATACAATGTCTCAAACAAAATAGCTAATCTCGCTTACACGACGCCTGGAATGAATCCACATCATTCGGCTAATGTCTAGCTGCGGTGGCCACACAGTAAAAAAGGAAGTTCTTTACCAGGGTAGGCCGAAATAACACTTGTTTTCCACCGCCACATAGGCTATGAAGTCACAAGTAAAACAGCCATTATTCTGGTGGGGGAAGGCACATTTTGATGGGGGTGGGTTTAGGATTCTTTTATGGATGAGAAAACTGGACATTCCTTTCACTATCAGAGACATGGATCTACCGCTGCTCTCAGTACTCCTCGGGATAAAACTTTCAGAGTTCCCTCTGTGCGAGATGTCAACTTTTTCACGCAGGTTGGCGCAAAGTTTTCATTGACCACGCATATGAGAAAATGAACAGTGATGTAAGATACCAAGTTACAAAACTCGTCGTTGATTCAGCAAAACCCTCACAGATAATCAAAATATGGATTTCCGTGAATGTCACTCAAAGTGTCAAGAGGCCACCACACGGCCGAATGGAGAGATATTGCTCACCTTTCACTGTGACTGTAAAGCTGCAGTTCCCCTCGTTGCCACTCTTGTCCGTAGCAGTGCATGTCACTTCGGTGACACCCACCGGATAAATGCCCGGTGACACCACGACGTTACCCGATGCGTTTCTACATACTGGATCGCGATCCCCATCCACAACATCAAAAGCTGTGGGTGTGGTCGTCCAATTGACATTCGCATTCGGCATTCCGGGATCAACGTTTTGTTTCACATTCTGGGAGCAATTGACACTTGGGCCTTCATTATCTGTAAGACATGTAAATCAATAAATTTTCATTGTGAAAGCAGTGATCAGTAGTAACTCTATACAATGTCTCAAACAAAGTAGCTGATCTCGCTTACACGACGCCTGGAATGAATCCACATCATTCGGTTAATGTCTAGCCGCGGTGGCCACACAGTAAACAAGGAAGTTCTTTTCTGGGGTAGGCCGAAATAACACTTGTTTTCCACCGTCACATAGGCTATGAAGTCACAAGTAATGCAGCCATTATTCTGGTGGGGAAGGCACATTTACCTGGAGATGTTTCAGGTGTTTTTATCATCCCTTGACCACCGCATACACCCAGTTTAATATTTAACGTGAGAAAAGGACCTTACCCGCGACAGTGATGTTGAAAAGGCATTGTCCTTCATTTCCTGCCGTATCATTTGCTGCACAGGTGATTGTGTTCACACCATTCTGGAATCTTTCACCTGAAGAAACCTCCTGGTTATTTTCGTTCTTGCAGGTTACGTTTGGGTTTGGAGGATCAATCTCATCAGTTGCTGATGGCAGTGGGGACCAGACTACTGCAGCGTCGGGCCTCGAGGGTTCTACATAGACGGTCGCGCCATTTGGGCAAGCAACATTTGGGCTTACATTATCTACCAAAAAAGAAATGGAAAGAACTTTTCTACCTCCGTCTCAAATTTTGTGTCTTCTCATTAGTCCAGGCCGATTGCGAGATTGGGCGATACAAATGTAAAGTACCCTCATTTGTCTTCGCGTCGTGTTGAGATTACTCCCCGCCCCTACAGTCCAAACCATACCGCAGGGACCGCTAACCATATAGGATTGAGTGCTTCATTGTTCTACGTTTAAATTAGTTCACAGTACCCTAGTCAGAGCAGCAAAAGGACAAACGATATCAGCTGTTGGAGTACGGAGATTTTTTTGTAAACGTTATTTTAAACTTTGTTTCTTCATGCCTTCACACTGTTTGCTGAGCATGAAGAGGTCAATTCCATCCTCCCCCAAAATAATTTTTAAGACGAAAAGGTAATGCTTTCTATAGCAAGATACGTGTAACCAAAATGATAGGGATAAACGCTAATATTTACCAAAATTAAATCGCAAATCCAACTCTGGAAAAGGCCCTGCCTATATGTACAGTTTGCTTTTAGTTTCAAAGAGCCCAGAGAGTGCCTCGCGAGTGAGTGCAATCAGTAAAATATTAAACTGGACAAGTACTTTTCCCTCTGGACAAGTATTCTTCTCTCTCTGCTAAACATAAAGGGAATAAGGTCCCTCTCCGTACCGTGCGGGTAAGGCAGCGACGAAAAACTGTCAGCTGTGAAGCATGGTGGTGCTTGAACTACGTACACTGACGTACACGCAGGCAATCGGTTGAACGTCTGTAAGTTGAACCTGGCTCAACTTAGCCAATTATTCAAGTGATAATTTGCGGTACTGGCGATAGGAGAGAGATTTTGGATAAAACTTCATCCTTGTGTACGAGTTCATGTAATCTGGTTGCTGGTTACGAGAGGCTACCATATTTTGGTTCATTACGTCAGCTGAAGCATTATCACAGAATGTCTTGAGTAATTTTGTCGTCAGTTCCCATGAACTACCAACAGCCCTTTATAATTGATGCTTTGAAAAAAAGACGTGCATATCAAATATGAGGAAATGCAAAGAAGTTTATGACCATAATATATATAAACAGAGGGTCATGCCATAAGAAATGGAAACTGAAGGTAATCAAAAGGAAATAAAAACAGGTGTTAAAAGTTTTACTTGAAACATTGAAGAAGAAAAAACGGCTACCTATCATTCTGGTTCATAATTGTTGGCCTTAATTCAACATGAGCGAGTATACGTGTAAGCACATTAAATGTGACACGTGAACTTCTGTGTGACCTTTATGTGCTTAATTATACACTCTCTTCTGCTGTAAAGTAGAAACAAAGTAATACTTCTGTCAACCGTTCACTGGAAAGGATGCATGGACCTACAGCCCCAAGAAACGGCAATCATTGACGAACACTTCGATCTCACTGATGACATATAAAGCATAGGCCTACCAAACTGACACTGATAATGGCACATACCTATTTTGATCGAAAATGAGCAGCTTCCCTCGTTGCCACTGCTATCATTAGCTTTGCATGTTACTATCGTCTCACCAACTGAATACTGTTCCCCTGTTTTAACTTCTTTACCACTGGCATCCTGACACGTGACGTTCAAGTCACCATCAACTGTATCATTGGCTGATGGTTGGGGATCCCAGTTAACGGTAGTGTTCGATCCAGAGTCTGGCTTTTTGATGACATCATTAGGGCAGCTCAAGATGGGCGGTTCGTTATCTGAAATAACAAATATACATTACAGATTACTGACCAGGCTACTGTCTTCCGTGTACATGAAATCAGAAAATAAAATACATTCAAAGATTGTTCTTGATTAGCCCTTCTTATTGCTTGGAAATTTATGACACTTTACAATCTTAAAAATTTGAACTGACAAAATACAAATCCATAACATAGGGAATTTTGTCCATTAACGAGTTTTGCTGAGGATATACTAACAATCTAGACTCACAGTTGAAGCAAAAGGTTAAACAATGAGTTACTTAAATATTTGTGGACTCACTTCCTGAAACCAGTTCCTTTCTGTGTTTGTGTCACTGGAATAAGAACTTATTTGTCACACAAACAATAGACCCAAGTTAGGTTTTAAAATTGAGGTTTTTTCGTTTTGAAAATATGCAAAAATCAGCTGGTCCAAAAGTTTACATATACACCACCTGCACTGTAACTGTAGGCAGTGGCGTGAATTTGTGTCGGATAGTGTGTGTGGGGGGAATAAGGGATGGGAAAAGTGTGTGTGTGTGGGGGGGGTTAACACAATATGACTATTTGAAGGTTGATATTCATGATATCAATGTACATCTACAATATGTATCCAAACGGGTATATTTGTGGCTTTCTAAACTTGTTCTCCCTTTTTCGTGATATTGAAAGCAATTGAATCATAGGCGTCTGAAAACTTTTTCACAATCTACTTTATTATTTTGCTCACCAAAAAAAAGTGTGGGGGTGATAAAAATGGCCCATCCACCCCACCTCAAAAAGTAGGGAGGATATATGCCTCCCATCCCCCCAGGATTTACGCCCCTGGTTTTAGGAAATTCCAGAATGTTATTTATCCTTCTCTGAACTAAGCCACTTGTGACATGAAGTCTGGTGGAAGTTTTCAATAAGCACTAATGCTAGAACTTTCTTTGGAGCTCTAAAAGATGCTAAACACCAACGGGGCCCATTGGGTTTTTCATCACATTGAGCTCGAAGCAAGCTGCATGTAAGTCGTCCTCACCACTAGTGTTTGCCATACATTGCTCAACCGTCATAAAGACGGACACAGACCTATTTACCTTTGACAGTGATGTTGAAAAGGCATTGTCCCTCATTTCCTGCCGTATCATTAGCAGCACATGTGATTGTGTTCACACCATTCCAGAATCTATCACCTGAAGAAACCTCCTGGTTATTTTCGTTCTTGCAGGTCACGTTTGGGTTTAAAGGATCTACATCATCAGTTGCTGATGGCAGTGGGGACCAGACTACTGAAGCATCGGGCTTCGAGGGTTCTACATAGACGGTCGTGTCATTGGGGCAAGTTGGGGTAAAACCCACGGAAATAGGGACTGAAACCCAATCTGCACGTGGACCGAGCTGGGAATCGAACCCGAGGCGCAGAGGTGAAAGGCGAGGAAAGAACTTCTCCGCCAACCCGCCCCGACTGTTGAAATGTACATAGGCCTACCTATTGTGATTTTGAACGAGCAGTTTTCTTCTTCAGTATGTGTGCATGTTACTTTGGTCACTCCGACTGGAAATTTATCCCCTGAGTTAACGTCTGCGTCATTTTCATTCTGGCAAGTTACATTGGCTGATGGTTCTAAATTCCACTTTACGATAGCAGTGTCCGATCCAGAATCCGGCCTTTGAATAATATCATCTGGACAGCTGGCATCTACTTTACCAAAATTAAAAGATATACTTATGATAAAACATTTCAGTAAAAAGGCTGTTCACTGATTTGACAGGATGTCAATCTGCATTTTATAGAATCAAGCAATGTCTTTTGCATCCAATTATGACCCAATACGGGCCATTCACAACACAGTCCGCCTCCAAGAGTTTGCAACGCGTTGGCCTATCACGCGCGAAATCTGTCGACCCGTTTCAAACGGCGCATTGGTCAACCGTTGCAAACTCTTACAGAAGCACTACATGTATTGTGAATTAGCTAGCATTTGGAACGCAGTTGGTATTGGTGACCACGACCAGTACAAATCACACTAGGTGCCCCTGCAACATCTAGTCTTCCTTAGTCTACCTTAACTTTGCATTGGGAAACCGACTTATAAAACCCTGCAAGAGTGACTGAGGAGGTATACTGTCCTGCATTTCTAAGAGCATCAGGAGTCGAACAGGATTGTGTGCCTGTTTACACCATGTTATTAATTTTTACACCATTAAATGAAGGGGCGTATCCGGGAATTTCTTCAGGAGGGGCGGGGCAGGCCGGAGCTTTGTCTAATTTTTACGGACTATGGTCTCCCCTCAGTAACACTGTAACCTTGCGTACATAAGAAGAATAAATAAGGTTCTATCTTGTTTTAAAATTTAATTTAGTTATTTTGTATGATTTCCCTCATTTTGTTTACATTTTGGGGTTGGGTATTCGACCCCCAACCCCCATCCGTGTCTGGCATGGTGACGATGCCAGTCTAAAATCATCCGAAACCTTCGACCACAGTTGCATATGTACAAGTATTTCGATCCATTGTGGTCCTGCGGTCCTTATAAGCATAATGTAGTGAGGACAAGCATACATCAACACAAATTATAGGCTTACGAGATACCTAGTAACTGATTAAAACCCTGCTTGTGAACCATTTTTTAATTAAATCGCAGCAGCGCTCCTCCAGTTGTGAAATATCTATTTTTCACTCACCGCGGGGTTTTGAGGTTCGCTTATAGGCAGGAGGTACGTACCTTGTGCTGCAACCACGTGCACCGTGAAGACGCAACACAACACCACAATGCCGGTCCACTTTGGTGGAAACATACCCCCACGATAGGAAGAGAGCCGTGAAAGTGAACCAAGACGGAGATCTGGCGAATTCCTCAGACAGCTTTCTCTAGTCGGTAATCCTTCAATACGAATATGAAGCTGTATTTACTTTACAAACATCTTGCTTTTGAGAACATTGTAACCATTCCACATGAAAGCAACATTCACACATGACCCGCTAAACCTAAAATTACAATAGTTAGCCCCAAAAAGAGAAATGCAGTCTTTTGCTGCGAGCAAAAAGGAATAAATCTGTAACGAGCAAACTTACGGGGAGAAAAAAAAACAGAAAAAGGAAAGATTGGGACATCACACCGGTATTTACTTGCACGCAATTTTATTGGAAAGATTGGGACATCACACCGGTATTTACTCGCACGCAATTTTATTTATAAACCAATTTAACCGGCCACGCAGTGTCCAAGTTCCAAAAAAGGCGCAGTGAACAACCTAATGTAGAAAATTAAAGTATTGTTCACCTGGATTCGGGTTTCGATCTGTACAGTATTTGCAGTTACTAGTCTTGCACTTGACCTTTCCAATAACTACCCCCGGTACCGTGTGATCAGCTATACACCCATTCATCTAATAAGATACATGTACATATCTGATGAATGTTCTCCGTAGCATTAATTATTTAGGTAAACAGTACGTGGCTGCCTGTACAGTTGGCAAGCAGTGCACGGGGCCTACATAAACCTGTAGGTGTCTGTACATGAAAATTGACGCCACTTAACGAACAAAAAGCAATCAAAAGGGTGGGAGGGGCATACCGTCTCCGCTTATTTAGTTTGTCTGTATAAAAACGTTCACAATACAATATAGCATGCAATCAAGTGCAATTCAAGGTAGACCGGTGCATTACTGGTACACCTTAAATAATCGCTGAAGGATCATTCATGTTTGGGGCTAGTTTCCCACATGCTAAAAAGAAAGAAAAGGTTCATCGAATAAACTGCAAACCTCAGAACTTGGGAGCGTATCGATATGTATTATATATAGCATGCACGAAAATGCCATGAGAAGTATCGATTTTCGACCAATATAAACAGATGTGTCAAATAACTGTTATCTGGAACCAAAGCAACAGTGCTGTCCTAAGGATATACACATTATCCTAAACAAAGCTCCTTCCGACACCTCTTCATTTGATCGTCCTTTAAAAAATTCCTCAGTAAAAATATCTCTGACATGTACGTAACCAGCAAAACCGTTAAAAAATTTGCCAAATATGGCTAAATAAGTCTTAAGGTATCAACAATTCTCGGTGTTTTTTTTTTAAGTTTATACGTCCTTGCAAGCTCTGATGAAGTATCCAGTGCAGAAGAATTTTGGAAGTAATTGCTGTTTTGTTTACCAAAGGAAAAACGGCACATTTCAGTTGTAGCATGATTCTGAGCCATTCCATTCAAAGTCTGAAAATTGTCCAGTTCTTACTCACTTTTGAAATGTTTCTCAATAGAAAAACTTTGACAATGTATTCATGCCAATCTATGCAACTGGATTTATATTTTGTTGTCATCTCCAGAAAAATCACGCCCCGGTTTTTATTGCGGCATACATCCTGTTGGGGGGACATTTCACGATGGTATTAGGTTCTTCGCAAACAATTTGAGTACTTTAAAGAAGACCCACAGTTCAGCGGATTTTAAAGTGCCTTTGAACTTGTATCATTCGAGTTGATCTTTTGACATTAAGTAAACAGTTCCTCTCGGTTACACGGCTAAACACAAACAAATAGTGTAAGGCTTTGCATGTTCTAAAAATATCTTAGCTGTTTACTGACAGATCAATATCGAAATTGAACGTGTCTTTTTGGCATGTTTAAATGTTTCAAAAAAATTCAGTCAATATTTCCGATGGCCGATAGATTCCCCTTTAATCAGACAATGAAATAAAAATCAAAGACTTGCTTTTAAATAGTTTGCAAAATTTTTAATTAAGCGACACAGATCCAATACTGCTTAACACATAATTCTCTATCACTGTCACAGTGACTCGGATATGACTGACCCAGAAAATGTTCTCGATGTACAAAGTACATACAGCTTCATATCTTTTCTTCGTACATGACGGCAAAATAAACAGACCAGAGTCATTAATTGAACCTTGGAATGCCCTGCAAGTTACACACCGTCAAAATAAAAGGAACTTAACGGCTTGCTGCGGCATGCTCTGAGAAAAAGGTTGTGTCGGTAATTTGTGCAGATTTCAGATGTAATTCAGCGGATGTTTGGCAGGGCTAGGCCCTACTCCAAAACAAATAAATGAAAATATCTCCTTGGTTGGATTTTCCTCCACAGGGTTATACCCTGATACATTTCTTCTCCGTGGAAACATGTCTAAAAGGTGACCCCCAATAAGCACAGCCGGCGGTCAACGCGTCCTCTGGTGCAAAGAGCACGATTTTACTTTCAAAACAAACTGAAATTGGTATTCGGAAGTACATGTATGTATGCCTAAGGAACAACATACTTTGCTTCGACCCCCTCCATTGACTTTGGGCGTTAAGAAGAGGAGTGTACAACGCATCTACTATATATACTCCTGTCTCCATCAATTCCTTTTTCAGTCCCAGCAAAATTAACTCGAAATTAATGCGTAAACGTCATCCAATAGGCCTACTTTGTTCACTGTCACCGAGAATCGACAACACGAATGTTCCTATTTATTCGTTTGCCTTTTGTCCTGTGGTTAGTCCGTTATAGGCCAGCATATCAGAGACGTCAAAAAAGGCCTGTCGTATAAAGTTATGACCATACCAGCAGATGTAAACTTTTTTTTAAAACATAAAAATTGAAGAGCAAACCACACAATTAAAAAACCAGTAGCATGTGTAACCTTGCACGCACCATAGTACATCTGGCCTCTTCAGCCTGAAATAAACCGGGAATTCCACACTATGGTGTCGGCGTACATAAAATGATGCACGATGTGCCAAAGAATAGATGGCAATCATTCAGTCTCGTGTACGTGTTCTGTGGTACGAAGCTGCAGCCATGATGAACGATTTCACACGCTAATTCCTGTTAATGTTGTTCGTTATGTGACGCTATGATTCATATAAGTATACGAGGTATAACGTATAGGACACCTGACCAAGATGTCCAACTCATACCTCGCCCATAGGCTTTTTATGTCATGCCTAATGAATGGCCCGAACGGTATTTAACATGCACATGTAGGTAATAACATTACAAACGGACTCATGTCTGAGCGCCTTGAGAATTACAACACAGAAAGGTAATGTTGTTGCACCTTGTCCTTGGCACAGTCGTGTAGCTTCTATCGTGTACAACTTCGTAGTTGGAAGACCATGGTACTAAAGAAATTTCTCCATTATTGAGAACAAGAAGGGTACGCCTCAGGAGTTTTCTGAGTCGTGATGAATTCACGTCCCTGGTTTTTGTTCACACAGGAAGCATGCAGGTTTAATCACTATGCAAAATGTGGCGTTAAAACTGATATGAAAAACACTCCTCTTCGAAATATAACAAACTTGAAAACGATCCCAAGATCGCCTACCTTGCTTTTAGCCTTGCATTAATTCACACGTCTCGTTCATCCCACAGGGTACTGTCGTGCAGTGGTCCTGCTTTCACGACTACTGTCGTCGACAAATTATAGACTAACCTTTGAGCAGAACCTGTTTACTTAGAAGGCGGGCGTCGTGTCGAATCGCTATTACAAAATCTCATTGCAACCGTAGAAAAATTATTCCAAAATTGTGCAGGTAGAAGCCAGAGTTTGTGCATAGGTGTTAGAATCGAAACAGAACAAATATCAAAGGTTGAAGTAATCAATTACGACGCCCACCACGCAGAACACAAAACACGGGGAATTAAAAAGTAAAATAACACCTGTTTGTAAGGGAAGTCGACATTGTTTATAAATCCAATCGTTTGCAACCGGACTTTTAAAAAGGTCGGGAAACGATACCCGAGAACTAGCATGCAGCTGCTGTATACCTGGGAAGGCAACGCAGCATTATGCATGCATAAAATGGTTCATGGTGTTGGACGCGTCGATTTGAACTAATGGTGCAACGGAATAAGCCACATGGGCAAAGTCCACGAGCTAGAATAACATTCACGCTGAAAATCCAATTAATAACAGGGTCTAGGAAAGGCTTGCTTCGTCAAAATATTACCAATTAAGCTTCAAATTGCAGCTTCGACAAATGCTGGTAGGACTGGAAGATTGTGATTCCTTTGGAGGAAAACCTCCAACGTGAACATTTCGCCCAAAATTGATCTCTTATACGGCCGGTTCGGACTCAAGGGTGATTGTTAAAGCGAAGCGAGTTTGACGTCACAAAAACTTTGTAGCGAAATTTCGCTCGAGTTGAAATGTGTTCAACTTTGGTGAATTTGTAACACGAAGTGTTGATCTCACCTGACAAATTCGCGTTCGTATGCGCTTTCGCGCCAAGTATGAGCCGGCCTTTAAAGAAGAACTTGCGGTTACAACCTGGAAAAAAATTCCGTTTGGTATCAGAACTCCTGAATCGCAGTTCTGTCGTGTGGTGTTAATAACGTACCTTGTACTGGACTTATTGTAGACAGTTATCTTTAAAAATGGTGGGCAAACTTTTCATCGGAACCACCCATCCTCATTCACTGTGCCCTCGACATGTGGAGCATTCCTTTCCCGACTCTTCAAGTGTTGGGCCTGACCGTGTTTGTTTGATATCAGTAACCCATCGAAGCAAACAAACACCACTCGCGGAACACTCACCGCGCCAATTCAAAGATGAAGTTTACCTTTGGTGGTGGAGGGGAATCACTGATAAAAAAAATCACCTTAAAATATTCTCGGGACATATTTTGTTTTGTTCTAGCACGGACACCCATACAATCAGGTGATAAGTTCTACCGTCGTCTTCTACCGCAAATGCTCGTGCATTGTTTGCGCATGCCTTGTGAGTATAAGCTTATTGGGGCAAGTTCTATCAGCGACTGTCTGTCAGCTACTGGTCGGCTTCAGGCCTTCATGCACAGGTTAACAGTCAAAATCTATCACTGGTTGACAAATGATCCTTGATCAAGGTCTTCCAAGCTTGCAAACTTGCGAAACTTATCAGCGCGTCGTGTGCAATTGTCAATGTCATTTGTCGTTTTTATGCTCTTCCATATATTGAATGTCCTTAGCAAGATTGAGCCAATTATTTTGGTTGACATCAGAGAGCCCCAGTCCCCGATTCTCATTTTAAGACACACCACATGTATGTTACACGTTAAAAAATAGAAACTAACACCAATTTAAATTAAATTAAAAAATTACACATGACGATGGACAGACATCAACTTCACCGCTTATAGTCATGGACTCAAAATAATGCTGGGTTATATAGTGTAGCAAGGTATTAACGGGCGAGGTAACAAGCATGGAATTTATACTTAATTTTTACCACATTGCACTCCTCAGATGCCATCGCTCCAAATGGGGAAAGGAAACCTTTATCACTCAATAGCATTTGTGCAATAGAAAACGTTCGAAAAGCAAAGTCCCACAAGAAATAATGAGACTATAAACGAACGATAAAACACAAAGAGTGCGCACAGGATCTTTCATTGTTTAAACAACAGCGCTGGCTTCGTATTTGTATAACAGAAAACATCGATTCCAAAGTGTCAGGATGAATACTGAACTTATATCACGAGCAATGATAAAGTGGGCATTTAGTAGCGATGCAGCGCATTGTTAGTGGTAATTGTTGCACCGCGGGTGATTGTGAAGTACGTGCACTCTGCAGAATTGATGCAATGGGGGCTTTGAGGCGTACACTTACCAATAAGGCACCAGCTCCCGATTCATCATCTATTTTGGCTGACACAACAGGAGGGCGCTATTTGACGTTGGTAAACTTTGAGCAATACAAGAGATTTTACCCAAACCAAATAGCGCCCTCCTATTTTGTCCGCCATTCTTCAAAGGTGACGTATCGGTGTGATGATATAGCATCAGCATATCAGTGATGTCCTACGGAGTGATAAATCAAGACCCAGTGATAACAAGTTAACATTACACTATCTATCATGAAATGTTAAACAGTTTTGGGTCAAAGAAATATGATGCAAACGTCTTACTCGGGGCAATGTCTTAAAATATCGGGTAAAATCCATGTTTTGTATTTTATACGTAACCGCAAAAGATGCCCGTCTGAAAACGAATTGTAAGAGCAGAAAAGCTCTAACAGGAACAATAATTATTACGACTAGCATAAAAAGAACTGAAACGTCGATTGAAAGTTTAGTTGCAGACTTGACTTGAACAGTCCATTCTCGATTATCTAAGAGTGTCAACAGGAGAAATACGAGTATTAACGATTGTACTTACATTCGAAACGCTACAAGAATGGCAATGGTAGAGAAAATGACAACCGTGTCCAAAGACTGCGAAGGAAATGCAGTACGCTGTTAAAAAGAAAAGAGAACGCATATAACCAATTAGCAGATTCTTAAACCATGAACAATGTCGAATCTCTCTCCAGTTTAGTATTCTCCAACTACAAAAGAACAAAATTTTATTCTTTTTTTTTTTACACTCCCTCTCCAAAAGAGCGAGTCCCTTCGAAAAACCACTCTGAAGTGTATGTGAAAACCATTCTAAAACGAGTGAAAATACTCCCAAAAAGTGAAATTTCCGCTCTTCAGAGCCACATAAAGAACGAGAGTTGTCCGATTTACAGCTGCTCTTTTTAATTGATTTTCACTGCATTTGGCTCAAGTTGTTGCGAAGCGACCAGCCAGCATTGTTAAGAATGTCTGCAGTTGAAAACGCAAAGGGATAGCTTGGGCGGGCTTGAACGAACATGGGGCACACTACATGTTCTGTGAAAGAGACATCTGAAACCATGCGCTACACTTTCCTATCCTCTTAAATTAATAAAAATTGAGCATGTAAATTTCTTAAACTAATTTCTGGTTCTGCCACAAAGGTAAGCGGATAAGGTACGATAAGACAGAAAATAAGTTGCTGCTAAGGAGTCTATTTCTGCTTCTGTTTTGTGTGTGTGTGCTAGTGTTAAATTCTAATATTTGAATATACTTTTTCAGAGTTCTTGCAACAGGTCTGTACGCTGCATAACGATAAAGCTAGAAAGGCCCACATCCACCTGGTCAATGCTCTCATCAGGTCTGCTCTAGACCTTCATCAGACGTGGTGACAATTCGTCAGAAAATCATGTTGCGTGTGTGAACTTCAGTCGAAATCCTTCGGTGCGGCTCTAGTAAAAGATTAAAGTCAGATATAGTTACCTAATCAGCCGAGTTGCGAATTAATTTGTGAATCGGATGGTCGATCTTGAGGACGAGGTAATCAACGACCCCGCGCAGAGGCAGAAATACGTGTATGGATCGGAGCGATATTGCTCGTGGAGAGCAAAACCTAATTAATTACCGACTCGTCACCAAGTCATCCGATCGATACACAGTTTGTAATTCGGTGAAACCAGCCGAATTAATAATAGGCTTTTACAAATTCGAAGACAATTAAAGTACAATAACTTGGCTCGATAATGAAATAACTATTACGTAAATCATAGTTTAGAAATGGTGTACCTTTAATAATTTAAATAGCTCCAAGTTCCATTTCTCTGTTGATGTTGTTCCACAAAATCCCATGCAGTGGTGGTATGAGGGGAATCTCTCCAAGTCGGTGTATACTAAATGGCCATGCCGTTGGCCCAAATTAACTTAAAGCTCAATGCAGAAAAAGAATCGAGAAAATCTCATTTCCCCTGAACCTTTGTTAAGTCTCAAACAAAATGCACTGCTGTCTCCTTTTACTAATGTTTCCTGAAATTTCATTTCCTAAATAACTTTCGCTTTAAAACTTAGTCAGCCAGCCTTGTTTGGTACCGGTATCATGCTGTACAGCACCAACACCACATAGGCGTGACCTCTTCACGCTTCACGCATCTCTAGCTCTATACATTCCTACATAATCCTTTCTTTTCAAAACCGTGAATACCTAAGTAATCGCCTAAACGCGGCCCGAGCAGTGTAAAATCCAACTGTGGAAGTTGATTACAAATCGCGCCAAGGTGAGTATATTGATTGCGAGTGGAGTTTCAAGGAGAATTATCCTCAGTATACCAAGGGGAATCAGATTGGCGTAGTGGTTCTTTCCTCGCCTTCCACGTCTACGGACCGGGTTCGAACCCAAGCCCAGTCCACAATGTCATGTTGATTGGGTTTTCAATCCCTACCTGATTCCGTGGGTTTTACTCAGAAAAATTCTCTGAGGTTTTCCTCCCACCTCTAAAAGTAATTGTTTCTCATTGTCTCCTCTCCACAGGTCTCCAAGCTACAGTGCCTAGGGCGCTTTTGAGGAATCCTTGGTGTCATTACCAGAAATTAATAATATCAACCTGCTTTTGTTACTGTAATACTCCGCGACGCATGATGTTTACTGAGATTCGGGCACACGCCTGCATTTAACCCGTACCTGCGTTTGATGATTATATTGGGACCAGACAAGAAGGACGGATATAGGAGTTTCAGAAAGAGGGGGGAAGGGGGCGCAAACCCGGACGATCAAATGCGAGTTGGTAAGGGGATGGCCTTAGTCACATGTACATGTATATGCAATATGGTCGTGCAGGCGGTGGGGGCGAAGGCGCCCGGTGCGCCCGCTCTGAATCAGCCACTGGACAATTCATGTTTCTCAAGCCTTTTGACTTCTCGTATTAAGGGGCCAACGATCGACTTGTTACTCGCATTGTGGAGCACTAATACCGCTACTGATGTTAGGCTCCGGTCGCCAAGCTACCCTTCCGCACAATAGATACCAGCTTGACACCCAAACTGCAGCCGGTAATTGTTGGTACTTCTCACCATGGCAACATCCTTGCACTCCCCACCGTAAATGGCAATAAATAGCAACGCGGGTCTTTGTGACTGATAACCAGTTGGAGCTGATTCGTTCCACTACAGTGCCTTCCACAACGTGTTGCGCAATAAAGAAATATTTTGTTCCTGTTAGATAGTCTTACAGTTTCATTTTCATGGAAGTAGTCTTAAGAAATAATCGTTTTACTGTTTTAATTATGTGAGCTCGGGGTATTGGACTACTAAATAATGTAGCCTTTTGTATTGTAGTTCCATTTTGTTGGAAAGGGCCCCTTCTTTCGCTTTGCTGATTCCGTCCTTTGAAAGAAAAATCGCCCAAACTAACTTCCCCATCAACGTCCACGCCTCTTAACCTTTCGCATACAAGCATAATTTTGAAGTACTTCATCCCGTGTGAATAAGCCTAATTCAACCGAAAAGATCAAGCAAGCAAAAGAAAAGCAAACTCAAGAAAAACAAAGACAAAAACAAAATACAAAAACTGAACAGAAAGCAAAAAGTGAAACCCGGTTCCGTTTATTTCCTCCTCAAAATAAGGAGAGCTTAAAGTATAGAGCAAATATAACACTGACAAACATAATTGGGGATATTCAGCACACAGTAGGCCTACTTTTAAAAATGTTATTTTTATAGTATTCTTACACAAACCGCGGCTCTGCATATCCTACACATTAATGCTCATTTTGAATGTGTTTTTTTTTTCAGCGGAAGATGCGGTGGTTGTTTGGGTTACCACAGTACGAATGAAAAACACCGCAGGGGACATTCAACGGCGCAATCCTTGGCAAAGTACATTATATTCACCCTACACGGGGGTACGCCCATTCAATTGAACGCATCTCACGACGAGCAGCTGGCGAACGCACGTACGGGTGTGACCCGACGTCTCTCTTGATAGGCCCAAAATCTATTATTCTTGTGCAATGCGCGCGGTCTCCTGCATAATTTATGCTTACGTGCATGGTTACGCGTCTTGACAACAGCGCATTTATATTCATACCGAGACGCAGTTTAATATCAATCCGTACCAGCGCGATGCATTTGCGCATTTAACCCATCGACGCTGCGAAGAACTTTTGGACCTAAGGAATTTTAGGCCTGTTTTTTTTGGACCTGACTTACCACGACCCTGAGAAGTCTGTAGAAGTAAGAGACCCGCCAGAATGGCTGTCATGAAGAGATGCTGCTGTTTTAATGACACCCGCAGTGGTACATTAGCCTCTGCAATCTGCAGCTTGGTAAGTCACTGAGGGCTAGATTTCTAGCTTTCTTAATTATATGCCATAGTCGCGGCCGTCTGATTCGAAATCGTCTGTTTCGACAAGTCTCTATACTAGAATCTTTAGTTGAAGAAGAAAACCGAGCCATCGAAAAAACATTAAAAGTATTTGAGATTGTTTCAATTAAGTACCGATTAATATTGGGAGATCACCATAACCAAGAGTATCGAATTGCTTCTGTAACATTTTAAATATGAAGAGAAGAAGGAAACAGGAAATCACACATATTCAACCTTCTGCAAAGTCAGAGACGAAAAAAAGCATAAATTCAACGTGCAATCCCACTAGAAACTCGCACCCGATTGGGTGTGTTCGAAATAGTGCTGCAAAAACCATCGGTCACACCAATTACCTCGTTATTCTCGTCATCATGTACTGGTGGTGTGATACAAAGAAGCCCGTCGGCAATTGAGCATTATTCTGAAGGTCACCTCTCCTTGTGATGTTTTGGTAACGCAACCTTAATATCACCATTATGGACCCTTTCGGTCCCGGTGGAAATAGGGTTTTCAAATATTGATTCGTGCGTTCTGCTCACAATGACGGTATTTGGCCGGGTCACTCCATGTTTTATTGGTCTCCTGCGGTGTTTTCTTTTGTTGCCGATGTCTGTGTTGTTGCCACGTTTTCATGTAGAGTATTTTGCGCTGCTTTCGAAAACCCAAAACAACTCAGCCACCCCCAAAACACATTTATATAGATTATCAAACATTTTCACAAGCTTGTCGAACCACAGGTACTTAGTCGAAATGAGGAGGGATTCAAATTGCAAGACAACTCTGAAGTTGTCACTGCCTCTTGGCGGCCGTTTCTACAGAAAAGCACAGTGGCCTTTCACCGTGCTGGCCACATACAGTATTTTATGCAGTTTATTTTTTGGCCGTTTAAAAGGTGTTCAGATCCATTATTTAAGGGGTAAATCAACACAAAACCTGAGGGTAAAAACAAAACAAAAGCTTGCTCTACAATTGCTTAAAACGTTAAGTGCGCATTTGAAAGTCGCGCAAAAATCCTCAAAATCCTACCTCTATATCAACGTAAGTAATGGTGAAATAATACATGTACATGTATTCTTGTTTTTCTCTCAGCTTTATGCGATAATCTTTGCTGGGTTAGCCGGAGCGAGTTTTGCCTTCTCGTCGCTTTTCTTGGGTGAGCTATGTCACACTCAAAAACAGTTAAGGATACTGAGGTGGATCTGGAACAAAAAAAAGGGGTGACAGGGGATTGTTCGGGGTCACAATTGGTATACATCCTCCTGCGGCCTGTCTGAGGGCGGCAGCTGTGTTCTACTTAGGAGGCGGGGTAAATTTTTTTAAAAGCAAAGGAAATGAAAGTAGACCCACGCTTTCGACTTTTCTCATTATTTTTCAAAGAAAAACAATTTTGGCCCTTCTAAAGGTGCATGCACGTTCCCCTCTGCCCCCGCCCACCCCGACCTCTGGATCTACCCTTGTAGAACAGCTTTTAAACAAGTTTATCGCTGTAATAGCATGAAAACAGTCATGAGATTGAATTCTGATTTCGAAAACAAACTTCTGACAAAGAACTACGTTTCCTCTAACAACATTATTATTGTGTACCAGAGCTCTATAAGATAAATGAAGGAAAACACTTTTGCTTTAAATTCTCTTGCGTGCGGTAGATTTTTGTTTGTTTTTTTTAAATTGTTCATTTTGTTTTCCCTGTTTCCATAGTGTTTTCATTCACGAAGTCAGATCACCAAGTAATCTCAAATTCCAAAGTTTTGACCACGCCCAACTCAAATGTACACAACATTACGTACAGGGTACTTCAACGCCGTATCCACCGATCATACTAGCTGCATATACTTCCTTTTAGAAGAGAGGAGGACTCCCTTATGGATGACCAATCAGAACCCACCCCTATCCCCATTTGAAAGCTGGATGGGTCATTCGTGCGCACTTCAACAGCATAGATTTTGGCCTGAGGCCTTCTTATGGTTTAGAGGAAGCTGCAGGTGTGCGACATGCGTTGTCCAAATACAGATTTTCTTTTCTCACAATAGATGGCATTGTCCTCGTCATGTACTATGTGGATTTCGCAATCTATGGACTGGTTATCGTTTGCGCCATCATCGCCATCGTTGGCGTTTCCAAGGTAAGTACAAATCGATACTGCAATTTCTACATTTGATTATGACTATTATGAATCAAGAAATGAAAGATTGCTCAGTCAAGTACGCGGCCACAGTTCATCGCAAGTAATTAGCTTTCCAATGCTTTTCACGTTCTCGTATTTCTGACACAATGGGAATACCTCAGAAATCAAGTACAAAAAATCGTTTTCGGACGCATGTTCAACTCAAAGATTTTCATATGCACCATTTAAGACGTGTACATCATAATCACTGCCAAAACCTGACAAGGAATTGTTTTAATATTTTATGTAAGATGGTGTAATGTTAGTTTCTTACACTGGGTCGTGGTTTATCGTTCAACAGGACATCGCTGGTATGCTGCTACCGTACATCATCGCACTGACTCTGATGATGGTGCTGGAGCTGGTGTCTTACATCGTTTGGATAGCCATACTCGTAAGTGTGCCCTTCGCACTTTTACCGGTGCATCTCCGCTGCACGCATCAATATCCAGTGCACCGTACCGACACTCAAGAGTACATTGTACATGTACATGTACAGTACATGTACATCATATCGCATACAGATTGAACGAAATGTACTTTCTCTTCGTAAACCAAGTTGTCGCTGGCACAGTAATACGAGCGCCGTTGGTGAAATGAACTCCTTTTATAACAGTAACTACAGCGATACGGATTTACGCATTTTCAGCTAAAAAGCAAAAGTTGGCACTCTGCAACCATTAAACTGACGGTTGTTAGACGCAACTTCGCCTATACAACGAAATTGACAAGGTCTTGCGTAGATTACAGATCATTACACACGACCTGTTCTTATTCTACCTTTGTACCATTACACAACTCTCTTTCGTTTCTTGTTGGGAATGGCTGTCCTGTGAGGTTCGAGTAAGGTGAAAAATGTCTCATGTACATGTACTTGTAGTAATACACACTGTATTACTACAAGTGCATGTACATGAGACACGTATTATTTTACGGATCGCCGAATAACATCGTCAAGAAGAGTGTAATTCAATCACCATGCCCGTACACCTTGTTGCGAGATTTTGCCACGAATGCGCATAACCTTTCAGTAAAATTTACTGAAATTTAAAAAATAATGACATTTCTTGTTCTGGTTGCAGGGGTTTGCAGCAATTCTTCTCATCATACCTTTCGTGATCTGGATTCTTCTTCTTGCACTCAATGTAAGTGGTTCCACGCCTTTAAAACCCCTAGGCCTATATAAACAATATGGTGGTAATTTCCAACCCTTTTTTCGTATTTTATGAATAAATTTCAGTTTTTTGTCGAATTAAGCTGGTAACTTAGACCAGTATTCTCAAGGAGCCCCATAGCCTTGTGCAGAAAACGGATCTCTTCGTGTACAGACTTGGGTCGACCCTAGTACCCATAGGAATATAAACAATCTGACCTCTCCTACCAGAAATAGCTATAAGTACATGTACATGTACATGTACATGTAGTCACTTGGATGTGAAGCACAGTTTACGCTGCATGGTCGGTAGGCGGGGCCTCTGTGGGCACAGCATGCAGGCTTGGGGTTAGGGTTAGGTCAACAGCTGTTTGGATTGGGACTGGTGTCATTGTGTTTTCACATCAGCATGACGACGTATGGAGCCTAGAGGGGTGCTGATGGTTGTATTGACTAACATAAAACAGTCGTACAGGTTCATCGGCGCATTAAGCTAACACAAAAGACCTTTTCATAAATATGCACGCATGCGCACAAATTGCCTTGGCGGTAAGAAGTGCGAGCGTGCCATTGAAAAGGTACAGGGGCACATGCGCGCATAATTATGATTTTTATTAGTGAAAAGGTCTAATGATGTAGTGTTTTTTACAACCACGTCGTTACACGGTGAAATTTCAGGGGAGTGGTCGCAAGAAGGGGCACTGATATGGAATAGAGAAGGAAACTACTTTGTTGTAGCATTTTGAAACATAATAATTTCATTAATGGGCATATAATCATTATGGCACAACGAGCGGATTTCAAAAGTACAGTGTACTTTCCATGTGGTAGAAACACTTTCGCCTTTGAAGCTGCACAGAGAGTTATAGATCATTGATCCACTGTTTGGCGTATCTCCTGGAGGCAAATTCATTCAGCGTCAAGTTTAGTCAACTTTTGTTACTTTATACGCGTCTGAGGAAAAAATCTTCAACTTAGAGGCATGCTTAGGAAAGAAACTATTACTGGCATAAATGAAGAAAGTTTTCCGTCGTCAAATTACCAGAAACAAACAGAAGGACCTCAAAGAAGAATCTTCCTCGTGTCACTAAAATATGAATTGGCGCGTTCCTTGAAGCAAATATTCGTGCATGACGAAGCAAATTCCATAATACACACTCAGTGTTCTTTTAGTTCTCAATAAGCATTCTCTCACACTGTTGTACCCACTGCCCATTCCTAGGGCGCCGAGGGGATGACGTGGCAGGTCCGTGATCTGTCATTGGTCAATACTCTCCATTGAGCATGGAGTGAGAACTCTATCATCATCTTTATATAGTGACTTTAGGGCCGCCTGACCAAATGTTGTCCATAGGTCTAGGTCTTTCCCCTTTAGAAATACACGCGAGGACGCGCTGAGTGTCGGACACGGCTTCAACTACCCCGCGTTTGAGCCCTTTTCATTCAAAGCACGTACTGACATCAGCCCCTACGTACTGGATAGAAAGAGCACATGACTTTCTCTTTTCTGACTTCACTGCAGACTGTAATACCTGCATTATACCTTTTGCCTGTACAGATTGTGTGCCTGTTGTGTGCGATCTCCCAGTTTCAAGAACTTAAGGCTGGTCGGGGTCGAATTGAAGACGTCCAGGCCACACACACGGTAATTAGCTGAATGAATGAAAGGGGAACATTTTTATATTAATTAGTTTCCGTAGAACTTACTGAACAACTTCAGGATCAGAAAAAAGTTGGTGCCCATGGAGTTTCGTGAAACAATTCTCGAATATCGGGCACATCTTCACAGCAGAATTGAATTTCATTGTTACCCTTCCCAACAAACTGGGTAGTTCACAATCTGGGGGTAGGCAATATTTGCCAGCCGATTTTCAGAAATATATAGTTATATTAATGTAAGCATATCTTATGGCAAGTAGCAACTTACTTCGACAATATGGTGGTAAGAAAACACGTAGACCACACAGTGCACCACGAATAATAACAACAAACAAACAACCTGAAAATATTTTGAAACGAGAATTTAAGTTAACAATTTTACGTTTCCTATTATAAATATGAAAAGAGAATTTGAAACCCCTTTTGGTTCTACACCCTATATAGACAACCATTGTCATGACCGGCGGGCCAGTGGTGACCAACCAACCCCCGCCAGGAACTTTCGTTGTAACCACCACGAATCCGCAGGTACAGGCTGCACCGCCCGCCTACGGTCAGCCCATGGGCCAGCCTGTGGGACAGCCCATGATACAGCCAGGATATACACAGCCTACAATACAGCCGGGATACACACAGCCCATCACCTTAAACCAGCCTGACGATGTGGGCAAAACGTACTAAGACGCGGAGTCAGTCGCCATCTCTGATTCACATATTCACAAATGCAAAATGTATACATTTTAGTTTATTGTAAGTGTAGTTGCAAAAAGCACCACTATTTGCCTGTGTTTGAGGGTGAAGGGAATGTGTTTATGCGTTTTTATTCTGACATTGCCAACGATGTGCATAAATTGGGAAGTACACATTCAATTTCTTTCTTTTTTTCTGGTATGTTGAAATACAAGAGACTGTAAATTTGAATGCCCCTAAGTTAACTGGTTTTGCAGGCAGGCCTGATCGTACCAAAATGTTCTTGATTAATGTTGCATATGAAGCGTACCTCCTTGTGCATTTAATTTATGAACTTTTTCTTTGCCTTTGCTCATGTTTTTGACCGATCGGGCCTTCTCTACAGTCGTAGGTGTTTCGAGAAATTATTTTGGTGGTATTTCTTTGGTCCGTCACCAGTACACGGAGTGATAATTTTGGGTGAGGTCTGCACGATCGCCCGATCACTCTGCTCAATTGGTCGATTCTTTGTGAAATCTCCAAACTGTACTTCCCTTTATGAAAAACAGCTCACTGTATGATATAACGTGAATTAATGAAAATTACTTTTAACGACATCAACCGTGCTTTATGTACACAAAACATCTGCCAACGACTGTGATGTCGTGCCCAGATTCAGCTTTACTCATTATAACACATTTTTGTCTAACATGCAGACATTATAACGAAGAAAAACCTATTGGATTAATACACAGAACACCTTTCACATGAAGTTTCCATTGGTACATTAAAAAAACAAGTGCAGTGTACTTTCTTTTTGCTATAGATTGCAGCTGGTAGAAGTCTGATTTTCTGTACAAAAGGTCACATGTATACGTTGTATGCACATCTTGTAAATATTTTAGAGGGAAAGATATGAAATTAAAAAAGGCTGATAAAACTACACAAAAAATATAAACAGGACTCGGAATTGCATATTGTGTCAGATGTGGAAATTGCTGGTTTTCTTGCAGTAGAAAGTGGGATGGGTTTTTAACAGCCACTGGTTCATGGAATAAATCTGCCAAAATGTTGTCGAATATTTTGAAATAAAATTACTCTTCCCTTTCAGTGGTGAGAGGGATCGACAAAAGAGACATGATACATAACACTGAAAAACTAGATTGTGTGCGGTCTTATACATTACTTTGTCGTCTTGCACGGAACATTTTTCCATTTTATGCTGTCGAATATATATTTCTCTCTTTGATGTTACTTTAAGTATCACCAAAGGAGTGGAAAGTGTAGTGCAAGTGCAAATTTAGTGCCATAAATACATGTATAGCCATTCACTGTAGTCGGCCATTGCCTCATGGGATTCTCAGACAGGCGTTCAAAAGGTCGAAGCATCAATGAGCAACTTCGGGGTGAAAATGGTTCAAGCTGTTGGGTAAAACTGCAGATGGCGCTGTGTTGTCCGCTCGCAGAGCTAGAATGCCCCTGATTTACTAGTCTTGGGCCAAGACGGCAGAACACACTCGATCGAGAGCACACTCGTTCGCTCGATCGAGCATCGAGCGAACTGATCGGTGCACTTTTTCAAACACTGAAAATTGACCGAGCAATTCTGGACAAGTGATGAGGGTGCTTTTGCTTTGACGTAAATCCAGGAAGACATGGTTCAGGTTGCATGTTTTCAAGTTCAAATTGTGAATCCCAAATTTGCTTTCTAGGAACACTTCTGTGAAAAGGAAGTTGCTAGATATTGCCACATACTTACTCAGTAATAAATTACCAAAGAAAATAAAATCTGCAATAGCATTGGTTAAAAAAATCTAGAAATTTTCTGTGCACAGATCAGTGCAACATTGAGATTCAGCGCCTTGGATTACATCATAGTTCTGCTCATGAATATACAAATATTCATTAACATAATACCAAATATTGTTGAAAAATTAATTAGGGTCACCATCCGCGGAAAGAAGTGTCGGAACGGTGTCCAACGTCGCCTGCCCCGAAATCCACAATAAAGTAATCTAGTGCGCATGCGCTCTCAACTACGGTGCCCAAGGGCACGAAAGTGAACATACGTGCGTTGAGGACGTTTCCTCTCTCGAACTCTCCACAAAGTAACATTTTTACTATAGCACTCGAGTTTGGGTGGCCTGGTTTTGACACAGGTTTCTTGTTCTCGCTCGATCGTGAACGGCTGGAACACAACCTTGTCCAACCATGAAGGTAGGAAAATATCAAACCATGTTCCTTGCCCTTTTCGCCCTGAGGAACACCCCCTACCCCCTCATCGGCTGAAAAGAACCATATCGAAGTTGCTGACACCGTTACTTGCGGTGCCCCCGTCATTCAGGCGCGCATTCCTAAACTTGTGGCGAGCGTTATTTTGGTTGGCATGCGCTCCCATATTGGCTGAGGAAGCATCTCAGTGCGCATCATCAGTGCACGTGCATGGGGACACCGAAGTAATGGCTCCCGATTCTTGTCACCGAATCGGTCTGTTGGTCGGGAGTGGTTATTTTGTTGGTAGCGAAGTAGCATTGTGACTGGGACACGTACATTACTTAGTCGTTCGAGAAACCAGCGATGCGCATGCAATCACTAACAAAGGAGCCTCCGTTGCTAGGAAAATGTGCCCTCTCTAGGTCCAGCTCCGAGCCCATAGTCCAAGAGCAACAACGGGTATCCTCGGCTCGAGTTGCGCACGCTCACCAGCAAAGAGGAGACAGGCTGGTGGAGAGTTTTCCAGCCAGACTTGCGCCGGTGCCCTTTCCACTGCAATCAATTAATTATAGGGACTGGTAGCTGTAGCTTGCATCTGACACATGCGATGAGCCCTTTTGTTTGAATGACACTGGTTAACCCAATAGCACAGATTACAATAACCTCATGTCAGTCATGTGGTTCCCCCACTGGTCTCCCATGTGTTCGTGGCTGAACTGAAAGCTGAACTTTGTGATCACAAAATTCTCAGATTATGAGCCCCGAGCCGGAAAAAAAGAGGGGACAGTTTTTCAAGCAAAGGCTCCACTGTTTTGAACGCACTGGTTCACAAAAGACAATAAAACGCACGCATTACGGTCGCGTGGCTACCAGCAAAATGAATACTCCCACAAACCATGGAGGGAGGAACAGACACCAACGCGACTTTTTTCAACCGACGAGGGGGTGCTTCTGCTCAAGTCGGATTAACAATAATAATCTCGACGTTTGACATACAAAATCTGAATCAATAGCCGCCAGGTTTTATTGGGGAATAGCATTTTTTGTTGTTTGGATCTTACTGACCTCGACATTTTACCCTTAAAATTCAACGTCTATAGACCTCTGAAGGACGTGAAGAACACTTTATACCAATTTAGTTGGAAAATTTCTCGAGATAGGAATGCTTTAAAATATGTCAACACAATAGCCTCGACCTTCAATCTTTTGGTTGCAACCCCAAAATCAAAGGGGCTCAGTGTTAAAAAAAAACCAAGACCAACTTAATACACCAAGTTGACGTGATATCCACGTATATTGGGCCCCCAAAGAATGTGCGTGCATTTAGTTTGCGTATTCGTGCATGCCCAATCGTGACATATGTATGGGCGGCCATCAGCACAAAAAAGACAACCTGAAAAATAAACACAGAATTAGATTTCAAACATAAATTAATAAAATAAAACATAGAATAAAAAATAAAGGACTAAAACAAAACAAGAAAACACAAAAAATCAAGAACAACTAAAAATAAAAAGGAATAAGAAATAAAACACGGAAAAAGACAAATAAAAATATGGAATATATAAATAAAATGAGCAAAATAAAACAAAATTTAAAAACTTAATAAAATAAAAAAAGAAAATAAATAATAAATAAAATAAATAAATAATTAAAATATTAAAAAAAATAATAAAGAGAAGAAAAAATGTTGATAAAAAAGAGAAATCTATGACAAAAATGACAGCACAAACCACAATTATTTTTTTCAAGGAAGTAAAAGAAACAAGCAATAGCGCAAAACAAAATATTAACTCGCAAAACAAAATTGTCTCTCACAAAACAAGTTGTATCTCGTTAAACACGACTCTCGCAATACAAGATTGTCATAAAATAACTGACCGACTACGAACATTGGGGGCGTGCATAGTGCTTTGGCCTATAGCCTGCTCACGACGCGACCACGTGACACAGACACATCATGTCAAATGTCGAGTACAGGTAGCATATGCAGCTCAACTGAACCACAAGAGAAGTCCCATGCTTAGATTGAATACATTTTGTGTTTGGGTCTGAATGGAAAAAGAGCTATACTCAAAGTACGAGAAAAAATGATAGCATTCACAATCTAATGAACTTCAGAGATACTTTACTTATTTTATCGCCTTTTATTTTTGTGGCCTAAGGCAAAAATGACAATACTTAGCATATTAGAGTCATAATTAAATTTAATTTACATCAACATTGAACATGAAAATATAAATATACAAAAATACGCATCAACAAGAAATGACAGTCTAACAGAAAAATGGCAGCAAATTGTTTGATTAGAACAAGTAAATCCCTGGGGAACAAGCATCATTATAATTTTTCGGATAAATACATGCATGGGGATGGTCACTAATTGTGTGTGTGTTGGGGGTCTTTTTAACAACTTTGCCAGAAATTTTAAACCCCATTTGGAGAGATGAGGATGGCATCTCTGTTTTGTTTCTGGCACCAATTACATGTAACCTCATGCTTTTAATCTTTCCTACATCAGTATTCAGTTTTGTCATTGTTGAAAGTAAAAAGAAATTATGATTAAGAAAGGGGGTGGGAAGTTGGCACCCCACAAAAAAAGAGCTGGCAGTGGACCGGACTGTTTTATTTCTCTCCACGAGCTTATGCATAATATGCAGAAAGTATTCCAGCTGCTATCAGTAATAAGCGTCATGTTCATTGATAAATAACACTCAAACTCTACCAGGACCCAACATACACTTAACTACCTGAGGGAGTGCAGTGCCTAGGTGATGATATCCAATGGGGTAAGGTTTAATATTATCTCCTTTTGCTCTATCAGAAATTTCATAATTTCAATGGGCGCATGCAACATTAGTGAGGACGTAACAGTATCCCCATAAACCTACATCATGTGTATGCCTTGGGAATACATCTACGAAGTGACAAGTTTAGAAGCCCCACATAGTTGTTAACGACATTGTAAATAAGTAGTTTCTTGAAAGTTACAATTAATAATTGTGATCCTTGAGGGCATGAAGGGTGTATTTTTTGGATTATAATCATGGCGACTTTCACACATATGTCAAGACCTGAAGTCTTTTAACTGAAATCTCCCTACAGGTAGTCAAGTAAACTGAGAAGGAACACTCCCCCCCCCACCCTTGTGTGTGCACGTGTACAGTTTGCTATTGCAATTGGAAGAAAACAACCGTGCCCCCTTACCTTTAGTGCCACTGTGTCCTACCTATCCTACCACTCCATCCTTCAAAGATGTTGGTCGCCAAGTCAAAGGGTATAGATAGTTTGTGAGTCAATGTTGCCAGGGAAACGGAACGATTTCATACAATTTACCGACGGAAATATTCCACCGTCGGCGCGGCGTGGTGCGGTTGACAAGCGAAGTACAACGAAAATGCGTAACAACACCGTGTTTCGCACGCCCCCAACGTTAAGAGTTGGTCAGTCTTTTACGAGAATTTTGTTTGGCGAGAATTTTGCGAATTACAATTTTGTTTTGCAAGTTACAATTTTGTTTTACAGCAAACTTTTTCGTTTTTCAAGATTTTTTTTAACTTTTTTTTGTAGTAGAATTCCCTTTTGTTTGTATTAACATTTTTTATGTTCCCTTCTTGGCTTTTTTCTAACTTTTTCCCGGCTGATTCTTATTTTTTCTGTTATATTTCTTTTTCGTTTCTCATTCAGTATTTTTTTCCATTTTATTTATTTATTTTTTTATTTAATGTTTTTATCATTTTATATTATTTGTTATCTGTATTTATTGATGTTTAGCTTATTTGTTATTTCTTTTTGTTTTGTATTTTTTTCTTATTTCTTTATTTCATTTTGTTTATTTTTAAAATCTAATTTTGTTTCGATTTTTCGTGTTGTCGTTTTTGCCCCGATGACTGCCCATACTTATGGTCGTCAGCCTGAAAAATTATTCCAGCAGACCACGCATAGCTAGCTGTGGTGACCCATGTGAGGGCTTTGTACTGCTATGTCATTTCCCTTGAAGATCTCGTGTGTAAATAACGTGCCAGGAATCTATCGAATGGTGACATTTAATAGCCTCCTAAAAGATCTCCCGAAAATGATCAAAGAAGTCGAAAATGTCAATTTTACTAGGGGACACATACACAGGGGCACAAAGTGAATCATTCTCAAGTGGGGAGAACTAATGGAAAACACTGACATAAATTGGGAAAAATTTTCCTTTTTCTCCCATTAGGATAACTCCTCCGAGTCGGATATTTGATGATGATTTCCTGGACTGTTCCTCTTCATTTTGCCACGGATAACCCTGACCCTAAAATGCCTCTGAAACTGTTTTTTAGAGAGGGAAAAACATTGTGGACATGTGCGAGTCCACACAACGTCATCGCACTCTGCATTTTGTGGACTTCTTTTGTGCAGAGATCCACACTATGTGGACTGTACTAGCCGAGGAGCTAGCCGAGGCACGCACTAGGTCATGGCTTCTAGTAAATATTCATGATATTTAGAAACTGTTTAGATACTGTAGTATTATGTTCGCGACGGCGTTCCATACAGGTTTCGTGTAGTACGATCTCAATGCACAGCATATCCCAGCCGTAGGCCTACCGTGTCGCGTCTCGCGGCAGCGTCTTGTGGAGGTTCCCCTGTTTTTATCATGTTGATGTACATGATGTACATGTAGGCCTATGTGCAGTCATGGAGGAATAAAAACACTCCATGGTTCAGTTTTGGGTTTGCATCGCCGATCGTGTCCCTCATTATCACTATATTATCACTAATCTCGCATATCTCAGATACCTGGAACTGACTGGTGGAAAGCAACTAGGCCTACATGTACCACTCCGTTTGCGTTAATATCGCTTCGGCTTAGCTTCATCATCAGATTTACGAGCGCTTGCTGTTGTGATTGTCGACAGAAAATCAGTAAATGGCTGGACGGCTGTCACCCCCAGGTTCTTTGGAAGATGGGAACTGCCACAGGTAAAGCTTGAAATTGATAATCTTCTTGGATCCATGTCAAAAGAAAAAAATCAGCATATTATTGCCATTTACCGTCCATATTTCTGTGTTCTTGCCTAGTCCGAGTAACTTGGAGCTGGACCCTAAAAATGCCTTTTTTAACATTGGTATTGAACTTAGGAATGAGACAAAAAACACTGAAAAAACAAATAAAATATGGAGTAAATAGATAAAATGAGAAAAAAGACAGAAATATAAAAACTTAATAAAATAAAAAAAGTGGGGTACTTAGAAAATACTTGAAAAATTAGGCCTAATGTTACTTCTGAAAACTCTCTACAGTCCAGTCTCATGTGTGCAAGTTTTCAGGCAAGCAGCGTCCGTGAGTGCAATTCTTTCCCATCTGACTTCCATCTTTTTTTGTGAATATGAATTCAAAGTGGCAGTGTTTTATATTCCCGTTGTATGCATCTGTCCAACTGTGGAAGGCATGTTAACTACTATGTTAGCTAGGCCAAAGGACCTGCCAGAAGTGGGGGGGGGGCATTACCCTCTAGTCGAAAAGTGGGGGCCAGTGGAACAAGTGAGCATGTCTGTAAATTTGATAGATTGCAAAGTAAGAAGGTATTGACTGCTTGTAATGTTACAAAATGCATGTTTGTCCTCCAAGCTTCCAAAATGGCTTTGCCCATGATGGGAGTCACTGGGAGTCTACATGTAGTTGGGTACATGTAGCTGCAATAAACAAATTGCACCATATGAAGAAGTGTGACCTGTATGTTTGTGGGTGAGTGTATGGAACCCAGTGCCCCAACCTTGGCCTCAGATGCACAAACCCTGGTAAGTACATGTACATAGTACAATGTATGTATATTTGTATGTTGTACATGTACAATGTACATGTGTACACAAAAAATGTGTACGTACATACTCGTAGGTGGGTGTGCCTTACTGTTATGCTGGCTCTGGTAAAGTACCAAGGAACAATGCAATGAATTTTTCTCAGATACATACATGCTTAAACGCTTCACTAAGTGTGTGATAACTGTTTCAAATTGTAATCTGTAAAGTGCACTTTTTTAAACTTTCAAAATTGGCCAAGCTTTTTCCGGACAAGTGAGGGCACTGTATGTGTGATGTAAGTCCAGGAGGGCACTGTTTATCAGTTTGTATGTGTTTTATTTTCAAAATTTGAACCCCAAGTTTGCTCTTTGAAAATATTTGCTCACTGGTGTATTGTGATATTTGTAACTGAGAAACTTCTCTGCCTGTCATCAGGCTTCCTTTATAATGTCACTCTAGGTCCTGATTAAGTTCGGAAAGTAGTAACTTTGTTGTAAATTGCGAGCAGAAATGTGCTTCGGCACAGACTTTACAACTTTGTTGGAGTTTGAAGCTTGATTCATTCATTTGGGACACAAAAAAGAATCTGGCAATGTGGACTTGTCGTGAATTGTTCTTGGTCTTTAAAAAAACCATTCACATAATCACACTGCGGAATCCAATTTGGGTGAATTTCTTTTTGCTTACCCTATGCTATCCATAAGAAAATCCTATAATTGCACAAGATAATTGTGCCTTGTTGGTTTTTATGATCAGTTCTGAACATGTGTTGAAAACTAATCTACAAAACCCTGTTATATAATATGTAATGGTATTATCCTTCTGCTTGCGGAGCAGATTATTAAACTACATCTGCATCAAGGCCAGAAAATGTCAGAAAAATTTATGCGCAGTTACAGGTGGGTTAGCTTTCAAATTGGTGCTTTTGGAAAACTTTTGTAGTTATCAAGAGAAAACAATCAGTTTGACGTCAAACTTTGATCCGTCTTCAAGGCACAGTATGAACATAGTCTGGTGCTTGATTTTAAAGGGTGATCCTGCCTCGTACAAATTTACATAATATCAAAATTGCAGTTAACATACTTAATTATACTAATGAGCTGTTCCATCATCCTTGTCTAGAATGTCAGGTTTTGAGCACCCGTCACTTGTATTTGTCCAAATAGTGTGCAGGTTAGTAATCTCTGATGACAGTAATAAGAGAACCAAACTCCATCTGGGACTTTTTTAGATTGGAGTGATTGAAGTAGTGTAGTGTGCCCTATGTGAAGCAAATTTGTCCTTAGACATGACCCCTGAACAGATGAACTCAAGAGACCACACACTGGACTGGAAGACACTAAGCCCAAAACTTGCTCATTCCATTTCCACAAAAGGTTTTCATACAGCTGTTCCTAACCTTTGGAATAATCTTCCTCACGAGATCCATCTTCTATCACTGGATTCTAAACATTGCTCAAAACTCATCTTTTCCACTCCTCCTCAGCCTCATAGCGCATTACATTTATTTTATAATTATTCATTCTGTGTTACTTTATTTTATGTGCGAAGCGTTGTGATACCTGTTTGTGCAAGAGCACTATGTAAATGCCGGAATTATTATTGTTACAACACATACACCCACCAACCCGCCCACATTGCACAATGATCTTTCATCTCTCCAACAAAAAAGTCCAAAGTTTGGTTGATGCTATCATTGGGCCTGTGCCGCACAACTGAAAATAATACTTCTGTGGCAGAAAAATCTATTATAAGGCGAAGCTTGTACTAGAATAGTCTGGAGTCATCCGTTGTTAATCGGAACCTGTGACTCTGATATTTCTGCAAGTGAACAGCCATTACATAGTCGAGATTATCAAATCTTTGTACCTCTTGACAACAAATTGCCAGTTGGAAGCAGTTTGAAAGTCTCATGTCTGGCTGGATGTCCTCTATAGAGGTTTTTCCCATGGCATAACACGACAGGCAAAAACATTTCAGGAAGCGTACCATGTCCATGCAGATGGATGCATTTTCAAACCTAGGTATTTTTATTGGCAATTTACAGTGGGTAAGACGGTTGAGAGACTTCAAAGGCACGTGCACTCCATGTAAATCTGTGAAAATTGAACTCTGATGGTCACAAATCACCTGACTGAAAACCCTTTATTGACCAACTTGAAGCATGTGAATGCTGCTTGGGGCATTGGATCCTGAGCTTTTGGGGAAAATGTAAAATGTAAATATAACCATCACAGATGGAGTGTTCTCAACAGTGCCCTCTGTATAAGTTCTACTAGTCTATTGCAAGGACCAAGTACATGGAGCTGACCAGTAGCCTAAATAAATCTTCTGCCACCGGATGTTATAAAGTTTTTATCTTGTTTGTTTATTTCACATCTCAGAAACAAAATACCCCTCAACGACGACGAGAGAAGACAACAATAACCACATGCACACCATCCAGGGAACCAACCGCTTTGGCCGAGCTCTGAAGGGCGTGTCAGCCCTCCTCCTGCTCGTTTTTATCTTTGCCTACACAACTCGGACGTTCAGCAGGATGAGCACCGTCCAGAACAATGAGGAGGTGCAGTCATTTAAGTACCGGTATGTGTGAATGCCAAAATTGCTCATTGGTTATTGTGAGTGTCCAATTAAAAGTGTGTTAAGCATGTGTCTTTCCAAGTGTCGTGTGTGTGGGCACTTTTGGGGCCAAATAGTACCAAACCATGAAGGAAGGAACGTGTTCATTATTTACAGTGTATATAAGCGTATACACTTCATGCATGTGCACAGCTTAACAACTTTTTTCTTGTCAGTCTTCTGGGATAGCCAGTGCTAGCTGTTTGGTGGCCGAAGTTCATTAATGATGTGCAGTCACTAGTTCATAATGCACTTGTACCAGCACAATATCAAACCACTCTCCCATGGCCTTGCTTTTCTCAGTTGTTAATGAACGAAGTAGTACTCGACCAAATCTCATGGATGAGTGTTCCAAACAAGTTTTGGGTGTTTTGCCATCACTGGGCTAGTCCAGACCAGCCCAGCATGTTTCTAGCCTCATGTCTTAAGTGTTGTTAATGATGCTGTGTGTGCTCCGAGCTTGCTGTCTTTCCATGAGATCGTGTGCACCCGTGCTGTTAGTTGACATCTTTCCCACTGGCCTGTCTCTCCTTTGAAGGGGTACATGTACTGTAGTTCTGAGCAGAATTGATTGCCAAAGTTGCACATCCATGTACCGGTATGTGGGCACTTAAGGGACCTCTTTTCATAGTTGAAACAATCCCCACCAAACTGTCCATTCTTTACCTTGTCATTTCTTATGGAGACTGTATTCCTACATGTACATGACCTCGTAGTGGATTGGATGACTCTTGCTGAACAGAGACAACTAGTAGCACATTTCAGACATTGACTACAGACCTGTATCGTGGGGCAGTCATCTTGCTTTTCTGCTATTCGAAGCAATGTAACCAAACTGGGGCTGGAAAGAAAAAGAGTCTGTTTCCTTTTATCCATACGCGAAGTTGTATCACTATTGTCGATGGGTCTACAGGAACAAGACAAATATGGCAGCATCATGATAAGGTCTATACTCTGAGGATGATGCTGTACTTCTCCAATTCATGTCCAAACATTTATTAACCCATTCAATTCACTACGTACATGTACATGTATCATTTCATAGCATTCAAAAAGTGAAAGGAGTGATAGGGGTGGGAAACGTGAAAGAATGAAACGGTAGAAAAACTACTTTCTTCCTCAGAGGTACACTGAAACAATGAATACAGCAACTTTAAAAAACCTGAATTTGTGCACATAAACTAAAGATTGTAAACCAAAGATCTAACTCATCTCTGTGCCTGAGTGGCAGCATCAAGCACACAGCTTCACGAGGCCTTGACTGCTACTTCACCACTTTCACTGAGATTGCCTTGTCCCGACATGTGAAACATGTGAACATGAACCTGTACCTGTGTCACATGTAGACATGTGTGGGTGTACAGTTTTTTTTTTTTTATCCCAAAAGGAGCTTTCTATTCACCTCTTCCCTCCCCCTTCCACGTTTTTGCTCACTCTAGCATGGGAAGCCTCCGGCAGACGGAGATACATGTAAAGGCCGACAGGCTAACAGTGGAACAAGATCATGAGGGAAAGCTGCAGAACAACTCATCAGCATCAAGTCATAGTGTGATGCACACGGACATTGTTGGAAATGACAAAGAAGATGGTATACAGGGTACCGGGCCAGAGAATGCCAACATCAGGCCCATCTCTGTTGATAAAAGCAATGACAACAACAGCAGCAGCAGAGGCAGTGAGAAAGACAGAGAAGTTCATACGCTGTTCTCCACTTTGCACCCATCGTATGTATATCAACAGATGGCTCGCATGAAATAATCATGTGTATTTGTAATTATTAAAAGGAAATTCATAATAAACTTATCCATCTGTACTGATTCTCAAGGTGCTATGCACTTGTTATCCCTACTCGCCAGGCCCATAAACCATCTCAGCTCCCAGGGGAATCTACTGCTCAATTTCTGCCATTTCGGGTGCAAATAGCTAATCAGGCACAACAGCCATCTTTGCCTTTACAGATGTCAATTTGTACACCAGGGTAGGCAAGGGGGTAGGGTTAATGGACTTGGTTAAGGTCACATCAAGATTACTCTGTCTGTTTGGCCCATTAAAAAGTCCCTGGGGAGGAGGCCTATAGGGCTTGTTACTGCCATTTTAGGCATACATGGCAAACCAAATGCGAGTATGCTCAGCCAAAGTGCCTTCTCGAGGACTCCAACATCTGCAGTTACATCGGAACTAAGGAGTGAACTTTCAAGATTTGTGCTTTGTTTATCAGATATGACGAAATTGAGCTCGGAGAAAACAGCGGAATACCAACCACACAGTTTCTTGAAGTCAGCCGTGCTCTAAGACCATTACTAGGTAACCCCCAAATTTCCAGTTGTTAGGATTAAGCAGGGTATATGTATTAAAGAACTTGAAGAGAGTTTTCATTCCAACCCTAACCTTATCACGGACACTCACCGCCATCCTGCCCTGGGCTGGCTTGTAAATGTACTTGATGCAAGTGCAAAACAACTTTCGTGACCATCAGGCAACATCAGCAGCAAAATTTGTCAGAATGGAAACATGCTCAACTGTCGTTGATTCTCATCATGAATATTATGCCTGTGCTTCCTCAGTTTCGCAGTGCCTGGACATTTGCGATGAACTAGCCATTAACATGGACAGTTAAAGTGTGCTTTTTAAGCGGAGTAGCCTGGTAGTTTCTCTGTTCAACCCACCAACATGGTTTGTTTTTTGCTTACAGATGCAATAGGATCTTCTGTGAGTCTCGTTGAAGGTGACATGAAAGGAAATGCTGATGTGAGTTTACTGTACCATGAACAGTAATAGGACCACACAAAAAGCAATAGCCCTGTTTCAGCTGCTTAAGCTCAAAATTTGCTTAAGCATGAAAAATACCTTGCTTGACAAATCAGGTTACCAGCTAAAATTCCATGTGATGTATATTATTTTGGAATGGTATTCACCTGTCTTTTGGTTTGCATGACAATCGCATAGATTTTGAGCTGGTAACCTTTGTTTTGTATTAGCAAGGTTTTTTGCGCTTAAGCAAATTTTGCAGTTAAGCAGCTCTATGACACTGGCCCCAGTTGTATTAAGGAAAATAAGGGTGGCGTAGTAGATAAAATTTCTTGTTCTTTAACTTAAACATTTACCCAAAAATATTGGGTCAACAGTTGATTGTCAATTAGTTTTGTTTTTCTTTGAAATAGTTGAGAGTACATGTAGCAGTGTCAGATTCTTTATATGTTGGAACTGTATATCAGCATTATAGAGGAATTTCAGTCACATGATTTTTTACGGTCAGCATTCAATTTACACAGATGTTCACAGAATCGCGCTCGCCCTCAAAGTCTCTCAACATTCTGGCATATTTGAAACTGCCAATAGAAATACACAGATTTGAAAATGCAAGCGCCTCCGCGGACATGGTACGCTTCCTGAAGTGCCTTTGCCCGTCATGTTATGTCATGTGAAAAGCTTCAATACACATGTAAATCATCACAGGTTGATGTGTGGTTGAAAACATCTGAATTAACACAGCAGATTGTTATGGCTACCTGAACACTCAAGACCATGCCACTTTTTCAGCCTACCAGCTTAAATAAGAAAAGGATATAGGTTCTGCAAGATTTTCACTGTTTTATTTTGGTTTGGCCTCATACGGCATCTCAAAATCTGCAAGAATTCCGGATATTTTTTGGCAATCTCAGCATTATTCATGTCATTTAGTTGACATGTAATTTCTTTGCTCACTTTTCATCCTTTAGAAACTTCAGCGGGTGTATAATGAGAACCCATCCCAGTGCCAAACTATTCAAGACATGTTGACCTTTGACATCAGGATGGGCCGAGCTAAGGACAATGAGAGATCCGTGATTTCCCTGATGTGGTTTAAAAGGTCAGTGGGAGTGGAGCGATTCAAGTAAAAATTGACTTACCGTGTTTGACGAATTTTTCAATTATTGCCATTTCCATGAGTGGAACAGACTCAGCTCAGTCATTTACATTGACTTAAACCAGCATTCCCATTTGTGAACACCTGACATTCCCATATGGGGACACAGGACATTCCCATATGGGGACACAGGACATTCCTATATGGGATATGGGGACACAGGACATTCCCATATGGGGACACAGGACATTCCTATATGGGAACACCTGGCATTCCCATATGGAGACACCTGGGGGGTTTGGGTCAACATAGGAATCATTTTTTTTTAGTATTCAGTAAAAGTCTTCATTATTGTGTGTTTTGATATTTACCGTAGATTTTTCAACACTTCATGAACTGTTCTTTTGATCTTGCACTCACGGCCACCCATAGTTGAACTGCGCTTGTGATGCAGGAAAAAGAAAGATCTATTCGGGATATTCTGCTACCAGAGAAGGTGGCTATAATCGGAGATAGAGAAGCATATGCTTCTCATCTGAACAGGTTGTTCTCTGGTCAGAATGGTCTTTTGCATTAACTTTCTCCTCATCAGCAGACCATCTCCATGGTGTAATATTACGGCACACCTGTGTACTTTTTATGCCATCAAGGAATGCTACAAAAGGACCAAACATTCTTTTCAGAAAGTGGCATTTTAAACACATCTTGGATTTTACTTCTATAAGTCTCATTGCAACTGACAAGATTTGCCCCTTTTTTCTTACTGCAGAGCTTACGAATTTATCGCAAGATTCATGAACTACGTAGTAGATGGGACAGAGCCAACCAAAGCAGCCCGTAAGCATAGGCAAACTGTTTTTCAAAAGCCCTACAAGAAGCGTACATGTTTTGTGAAAAATATCTGTTGAACTTGCAGGACCAATCATTGTGTGCTTAAGTGGTCCTATTTCTGTCCTCTTTTAAACAGCTGTGTCGGAAATTTCAAGTGAAATTAATAATTTAGTAATTTTCATTTCTCCCTTTTCTGCTTTTTGGAGGCAAAGGGCTCATGCAGTTTAAATCTTCCCCCTTCTTCCTTTCCTTCACTGCTCACAATGTGGAGATTGCTTGGGAAGAACTGTGCAATAAGCCATTTGCAAGTTAAATTTGAATAAAGTCTGGTGCACTGAGTTATATGACTGCACATAAACATAACAATTTGAATTCCTCAGACTAAAGACACTGTTGCTATACCTCGTGATTCGGGGCAAGCTTTCGCTTATCGACCACCGTCTCTGGAATGGACTGGTCCCTTTGTGCCCTTCTTATCCGTTGAGAACACTGTATTGTTGCAAGGCGTCTCTTATGTCACTAAGCAAAAGCTTGCCCCGAATCATGAGGTATAGCAACAGTGGTTTTAGTAAGGAGAATTCAAATTGTTATGTTCACTGGAATTTAAAGAACTCAGTGTACCAGATTTGGGTCAAAGTTAACTCGCAAAAGGCTTATTGTCCAAATGTTCCATACCGATACTGTACTTCCCCAATGTGTACACATGAAAGGACAGGATTTTTTAGTCCACAAGGACATCAGCCATGCAGTGTTTGGTCTTCCAACGTATGTTTTTCTTGTCCATAGATACTGCATATGAAGAGGTGCTCAGCCGATACCACAACTTCTTCATTAGCTACTCTTTTAGGGTAAGGTGGAGGTTTGTAATGAGCTCAGGGATCCGTTTAATCCTTCATCCCCTTGGTTTTTGGTTTTAATTATATTGGAGGATTAATTATAGAAGAGATAAACATAATCACCGCGGTGGACGACAAATACAGAATATTATTAGGATTAATGATGTTCATTCACGTAGCATGGAGCAGAAAGCCTTTGCTGCATAACCATTCTTTAAACAGTAACATTTTGCCTGCCAGAAGACACGATAAAGTTTGCATTGCTTGTGGTGGATAGGATTTTGCTGAGATAGAAAATGATACCTTGCTTATGTGCATTTTCTGCAGTGGACCTTCCTGAAATGTCTGCTAGGTATTTAGTACATGTACTTCAGTTTCAATTTGTCTGGGCACATTTTGATAGTAGTGGTTTTTGTATGGACTGACAAAGATAAAAGAGCATTCACCCATGGCTGGCAACAGCTACACGCATTTCCTCAAAGTGCAGGGGTGGATCCAGGGGGGACGTATGCCCCCCCTTTTTACCTAAAATGAATGAAAAAGAGGGAGAGAGAAAAGAAAGGAGCGCCTAGAGTCCAAAATGGCCCAGGCCCACCCACACACCGTAGGGGCTTCACGCTCCTCGCTTGCAGGCATTTTACCATTGCTGTTTTAGTTCACCCCCCTCCCCTTTTTGGAAAATCCTGGATCACGCCCTCCCTCCTTTTGGAAAATCCAGCCCCAGAAATGTGCATCCAAACTCTGAGTGTTCTGTTATATTCTGTGTCGGAATTATTTGGCTTCAGTTTGAAATGCTTGACTCTATTGGGAGTGCCTGTAGCCCAAACCACATAGACTAACACATCATTCCAAGCCATAGTGAAGTGAGTTGGACACAACAGTAGTTGGCCAGCTGCTGGTTGGCAACAACTATAACTGTGACAAAGCAAAAGAAGGGTCTAACCACTCGATCGTTTTACTGACTTTTGGACCCCTAACTGCTCTGTGGTGTCTTGAAAGTGGGTGACCCTTAACGGGGTCATTTATGCTTGGGTACTGGGTTTAAAGAGTTCATGCCATCTTCGTATAGCTTTGATGACTCAGTCCCCGTCTCACATTTTCAACTCCAGTGCGAGGTTTTGCTATATGAATGACAGGGCACAAATGACGTGTGATTGATGATAATCTGTTTGGCCCGTCTTTCATAACTGTCTTGAATCGTTTTGTTTGCAGCTTGCCATGAACCTGCTGCCGTCTCGAGAACAACTCTTCAAGAAATTTGTCGTGGACAATGCTGACCTCAACCGGCCCGGCTGGGAGGCAAGGGTCACGGCCGACATGAAGCAGTACTTCGCGGGCATGGAACGCATCCTGGCGATCCTGCGAGAGTTTTACACCGAGCACAACCTGGAAAACTGACACTTTGTTGGGGTTCGTACAACTGTATGTGCCAAACTGCTGCTCCTTAAGGGTGGGCACGTAGGCGCCCTTGCCCCATTCTTTGCCGTAATTGTTTTATTAAATGTATACTGTGGGTACAGAACTGAGTGGATTAAAATATTCTAAGCAGGTTTCAGTCTTTAATCAGGCCTCCCATAAATAAACGAAGCTGTTTTGCTTGCAACAGAGATTGTTTTATTTTGTGGCTGCAATACCCAAATTATCGTTGTACTCTTTGGAACGAAAACAGTACTTTGCTTTGATGGGTATATATATATGTATGTATTTCCCAAACTTTTCGGTTTGCACTCGAAATTCAGAGTTGCCAGTGTTTGTAAAAGATTTTATTAAATAGAAGTTTTAGTGAACTAACAAGTTGTGGAAGGAGTATATTTTAGGAAGTAATAAAAGGGTGATCCGCCTTAAGCAGGAGTACTCCCTTTTCCCAAATGCTGGGATTGCCAATTCAACCACTTTGTGCTGGAGGACGTTTCAACACACCCTGGCTAACTGTATACAGAGGTAAGGCTGACGGGGCAAAATGTCAAGACTAACTTAAACATGCTAATCCCTCGTGTGTGCTGTACATGCTAAGTCTGTGGAGGTGGGCCCTGTGTTGATTGTGGATCTTGTAGCAAATATCGCTCTATGGGCACATCCTAGAGTGTTGACAAATACAGGCTTTTGAGGTATGAAATAGTGTTCCGACAGCCATTACAGTCTTTGTTGCATTTTGCCTCCACTCGAAAGTCGAAATTTTTGGCCACTGTCCTCGAGTGGATGAAGGCTTCGTTGCAGGTAGAAAAGACAGACCTTGGTGTTGTTTTGATGCTTCATTCTTGCATCTCGTCTTTGACCTCAGCATACCTTGATGGCTGAAGAAAGCAGCTCTGCTCTGTTTGGAATGTTGACATTTTTTATTTAGAGAACTTTACAAGAAGTTTTTAAGTTTGTAATTAATTTCTAAGCTGTTACACCAACTCAATGAAAATGCATTGATTTGGGCTGCCAACAGTTTTGTAGCCTAGAGAACTTAAAAAAACGTGTGACTGGTAAAAGATGGCATGTGTGCTTATGTTTTTAGGATTTTCTTCTGTATTTTTGTACACACTTACATTGTCATGGAGAGGAATACATGTATGTCCTTTGGTCCGTATCTGTGGATATTATTCTTAATCGTTTTTAATGAAATGAAAACTATCTGGAATTATTTAACTCAAAACTGTTGTTTCTATTCTGAAATTCTACATTGATCATCAGGTAATTGTGGCTTAAATCAACTGAAATCTTGAAGGTACTTTAAATTCAAAAAAAAAAGTTAAAAAATGATTCCTTTATGTGGTTTATCTCTCTGGGGTTGAAGAGAAGGTTAACAAGTTTTACCTTTTCTAATTTTGTTTCTAATTTTGATGATTTATTGTCGGTATTCTATCTCTTAGTACGGCTGGAACATGTAAACATTTTTTTCAGATTACTTATTTGAAAGGAAATTCGAAATTTATACTTTATGTAATGTTTTCTATTGTCAATTCTGATACTAAGCAGATCAAGACATATTATGTATTCATACTTACATTTTAAAAATTGTGTCTTGAAGTAGTTCAGTGTTATATTCTGTTCCATTTTACATATTCTGCATATTGGCCTTCAGACTATGTATATATACCCATGTACCACTTTAATGTATTCATTATTGACCTCATTTATATTCATGGCTAGTTTCAGTACTGCTGCTATCATTGTCATGAGTATAGGAGTGGATTAAAATCAGAATTACGCAATCTTCAAGGAAAGTTGAAATCCTCATCGCTTGATTGGTAGATTCATTGCAAAAGCAGTTTTATATCTTTTGTTTGGCATATTTCCAATTCTATTGTACACCTTGCTTTTTTTTTCAGCAGTAGGGCCTACACTCCTGCTGTCATTCCAGAAAAGACTTTGGGCATGCTCAAAGTAATAATCCATGTCGTGACTCGTGTATGCTATCAATGTCACCTCACTCTATGCCACTTAGCCTTTGGTCTTGTAGCGCACAGGACGTTTTCACCGTTGTACTGCATTCAACGATAATCAACTCATAATTTGGAAGTTACTGGTGTACAAATATAACAGGGTTTGAGGCTGGTCGATGTTAGTGCCCCTCAGGAACTAGTTTGTAAGCTCCCAATGCCTCAAGGAGCTAACATCGACTGTCCAACCGAAATAAACCATGTTATATTTGTTTTATTATTCCTCATGCATATTTTCTATAAGAACCTCTGAAAATGAAATCATCAATTTGTTTCCACGAACCTAAGGTCGAAAAACAAACACTTCATCAGTTCGGTATCGCTCAGCTGAGGAAAACGCTGAATGTCTTTTATGTGTGCCACCATCTTTTCGTATGAGCTGCATACCGTTACTAGGCTGGCTGGCTGGCACCACCACAAGTGCACACTACACCTGGGCGACAGTGCCTGGATTTTCTGCTACTGCGCATGCCTTTTGAACTGTCGCCCGGGTAAGCCGGGCAGCAGTTAATAATGCATGCGTACTTACTCCTTGCGTAAACAATCACATGTGCATTTGGCAAACAGCAAAAATAGCGGCTGGTGCATGACCATGAATGCACCAATTGATCAGAATTAGTCAAACTCTAGTCCTTGGTCAAATTTGCCCCACGTGCGGCATTTCAACGGTCAGAAGTCGCCTCTTTGTTCAAACTGATATTCTGCATCTGAGTGTGAGCAGAATATTAGAATGCTGATGGGAGTGATCCCGCATTGAGATGTTTGACAGAAAGCCAGTTTGTTTCAGAGCCAGATCTGAATCGTGATCAGTGATCCCAAAGCTGGTTTGTGCTATCCATTACACGGCTTTTGGTGTCAGTGAACCAATGTTGGATCACTGATCTACGTGAGACAAACAGGCCCACAGAGATGGTCTGAGCACATTTTCTTTGCATAGTTCCAATAAATCTTGTTACAGGAAGGTCAGATCACATACTTTTTGTACTCTCATGACAGCAGGGTGATCAAGTTAATTTAATCAGTCAAAATTTGCAAATGGATGAATTGGAAGAACTTGGAGAAAAGGTCTTCCTCTCAAATTACAGTTTTGTATTCATTTTGATAGTCTAGTCACATTGCATGATTCCCAGTTTCTGTTTCTTTTTTACATGAATTTGTCGAGCTTGGTCCATCCGCCCCGACTTGAAGTGCACCCCCAAGCGGCAAAAGAAAGACAGGTGGTTGTAAGTTTTCCAAGTGGGTTCTTGCACGCTTTCTGCGTGTACGCAACGACCATACATTACAGAATAAATTTGTTACGCGTAGTCAGCGTGATCTGCGTCAAACGGGCCATTGATCTCCATTATAAACGCGCGCCCATGTGGCGAGTACCAAAAAAAACGCCCTCTTTTGTTCCGCAAGGAGCGGATACCAAAGACGCTCACAAACCAGCCCTGCCCTGAAACAATTAGACTGCTGAATTACTTTTCAGAATCAATTACCATTAAAAAGTTTATTCTCACACACATACCTATTACAATAGTAATAAAAAACAGCCCTGTATCAGTTTTGTCTCCTGGCAAAACAAGTTGCTACTTCAGAGAATTTCAATTGTAATCTTGAATTTCTTTTGGATAGCAACACATTTGTCATATACATTTTCTTTATCAACGTATGAAAACAGTTCAAAGTCTATTTTTTGGTTGCAACATATACATATTTTGTCCCACATGCATAAAATATACACATCTTTCATATTATAAAATCTTACTAATGACAACTGCTGTAAATATCTTTAAAAACATTTGGCAGGATAGATGACAGCGCTATGAATACAATGGATGTGTGGTAGAGGGTGAATTTCATGAATATGAATGACTATAGAGTACCGAAGTGTGACATCACTTTGAACCAGAAAGTGCAGTGCAAAAAAATGGAGTACGTGCACGTGTTGGTTCACGCGCTGGTTCTCACGCTAATGCCTTTTACACACTAATTGTGCGTGTGACGTATTCACTTTGGTACTCTATTGCATTCGATATCACGGACATTTGTCTGTATCTCTTAGGTGTTTAAATTTTGAATTAGGATCTGACAGTGCATGTAAAAACTAGTGAAAAACATCATTAAATTTTATGAAAATAAACACTGAGTAAAAACGGTTTAAAGTGGCCTTGTTTTGTGGGACATGATTTCAAAATCTTGCTCTTTCTACTATGTTGGCCTGCTCATTTTCTGCATTTTGTAAGCTAGTTCACTAATTTTGCACAAGAGTACCGTGTTTGCTTGGAGGTGTCCTTTGTGAAATTTTGCTGCAGAAGCATAAGCACAGTGTCTATTTCAGGCAAATTGCAAGCTGCTGATATTGTTTTTACAGCTTAACATATGAAATGTTTTACTCTAAAATAGGAGCAATTGAAAATGCAATAACTGTTCCACCTTTGGTTTGAGTTTTTCATTGATGAGCCTAGATATAGATCATGTGAGTCACAGGGATCTCAAGCTGGTTTCAGCTGAACAAGCAAGGGCACTCTTTCACAAAGCAGTGAGCAGCCCACACCCAGGACATGTGCACTTGCTTGCTTGTGCATAGCGTCAAGTAGGCAAATGATCTAAGCATGCCCACTGGGTACCGAGTGTATGTAATGGCAACAACAGTTCTCAAGCGCAGGCCTGACCATTTTTCAGTGTCGAGCATTATTTGGCTCGGAGGCCTTTATACTCATTCAACCACTGTTGTTTACAACTTGTGCTGGTTGAACAACACACCTGTTGGCAAGAGTAATATTAACTCAGGGTCACTGAATTAGTCTGTAGGCAACACAGAAAAACCATTCGCTAAAAGTCAGCTGAGCTTGTACCTCTAAAAGCGCTTGATGATTTGAACTTGAGGACTGAGTAGCTCTACCTCCCGAACTATGAAATTTATTTAACAGGCAAAATCAACGGCTTTCAACCCTGTGGAAAAGTAGTGGCACAAGGGCAGTGTTATAGCTCCCCACTGGCAGCAGATCAGCTCAGGGAGTTTGGAGTGAGAAATGCTCTTCTCATTCCACAGCCACAACAGAAGCGTGCGTCCTGGACTGGGTACTGAGTCCCACACTGGAAACAAAACGGTGCAGGCACGCTGCCGTTTACTGCTTCCAGTTTGGCGCCATGCCTGGCTGACACATCCGTCAGCCCGGCGGCGGGCGTGGTGCAGTTGACGGGCGAGGCCAGTGGGGAAGGGGTGTGACCACCTCCCCTCAGCGGTGGGGTGAAGGACAGGGGGGAATTGCTGAGGGAAGGGGACCCTCTTGTGAACTCCCGTGGGGATGATCCAGAGGGACTCGGTGGGCTGAAACTGCCGTTCTGCAAAGACGTGTGGCTACCAGTCTTCAAGCCTCCTGGAGAATCAAGCTTGGTCACTCTGAAATAGAGGAATGGATTACATTCAAAATTCCTCTCAATGTCTTTCATACTAATATTACTCTCTATTAGGCAGACATCCCTGGATAACTAAATCCAGTGGCAGTGGGCGTAACTAGTTAGACATTTCTGAGGTGGCACCTAGGGTGCACACATGTTATTCAACAGAGCATTGAAAGCAAATTTACTGAGGGTTGTTTCAATGTGGGAGGGGGCAGTTGTTAGACCATCAGGCATCAGCCATTAAACAGGTCAATCAATTATGCCCCACCCAATTATAGGACCAGCAAAAAGTGGGGGACTCCCTCCAGTCAAAAGAGTGGGGGAGGGGGCCACTGGCCCTCTGACATCCACCACCAGTGGGTTGTACATAGGCTGTGTGCATTTCAAAATTTCAAATGCGGGGGAGCAGATTTCTGCTGGGGAGTTTATTCCCCTCACAGCATTCTGTAGTTGCACTGTTGTCAAATAGCGTAATGTGCTCGTCTGCTTGGTGCTCAAAGCAAAATAGACAATTAAAATTATAGACTCCTATAGTAAAGATGCCACACTTATCCAATGACTGTCTGAGCCAATTACAATTAAGCAAATTGCAAAAAATTAGGTTACTAACTGACAAATTAACATAATATGCAATTATAATAAAGCATCAAAAAAGTTTTCCTGCCCCAGAACGGACTTAAAATATTGACTTATAACTTGATCCGTTTATACTCACGTTTCAAAGCTTGGTGAATTCTTTTCCCTCCAAGTAAAGGTTGAATTCAGGGGTCGTCCAGTTCCTACCACCTCCACAGGTTGTTGCCTGGGCGATGACCCAAGGCCCACATTGCCAGCGGTCTGGGCACGCTGCAACCTCATTTCACTGGCTTTGGTCGTGCGGTAGTTACTTAGGTTGCTGTGGTAACTCGCAGGACCGTTAGTTCCTGGTTGGACGGGCGGAGGGTGAGATGGGGGCCGTGGGGAGGGCAGGGTGTCACCGCCATTTGCTTGAAAAGTCTCCACATCCACCTTGTCTGAAAAACTGAAATGAACGAGTCACAGTGAAAAGCTGGAAAACAAACACAGATCCCAAACCAAATTTTTTTGGGGGGCGGGATTCAAAACTGGAGAGGAAATATCTACACATTTTGTTGCCTCTCTGAAGGGTAAGGCTTAACTTGGGGGTATATTTGTAAACTGTTGGAAAGAAGGGAAAAGTACCCCTTCCCTCAGATTTTGTTACTGTTCATCTATTTGTTCATAGTTTTCCTCCGTAAGAAGTTTCATCTTTCCGAAGTCTTCAGGTAGACAGTCATGAGTAGAAAGTGATATTCAGTTATATACAAAATATTTATCTTCTCATTAGAGGCTATCGGGGGCCATTACTGGGTCTTCTGGTCGGCCTGCTCTGGAGGACGACTGTTTTAGGGATTGCTCTCTGACATGAGGTTGACGACTTCTTTCTTACTTCTTATTCAAAGTGAAGTATTAATAGTAAGGTCAAAAGGTGAACTTCTTACCGGACTGAGGACTTAGGACGGGCAGCCCTGCTGCGTCCTGAGGACAGTGCTGATCGTGTGGCACTTTGGTGGCTGCTGGCTTGAGTTGTCTTGGGTGGGCTAGGGGGTTGTGACGTGTACCCGGAATGCCTCTGAGCTGTACTTGCTTGTGCGCTTTTGAATTCTGTTGAATTAAACGAGAACAACATGGCGATCAGGAAAGAATAATTGAGTTGGCCACAGCAACTGTCTGGCCCACAGCTAAAGTGTTTCACAACTTGAGCTATCAAGCCCGAAATTTGTGCTAAACAAAATAACTCGTTTTGTTCTGTCAAAGGTCCGTCAAGATGTCATAAGCTATTAAACTCTACCGTGGCAAACCAGGGATCAGCAAAAACCAAATATTCTCTCAATTTGATCTAGTTAAAACAAAACAGTAAACAAACACTACTGTTTTGAGTTATCCAAGAAACTCCACAAAATGGACTGTTGTTGCATGACACACAGACGACAATTAAATTTTTTCCAATGTGGTCACTACATGTATATGACATTCAATGGTTGTATCATGACCTGAAATCCACAAGAAGGGAACAAAACAACCTTTCGGAATCCCATCCAACAAATTTTAAAACAATGTTCAGCCAACTAAAAATGTTTATTGTCTAAGTTCTTTTACAGGAGGTGGGCCTTTTATGTTTTTTTCAAGATGGCCACCATTCTTTGTAAACTTTCCAACAACCATCATTGTTTCTACTCTTCAAGACACAAAACAAAGAGATGAGTTGGACAAGAGAATTAAACATGTTTAAAGTGGTGCTTATTAAGTTTGTACAATTCAACAAAACAAAAATGCAGTTGCTTTCATGGGCCATGTGTAATTTGCAGTCGTAACTCAGTATTTGGAGATGGAGAGAATGAAGACATGCATGATGTAGGAAGTGACAGACAGAGTCCAAAGTTAGAAGTGCAAACTCACAAGCATTTCATTTTCTGATGGATTAATTGACATGTTTTTCAATTTGTTTCTCGCAGTAAAATTACGTAAAGACATTGAACATCAGTTGTTTTAATTTGCCTTGCCATGATCACCTTGTTCATGTTGTTCGATATATTCACCATACAGGACATGATTAAAAAAATCTGTCATCTCTTATCAAACTTCAAACAGAGTTGGCAGGCCAAATGATGGAACGATAGTGACGGGCCTACAGATCAGGCTGGCCTACCTTAGTAACGCTGGAAAGGGGTCACCGTAAGGTCAAAGTGAATAATACCATTGCCAGGAATGGAGCTTCTGGGCAAGTATTTCAATGAGACATGTCAGAAACTCGAAAAACACTGCTATCGGCAAAAGACGAATTATGCACAAAAGATGTCACCACCACAGCGTGGCAAATGCACTTGAGTGTTTGAAGCAAACATTTTGAACTTTGTCCCAAAACGTGAAATCCATTTTTCAGTGCAATAGCAATGGTGGTGGAACAATTTTCAAAGTGGGGAGGGGGACCAGTCGTGAAAGCATCAGGCATCAGCCATTGATAGGCCAATCCATGAAGCCCTAACCCACTATAGGACCTGCAAAAAAAAATTTGTGTGGAAGGGGGAGCACCAGTGTGCGATATCACCTTCACCTCAGAGTTTTGGACATTTTAGACACAACAAATACTGATTACTTCAACAGCTACGTGTGTTTCCCTGTGGGCATTTTTCCCTATGGATGAAGGCCAAAATATTCTTTAATAAAGCTTTTGCAGAAACATGTTTTTATAAACACATACAATGGCATACTAACTAGCAGGCTCTACTAGTCAAAACTGAACTAAGCATCTGGATTGTTACATGTAGTTCCTCTCACCAACAAGGTCTGAAGAAAAACACAACCAATGAATTTCTGAATCCATTATCTCATCTCACTAAAGTATCATGGTTAAAACTAGTAAACTGATCACTTACACTGGCTCTTTTCCCCCGTGATGTTTCCCAACTAAATAACTTAGGAATCCATGCGAGAACAACAGAGGGTGCTCAGTAAACTCCCAATAGAATGTGTAAAAGAAACTCGTTGTCTGATGACACGGTAGCCCTTTGTTTGATATGCAAATTAATACTGCGTGCATAAGGAATTTGTGCAAGCACACAGAGGATGGTGAGGATTTCTTTCAAGAGAAGGCATCAGCTTACTATTTTTGTAAGATGGCACTGAGGAACCAAAGAGCACTCTTGTGGACAGAATACATGCCTCCCCAGGCCCCTCCCCGCTCTACCACAGGTCAGACAGCTATCTTTCAAGAGAGATATGCTCGGGATGCAACATACCCTGTCTGTAGAAAGTGGCCGGTCCCCTTGTCCCACCGTAAGTGGCTGAGTAAATGGCCATGTTGGGAAACTCATCGGTCGCAGGCTGAGAGTAGGCATAGGGGTTGGCACTGCCCTTCCTACGAACAACTTGATTGTCATACTGTTGGAAAGAAATTGAAGTCACTCAGAAAATTGGACAAAATTCAGTCAGACGATAAAGACTTCTGCATCCAAAAAGACAAACTTCTGCCAAAGACAAAAACCGAGAAAGCTGATCACAAAACACTCTTCTAATCACAAGGCCAGGAAAACCCTCCCTGTCACCTCCAGTACCAGTTTGCACTGACGTCATACATCTCCCATGAACCTCTTCAAAGGGACTTCAGCGACCAGAAGCCATAAATCTGTGTGGCTAGTGGGCAAATGGTACGCATGCATTATACACGTGCAACTTTCCAAAGTGTGCGTGCATAAAGGTTCAGAACATGCTTGTGAACTTGGTGCACCAAAGCAATGATGCCTCCTTGGATTAGTCTATAAAACCTTCGGGGGGGTCTTTAAGGATGAAAGAAGTCCAAATCATTTCATGAAAAAAATCCCAATTTTGTCCCCACAAACTCAAAACCCAGACACACCCCTGTGTGGTAGATGTAACAAAGAGCACAGAGAATTGACAAATCCCTTCAGTTTAATCAAAGTGCTTATAGGACAATGAACGCTTACAGCTTTTCTGACTCCCGCTGAGCTGTAGCTTACATCGGCTGCTGCCCTCTTGTGGAGAGGCTTAATGGGTGCTCCGTGGGCCTTGGTTCTCTGGGCACAGAAGGGGATGTGCCTCTCTGCTGCCGTGGGATTGAAGCGCCGGGAACAGTGTGGGCATCCAATGTAATCTGGTTCAATCATAAGTGAATAGACAGGGCCGTCAAATCTTGGTTCCAGAGTGTTGAGTCTGAGGCCTCAACCTTAACACTTGATCAGCTTACAAATTCTAGAAAAACAACTGCGTATGAGTAAAATGCATTCTTTAACCTGCCCAGCAGGCTAGTACAAGGACAGCCACCTGTTTGAACCTGTCATTTGTTTTATTTGCAAAGATAAATAAAACAAAGATTACAAATGTTGATTTTACCTGTTATTTATTAATTGTAATAGTTTTGAATCCTCCACTTTGAAGTTAAAATTGACAGCATGACTCCACAGTAACAGTTGAAAAAAGTCAACTTTGCTAAACAATCAGTGTTAGAATTGAGTCCATCACAAGTCCTTTTCACAAGTCCCCCAAGATGTCCAGTCACGAGTCCTTCCACAAGGCTAGACATAAGTAACAAGGTGAACAATGACAAATGAATGCTTTTGTCACAGCTCCATTGAAAAGCTTGTGAACTGACTTCAGACTGAATGACTTGTGATGGATTGACAGGGATTTGTGATGGACTCAAATACAACACTGTAAACAATGTCCTGTGGGCTCATGAAAATTCCACAGGCTAGTAAAAGAAAGTAAGTTAACTGGCCTGGAGGGCTGGTTATAAAAAAAAGCTCAAGGTCGATGCCTGGCTGAGTCAACTGGTTTGAGTTGAGTCTGGGTCTGAGCCCCCAAAAAGCACTTTGAAACCAATTATGAGTTTGGATGTACACTACGTGTTCAACATGTTAGATATCGGTAGGTGTTATTTTGTGTACTGAATGAAACCTGTGTGTGCCTGAGCTGTATTACAAAAATCAATAACCTTGGACAGCACAAATATCATGAAGGATATTATTTACACGGGAGTATATGTAATTTTTGCACCATGCACTGTCTTACAGAAAATAAACACTGGGAATTGTATTTTCGATAACAACAAAATTATTAAAAATAGTTGACTTGTGAATAATGCGTCATCGGTGTCGAGCATGAGAAATGAAAGTCCAGTCAGAGTGTTTTCCCCAAATGACTTGCAAGCAAGCGAGCCAGGCCAAGCCAGAGTTAAAAATGTGACTCAACAAAAAGGATTCAAGTTTCAGTCTTAGACTGGAGTCACGCGAAGCTTGTTTTACTCTAACTGGGAATACATGTAAGTCTTGTTCAGGGCCTTGTGTGAAGCTGTTATGACCTAGTCCTAGGTTTTCAATATGAGTGCACAAACACTCTCATATAAAAGCATGAACGGACTTTGAGTCCTGGGATTTCAGGTACTCAATATGCCAATAATGTGGGTCCTAATAAGAATTGTGGGTACTGCCAGTAGACGGTGCAGAAAGTTCTGAAAGTTCTTTAAAAACCACGTCAAATACAGCCATGAAAAAAAGCTCATCTTAGAAATATTACTGAGATGCACCGATGCCTCGTTACTTAATGCTGTGAGACTTACTAGGATTGTGCGATGGCGGGGGCGGGGGTGGGAGGGGCCCGCCTGTTTTAATCGCTCTCTGAGCTGCTCTTGCCGAGCGAATTGAGTTGACAAATTCCAGGTGGCGCTCTCTCCAATGGGTGTCTTTGACTGGCTGAGACTGCAGGTGTGGAAAAAGAAAGTGAGCAGCATAGATCGCTATGTTCTACACATCCAGTGGTGTGCAAATACCCACATTTATTGTACTTAGGGCTGCAAGTTCCAAGTCATTTGATGAGTGGCTGAGCTCTGTGGTCCAAAATCCAATACCTTATGAAAAACAGGTGTTCATTTGGGGTAGACACCAGGGGTTGCTGGGGTTAATGGAAGAAGCAGTCCGGTAATTTTGTGACCAGGGTCAATGGGTTATGCATGTGGCAACGGAGTTAGTAAATGTCTTCAGAAATTGAGAAAGCTCAGAATTCAGCTCACATCTAGATTGGCATCCACAGTGTCAAGTAATCAAACTTTTAAATAATGTTTCTCCAATCCTATCTACACAATTAAATATTGACCACATCAGCGGGGAAAACACAAGTTGGCATGAATAACAACCCTTTAACTAGAGTAGGCCTTTGCCTATGACCTCTTGAAATACTTTGTGCAAATCGACTTCCTTTTAGTTTATTGAGCTGGTGTGACTAAAGTTTTAATCCTCTATTCATTCTAAAATATGTACAATTTAGATTAGGAAACCAACATAAAAGATGCAATAATTTTATTGCAAAGGTGATTTCATTTACAATAAGTAATTCTTGTACAAATGTCAATGTTTGAAATAATACTATGTCTGAGAAAATCTTTCTGCAACAGGAAATTCTTAGTTTGTCACCATGGTTTAATTTATACTTGTTGCCTTAATAAGTACCTGTACTTCTCCTGGGCATGACCTGTTCTTGAATGATGCCCCGGTGCCTTGCAGACGCTGCTTGGCTGAGTTAAACACCTTTCTTTGTCCGTTCTTAAGCTGTGACTTTTGGCAGATGTTCTCATGTTTGCCCTGATAATTGGAGGCAGTGGCAAAAAGAAATGACCAGCACGACTGGCTGAATTGGCTTGAGAAGTAAAGACGGTCAGCAATGTGTAAAAAACAACTTGCCAAGTTAGCACAATCTGCTTATCCGGTTAGTAACTGTCACCTTCTGAGATGAAGATTTTTCAAAACTAACCAGGAGGATTTTCAAGCATTTACTGGCATTGTGGAAGACGGAGCATTCACTGCAATTATAGCCTTCTAGTGGGCCTTGAGCATGTGCATTGCCAGGAAAGAGGAAGGCTCTTTTGTGGGAGGGGAACAGGCAAAGCACATATCAACAGCAAACTGATGAACCATCAAGGGTGCACAGGGGTCCATTCTGAGGTATTTTCAAGCCAATTGGTGATGTTTCTTTCCTTTTCCTCCGTTTCTTTTGTTGCTTTCGCTTTTGCCTTTTCTTCCTTTATCTTTGTATTTTTTTACCCAGGGTGGAAGGGGGTGGGGGAATAAGTAGAGGAATTAGGGTTTGTGCAGTACAAAATGTGCAGTACAAATTCAGTCAGCTTTAAAAATACTAAAGAGAAGAACACTTGACATTCCAACTGTTACAAGTGAAACCTTTCTGGATGATGGTTTTTCTGGGTACACATGCCATTTATTTTCAAATCTCTACACAGCTGTTATGGCTATACATGCGGGGAGATCTGAGAGAAACTGCTTGAGACAAAATTGGCTGGCGCTCAAAGTTTGGGCTTGAGAGAATCTAGTTCCCAAGTAAACTTTCTTGTTGGAATGACCATAACAGTTTTTGGGAGTCACAAACACTAGGAAGTTTACTTTCTAAACTTGTTCTCTCTAGGTGTACACTGAAATCCCTTTCCCTATGAAAATCCACCTAAAAATAACAGGTGCCCTCTTTAAAATTTTCTGGTGCTTACAGCACTCAAAAACTGTGATGGCCCAATATGGAATCCTCACCAAGGCGTGAATGGGTGTACTCACCAGTGTGTCTGGGTTGAACTTTCTGCCACACACAGAACATGGCTGGAGCTCAAAGTTCCCTGAACTTGAAAAAGCTGTCAGGGAACATGGTAAAACAGGTAAACACTCAACCTCTAAACTTGAGATTGTTTGTAAGGCCTACAGAATGAGGATACCAGCTGAAGATAAAGGGGGGTAGGGGGTTGAACCCCCCCACCAAAACAATTAAAAGGTAAAGAAACAGGGAAAATAATAAAAATAACCGAAGTGCACCAATACCATTGTGAATAATGTATGGCATGGAATGTTTCATCATCGTTCCGCTTGTCTGCAAACAATTAGACATTATAAAAATCTTTGACACCCCCCCCCCCGGATCTGCCCCTGGATACTGAACTGGACAGGGTTCCTTTGTCTTATGGTAGAACCTCTTATACTTTCCACGAACAAGCAAACGGTATCTTCAAATAGTCCCAAGTGGTTAATTAATGTAACAGAAGTAGAAAACTTTCTTACAAACTTTGCAATAAATTGACTCAGATAAATTACCCAATTTCAACCGAAACAAACTCACTGAACACTGACACTTCACAATTAATTGAACAGCCACTGCTTCTGAAATAAGCATTGGTTTCATTAAATTTGGAAATAGAAAGAAATTCCAAAGACGTAAAGAATTAAAACAGCTGTGCAATAATTTAGGATTTGAAGTTAGTGATTGCATACACTTGGGAGCTACACTGTTTAAACTTCCATTGAACCGAACAAAAAATGAATTGTGTTACATGCATGTAATTGAAAAGAATGTGTGCAATGCAACATGAGCTTCAAATGAAATTTTCAGTACACACAGAAAACACTATAAGCATTAGTTTGATTCCAAATAAATATCATCAGACTTTTACTTAAGGAAAAAATTAATGTTGTATTTGGGTTGCTGATTTTTGGGGGGGGGGACTGGGGATTTTGTACCTTCCCCAACTTGTATCTGATGACATAAGGCTTTTATGAAAATGTGGTACTTTCTTGTAGGTTGTGAACTTGTGGGTTCTGGGGTAGTCAAAAAGTATAGGGCTCTATATCACCTTTTTAACATTTAGACATGATTAGAAATCAGATGCAATTTGTACTGGATCCCTGCATAAAATCCAGGAATTTCTTGGAGACATTAGGATTTTTAAATTCAGTACACAAATATTTCGACTAGGTGCTGATGTAGTAAGTTACCCACACTGGTCAACTGGACACAAGATGAATAGTGTACTACTGCAGGTTGACCCCGTAAACAGGGCCCTAAATTATAATATACCCCTCCAGTATTGACGAAGGGCCGTTTTCGGGTCTTAAAGTTAAACGTAGGCCTACACGTATATATCTATGCTAATTCAATTAGCATGATTAGTAACAACAAACTTATACAGATCGGATTCCTCGTGATAAAACAGTGATGATGCCCTTACCTGCATATTCCATGCTCAAGTCCTACAATAACTGGTTAACCACTGATTTCGTTTCATCTTCCGAAGTTCCTGCATCATGCACCGATTCTGCTCAAACTACATTCAGTGTTCTTCCTCCATGCTGGTACCGTGCGGTAGGTCGCCATTACTTAGTTTGTGTAGCAACGACACCGGCTCTGCCTATTGCGCATGCTCCATTCAATTAGGGATCACCTCAGTTGACTTTGGTCATGAAAATTCACATATTAAAAAACATGAAAGGCCCGCTGGTGGCACACGTGACTTGATATGCATCGAAAATACTGTAATGAATACCAAACGACTACGATTTCCCATCATGAATGAATTTAAGTATGGACTTACCACGTGCGCGTAGTTTTGGTAATAGCGAAAGCTTGCGGTTGAGTAAGTGGCTATCTCTTTTTGGGGAGATGTATATGCTTCTGAAACGATGAGTTGAAACATTGAGGAATGTCAATCGGTATGCTCTGATCGTCTTCAGCAACTGCGTGGGGTTCCACCTTACTTGACTGCTGATTCTTTTTCAGAACCACATACATTTTCCCAAAGGGACATAGTCACAAGGAAGTACCGCAAACGTGACCCCTCACTAGTTTATACATTCAAAACTCTGGCTGAGGGCGATAGACGGCACAGTGGGTACAATTAATACTCGTGGATATATTTAGACAGGTCTTTGGTCTTGATTAACACCCGATGGTTTACCAAATTAACCATTTAACCATTACCAATTTACCCATTTAAAGACAATAGATGAAGTCTCCGTGCATAGGATGAGACCGCACTCGCTTTGTCAAGCCGTCAAATTGAACAAATCGGATCCAACCTGGATCCTGCGTGTGGTTTTGTAGAGGAATTTCTCCACAAATACCACGTTTTCCCGGGAAGTGACGACGCCAACTTTCTTAAACTGTCTTCGTACAGTAGATTCTTAAATTCGAGGCTCTCTTCAAGAAAATAAGACACAATGACAACTTGTGACATAATCATTTGAATATGCTTACAATAATTAGCGGGTAAAGTTTTATTAGTTAACCCTGAACTTAAAGTGCAAAGCTTACACATTTTCTTTTTTGCAATATAAAAAAAATCTTTTACAATTATCGAGTATAAATGTGCTCCCAAAATTTCCCTAAAACGCCCACAACTCATTCATTTTAGTGCTTCGAACTTTCTACCAAAAAGAATTTTATCTCATTGACAAATGATCCGTCAATGAGCACTGGTGCCGTCCTGAAGAATGGTACAAAAGATTTTATTATTTATTTGTGTTTTGTCACAAAACCATTGCACCAATGCAATACGGGTGATTCACAATAGTGCATCTCCAAGAGTTTGCAACGCGTTGGCCAATTACAACGCCCGAAATCTGTCGACCCTTTCCAAACGCGCATCGGGTCGACAGATTTCGTGCGTTGTGATTGACCAACCCGTTGTAAACTCTTGGAGGCGCACTATCGTGAAACGCCCGTATTGCAATTCAAACTGTAAAAAATAGCCGTCCAGCGGTGGTCAAGATAAAAAAGATAATACCGTACTTTAAAAAATCACGTTTTCCATTAAAACAAGTACAATGTGTATAATCTACAATAAGCTCATTAAAACCAGCCTGCCTTCCAGAAAAATTCAAAGTAAGTGCGTGTGTATGGATATCTATGTATGGATAATTAATTTAATTCATACACTTATGGTCAACCACAATCTGCTACTTCAACCCCTTTCCGAGCTCATGGGGCGGATAAGCATTGACGTCACCAGGGTTTTCTTTTGAGGGGACCACTTTTTCAGGGGAGGGGTAAAGCATCATCAGCTGAAAAGTGATGAACAATTAACGGCTGGGGGGTCAATTTTGAGATTATTTCTGAAGAAAATTGGTGACTTTCATCCTTTTTTTTTTCATTTCTTTCACATTTTTCGCTACTTTTTCTTGATATTCCAAATTAATTATCCGGGGAGAAGCGCCCCTCCCCCTCGCAACGCCCCTACGGATAAATTGCAGCGTGATTCACGGTAGTTCCCCCCCCCCCGACTATACATACCCTGCATGGCAGAAAGAGGAACGTGATTAAGAGGAACGTTCTTCCTTTTTTGCACTGAAAACAGACGGTTAGAGGGATTTGCTTATTAAATGAGTTTGAACAAAGAAATCAGTCAAGTGGAAGCTCGGGTCTGTTCAATTAAATTAATTTTACTCTAATGGACTTGTCAAACCGGTAGACGAATCCAGTGAAGTTTCAGTCTTTGGAAATAGCAAAAAGGCAGATTCTGCTTTTGGGCACACTCTCCTACCAAGATTTCTTCACGAATTGCATCTGTAATATTTTGCTTTTCTGCGATTTTTTCCCAATTTCATTAAGCGCTCTTTGCCCTTGCAGAGTAGCTAGAGAGAATTACAAATGTTTTGTACAAGTGCCATCTTAATGCCGTCTTAATATCGCTCACCATTTCCCTTTTTCCAAAATTTTTATCAAAACAGCACAATTTGACAAAACTACTAACATCAAGCTTTCTACACTGTACTGACGCGTTTCTGAACAATGAACTTGCCAATGCTAAATTAGACTTGACCTCGAATTAACTCTCAGAGGTAAAGCGCTTAATTTGAACGGTCGCCTTTGCTACTCACTGTCTTTTGCCGACTTCAAGCGATCTAACTGACCCCTGGGGGCTGTGAATGTGATCCACACTTGGAACGTGGGAAGGAAACCAAATTCAAAATGGGAAGTTCCGTCACGCGTTATTAATATCCACGTACGTTACATCGTGCATCCTATGTGGCTGAATGCATTTCAAAAATGACTGCTCTTGTTTTCACTTTTTCTCTGTATGGTTTGTGATAGCACTGCGTCGATCCTTTACCAATGTTGCCAAGTGGTGTTCTAATCCTAAGCTGAGTACGCGTATACGCCGCAAAAACTGCTGTATGGATAAAGCATCGTGGCGCCTATACATTGACTTAACCATACCACTCAAGTAGTCCATTTAACATCATTTTTTAAAGTCCAGAAATCACACTCAAAACTCCCATACCCTCTACAAGTTTATAGCATGTGTCACCGGGGAGAGATCTGTTATTAAGGAATGGAATTGAGACCCGCCTATACGTATGTAAGTCCCATCCCGTGATACACGCTCGGTACGCGCCCGTCACATAGCAAACTTGTATTTTGCAACCACTGATGGTGGTGCAAATGGGCGTGGTTTAAGTTGTCATGACTACCGAATCGGTTGATGCGCGATCAGTCGGAAGCATTCGATTATTGTTTACGAGGATGAGTTCTTAAAGGTCCTTCCACTTGTGACCAGATTTCCTCCCGTACCGACTTTCACATCTTCCGTCTCGGTGAGACTGGGCGGTGCTGGCGTGGTATTCCCCACCCCCGTCTCGTCGTCGGCGGCAGGTTTGAGTTTCATGCGGCCTAGATTCAACTCATCCAATGACACAGCAGCCGCAGGGAACGCCACCCACCGGCTGTTGCGTTTCATTATGGCTGTCTTGGAAGTCCGCTTCGAACGCCTGTCAACAGGACACAGATAATTGTAACAAATCCTGTGTGTGTACAAGGTGCAAATTAATTCGAGAGAAAAACAGGCACTAGACTTGACAAGTTGAAATAGACAGTGGTGTTATTTGTCCGTCAGCTTTGCGGAAATTTACCAGCGTGTTTTTGTTAGACATTAAAATCACAGGTAGGGTGTCAATTTGTATTGACATATTTGGAAGGTTGATCAACCAGGAAACCAACATTCTGCGCTGATGCAGATCGTTCATACGTCGCTAATGAAACGCTGGATTTCCGAAACAACGCATCACCTTTTCATCAAGCGGTAACAGCACAGAACAGAAATCTGAATCGCGCTGTACTAATTACAAGGCGTCGCAGAGATCAACGAACGTAACTCTGCCAATTACTGCCTTGGAAAACATCGTGAAAAAGTTTCGAAACAGTATGGCAGTAGATATTTTACGTTTTCCAATTTGTTAGTAAATATACCGATATTCAATTCCAGATGTCAGTTACGTATTCTTATGCCATTATTTTATCTGAAAAATTTCTTTATTTTCAGTTTACTTTTTCATTTTTGACTTCTTTATTATTATTTTTTGGAAATCCACTTCCACGTATAAAGTAATGGCTACCACATTGGTTTACTCACATGATGTACAGGCAGCAAAAGATTATGCACAGAAGAATAAAAGTGGCCATGGCTACCCCGCCATAAAGCAGAATTCGGAAGGGTGTCTGGCACGTCGGACCTGCGTAAAATGGAATCAAATGGCATTAAACATTAACAGGGCCGGGTTCATGTGCCGTTTTTTTTCTCACTTGAGAGATGAAATTCAAGTAATGAAGTGCTTATATTAATCTAATTGAATTACAACGTAGAGTTAGGCTCGTAAAAAGGGATAGTGTGATCCAGTGAGTATAAGGCTCGTCTCTCATGAACAGACTGCCATGAGCTCGAATCTATTGGTGCTGGCTTGGGCACATCACTTCACCCACCTATGCCTCTCCCCAGCCATGAGTTAAAATGGGTATCGACACAAGGTTGGCGAGAAACCTTTGGTGAAATGAAATGGACAGTCATCCCATCCAAAGGATACAAAAACACATAGCTTGTTTTTAGGGATTTTTTGGAGAGTGATGGAGATCTTAGACTACGATTTTGTCAACAATACAAACCATTTCCAGTTACGGATCCAGAGGGTTGATGGGGGTTACCCCCCTCCCCCGTTCATTGTCACTTTGGGGGGGGGGCTACGTCTAATGTTTAGAAGACCCCGTGAAGAACATAAGACATGGATTTTATTTTGCGCGTAGTGTTAAGGATAAAACAAAGAGACAAAATGGCTTCACCAACAACGATAACTACCGGTCCTTGGCAGTAACACCCCCTCTCCATGCGACTAAAAATTTCCCAACCCTCAGAAACAATCCAGGATCAACACCTAATTTTACCCCTTTGACAGCTTTAAAGCCTGAAATTCGATGAACGTGACCAGGGATATGTTAAACCTCCAAAAACTTCCTCTTTCAACATGTGTTCCAAAGATAATGTTTATCTAAGCCTACGTGGCCAACACAAAACGACGGTCCATCGTTGAGAATGCTTTCGTTCAAGAAAGCCTACGTCCGCTAGCGGTCACGGCACAATATTGTCGGTGTTCAGTGCTCCTGAATTGAAATAGCCGGAACAGGAAAGGCAGGTGAGCAGGGACAGGGGAAGCGAGGGTGAGGGGGGGGTCTGACAAAATAAAATGTTCTTATAAAAGTATAAAGTTCCCAGAAAATTACACCATGCTATAATAAAATGTTCATGTCTATTGCGCGGAGTTTTCTGCGACCTTTCACATGGGGCACAACTGCCCCTTCTACACTCCCAAATCCACTGCTGGCCAGGGGAATCCACTGGAACAGGGGACTATGAAACTGCTCAGTAACTACACTGACAGTTTGCCTGGTAAAGTTTAACATTTAATCATCAGGTTTTGGACACAGTCTCCCCAAACTCCTATACTCTCCTAGAAATGTCCAAACAGTTGCCTTTCTTTCTTCTCAAAATCTGGCCTCTCCAAATGATTGCCTTAGAGCCCTAACTGCTATTCAGTGCATCGCTATACATCCACATGTTATGCATCACGGGGTGTCAGACTGCGGTGTCACTACGATAATTCCAGTAACCACCCCAATTTTCAGCGCATAACTGCGCCAAGATCAGATTCCGCTTAAATATTTCAGCACATGTATATACTAACAAGTTCAACATTAGGGATCGTCAAACATAACGATACTTTCGTGATGTTGGATATCACAGACTGTCGGTGTCTGCCATTGAGAGAGGCATTTGTCACAAACGAACAAGCACTCATCTATGAGACGATCAGTTGGATTAGACTTTTGTACGCGTTTCCCTGTACGTCTTCTGTGTACTTTTGTGACGTGACCATGTACACTATGGGCCCATTTTGCCGCGCGTGCAAGGCCCCCGTGTCAAGGCGGGATTATCCCATTACGGCGACTGTGCCAAGTTATGTTGAACTGTTGGGGCATTAAATGTTGCTTACATTATAAGTATGCATTGTGGATAATTCATTCCGAAATATTTCTTCCTTGTCGCTTGAAATTACCTACCGAATGCCAACATGCGTCCGAAGTATGACCCGGCATTAGGCCGTGTACAGTATACCAATCTGGTCTGATGCCCGACCTACTTATTGAATGCATTTTGGCACGGAATAGCCAGTTTTGAAACGATGAAGAAAGATCTTTGCCAAGTCAACCAAGACTGCAGAAATACAAATACACACTTATGGGTAACCCGATAAACCGTCGTGTTTAAGAGTTTTGATTGATAACTGCGCTTCCACATCTCGCTATATATTACTGGATTTGCCATTTGCGACAGAGCAGTATATTCTCAAAGTCGTATCACAGGAACATGACGTTTATTCTTTTTTTCAAAACCAATTCTGCGACGCCGATACGTACCGGTACGATTCGTACGCAAAGCCACACTGCAAAAACTGTGGTGATAATTTAACACCCTTCGTGTTATCAAAGTGCTACACCCAGTCTAGTGTAATCCTCTGATAATATCTACACCAATAGACACCCATTAAAAAATATTGTGCGGCCAAACCCAAACACTCTATTTTTATCGAAAGTGCGACTTTTACACTCGTATGCAAGCCTTTGACGTTGGCCCACTCCAATGAATTGCATAATTCATATGTAAATATGGGTTACATACAAGCCGTACGTTCTCCAAATGAAATATGATTAGCTTCGATCCTTTTAATCCAGGCAAACGGAGTGTTCACTACATTCTTATACATGTCACTTAGTAAAGTGGTCAAATGCTACATAAAGTTTAAGAACACGAGCTTGCTCTTTTGCTCGAACATTGAAGCGGGTTTAATTAACAAAACAGAAAATGTTGTGAAAAGTAGGGCCCTTGAAACAAGAGAGGGCGTTGATGAGTAAAATATCAAGTCAAACCGTATCGCAAAGCCCTTTTTCAGCTGAGAACTTTCCCATGTTATCAACTTCTGACAGTGATAGGGTCAGTTATGTGGTTTTTTAACGAGGAACGTAATTAACCAGAAACAAAAATTTAGAATTAGAAAGCTCCCAAAATCTTTCTCGTCTTTGTCACAACAAAATGAACCAGGCTATTCTTATAGAACCGGATTTTGATTTCGATTTTAAGTTAACACTCATTTATGTGAATATTTAGAAAGAAAACTCACAGCGTGTGTCGACTCCCGGTTCCGTGGTTTGCTCTTTGGTAGTGGGCGTTATCGTGGAACGAAGTGTTGCAGCTAACCACGTTGAAAGGGTGTCGTTAATTGATGGTCCTGTCGATAGGTGTGTTTGGGTGGTCAATGGCGTGGAATCAATCCAGCTGGTGCGGACAAAGGTGGGCAACAACCCTGTCGATTCAGGCACATCCGTACCGACACCTGGCTGGTCCGTGCCAGCCACTGTTGCTCGCCTTGTAGACGGCGAAGCGGATGACACCGAACTCTGGGTCGATTCCAAAGGTGTTGAGACGGTGGATGTTAATGCTTCTTGCGTGGTTGGCATGCTCAAAGTAGGTGAAGTGATAGGTTGTTGACTTGAGGAATCTATTGATGCTCTAGTCGGTCTCGAAGTCACCTCGGCATCAGATACAGTTAAGCCCTCTACGGTTGCGAACGTGGGATTCTCACCATCTTCGGTGATTTCTTGGGTTGTTGGACGTCCACCGACTGTTTGTGGCGGAGTTGGGTAGAGTTTTGTGCCGGTAGGTTCAGGTGCATTGTGCGCCGTTGTCAATTCCAGAGATTGGACCGTTGCTGTACCTTCGTCAGCAATTCTGAGTGCGATCGCGAGATCTGGAATGGAATTGTACTGTTCGTAGTCACTGCTGTGCATGGAACCCTCCTCGTCATAGCTCAGAGAGGAGACCAGCTGGAAGTTTTCCTCGAGGTTGCAGCACACGTCCGGGCCAGCGGTTTCGCAGGGTGAGACCTCCGCGCCGAGATTGGCCGACAACGCGTACGCACCCTCGAAGCCGGTTCCATGAACCATCACCGATACTGCGAGAAGAACTCCCAATGGAGAGGTATGCTGAACGGAGATGACCGGGCTGGAATCGGCCGTCTGGACCCTTTTTACCACGGTACAGAAGCCTGGCAACTCCGCGTACTCATACTGGTGATCAGGGACGATTTGGGAATTGTTCAGCATAATCCCCGCTATGTCCTTGCACATGGCAGTGACAGAGATGTGATGGTTGGCCCCCGGAGGTAGAGCAGGAGTCGAAAGCAGTGCACCAGGTCCGGTGACGAGATCGATGGGTTGAACGGTGAACATGGCAGGACCACCCATTCCCGGGTCTACACCTACACTTTTGTCAGCCTCCAACCCCTTGCTGAACTGCACAACGAGAATTGGCTTCGACGACGTTACGATTGCAACGCGGTCCGCCGAGGCATCCCACTCGAATGAATCTCCGGCCGAGGCGAGTACAACTCGGTCGCCGAAGCCTCGAATCATGGTCATGGGGCAGCCAGCGACGACCACGCATCTGTACCCGGAACTCCTCCCGAGAAGGGGAGCGAGCGCGTGCACGGTCCCCCAAGCACCCACCGGCGGGAGATGCTCCACCACGTGACCAGCTGAACCGAATTCAGCGGGGACGTTGGACGCTGACGACCCCGATACCACCGAGATCGGTCGCGTTGCGCTGACTCGTGAGCCGGTCAAATCGAGGGTGCTCTGAAACTGGGCGGTTTGCAAACGGTTTAGGGATAACTGCAATGTCTCCCTGCCGTAGGGTTCATCGTCAAACATCACGGGCGCCTTCAGATTGATGTCAACCACGGTGTCGTCCTCCGTGGCTGTAACGGTGAACTCGGACCACTCCCCTACGATTGGGGTGTATGACACCACGAAATAGTCTGTGCCCAGGGCGTCAGTGGACCGCACGAGAAAACCACCCGTAGACTCTCCACTATCTGACAACGCGAGCACGGTCACATTCCGACTGGCAGTCACCAGGACGGTGGTGTTTTGTAGTCCGGATCCCTTCGCCTGGGCTTCGGGAGGTAATTCGACCGTAATACCGACGTGCTGTGCCGGTATGGTAAGCTGCCGGCTCCAGTCCAAGTTAACGACTCGCATGCTGACGTTTGTTGCCCCTGCTTCGGAGGCGGTAACGCTTAACGTCAGGTGCGGTCTGTAGTTGGGGGACGTACTGCTCGGCTCGTGAAAATTAGTTGGGAAAGCGAAGATGAACTCATGTCCTCTACCAGAATTCGATGAAAAAACAACTATAAAATGTGGAGGGAAACAGAAATAAAACAATTAGTTAGATTTCATAACGATTTCATAAAGTGTGAAGCATTCACCGTGTAAAAAAAAAAACAGCAGCACGGAAAGGAAGATACTTCAGTTGACGTTATTTATATTAAATCAAACAGGGGAAAAACCTGGGTGTCAAGACAGCGATTTCCAACCTTAAAGGCCAGTTCAAGAACGATCACAGTTTGTAAAACTGTGTCTTACTTCGAATTTAAAAGAGGTTTAAGATACTAGAAAAAAGAGAGTACGGAGGACAGTCTCTGTCACACGGCACTCTGTGTATGCGCCCGAATCATTACCGCCTGTTCATATTCCCTGGGATCAGGTTTTAAAGGAAACATGCAGTGGATATTCAGCTCAATTTGGTTTCATGCATATTACACTGTGTTACAACACAAACAAGATCTAAATGCTCGTTTTTATTGGAAGTGAAAGGAAGGCATCAGATTCGTAATTTTTAGAAATACCTTCAGCAACGCATGCACGAGGGCGCCATTTTGATGTTGTCATACAACACCTTGTCAAATGAGTATACAGAAATTAATCCTTCAACAATCATCCATCAAAACTGTTTTGAAGAAATATCGGTCACTGCAATTCTCCAAACAACTGTTTTAACGTAAAAAATAAATAAAGTGGAACCTACGCGTAGAAAGTGTTATTGTTATTGTACACAAAGCTACAGGGACGCTCACGTTCTGCCTTGAATGACATCACACTTTAGTTCATCAATATGAAAATCTTCATTTGCATAAAACCCATAGTGTTGAAATTTCTGCCTTTTACCGCTACAGGATGTGGAAAGTGATCACAACACGTACATTAAGTTGAGCTGCATGTATTCAAGTCATATAACACTATTATATATGATTCCTTTGACGATGGCCGCTTGCAAATACAAGTTCCCCTTTAATAACTGCTGCATTTTGAGGGGAGAATTTTTCATTTGGAAGAAAGGAAAACAAGTGTCTCTGTGCTGTGGACGGCAAAACAGAACCAGCTGTTTATCTGTGCCAGATTGCGAAGCGATGATTACAACCGTTTCATATATACTCACACGGTTGAAACGGAACCGGAATATTCTAATCAGCCATTGCATTATGTTGTTTTGACATTTGATTTATCACGATAGGAAAAGGGAAGACGTAATTTTCTTGAGAATAGAGAACAATCGGATTAAACATAACTGAAAACAGACTGTACATTCTTGGTTGACAACCTCAAACCTAGCCTGCATCAACCCTGAAGAAATGATGAAACGTTTAACTCTCCTAAATATTTTTGAGGATGTCGATACCAATATTACCGACAGCACACTTACAATAACCTGCTCATGAGACATTTCCTCAAACGATTCATTTTCGATACAATGTGGAATTTGTTTACGTACATGTACATCGACTAATCGCGTGCAAAAACAACCCCGGAAAAAGACTGCTGCAGTCTGGTGCATACGTCACAATAGACCTAAAAACAACCAGGAAACGTTCATATTTCATAATGAGAACAAAGTCAGAACAAGTGAGGAAAATTCACATCACACAAAGAAACAGTGACAGCAACATTTGAAGACAATAAAAATATTCCTCGAAATCTCAATGGAAGTAAATTCACAGATGATAACACCAGGAAATAATGCATTTGGGAGATTTTGCACAAAATAAAATAAGTCACAACGCAAGAAATATTTAATGATGGGTTTTTGTGTGGTGCATACGTTTGCTATTGTTACCAAGAGTACAATCCTGTATTTTCATAATGTGTGACTCATTTCGGGGCAATGTTTTCTGTCGTCCAGACTATTGCCAGAAACCATCATCGGTCTGAGCTGTAATCTGATACGGCGGCAGAGGTCTAGCCCGCTCGTCGTTCAGGTGTATCAGTCATCAAGGAGTCTGGATCGTTAACAGATTCCTTTTATCTTTGGGCCTGTTTGATTGCCACGGATCTGGATGATCCAACGTTGATTCACACGTCTACAACTCATAACTGTGTCTAAAATAATGACTCTTTGACATGATAATAATTGTCTCGTAGTTGTTCAGACAAGCTGGCTATTTCTTATGACACTGCCTGAAATAATTATTGTTGGGTACAGTCCACTAGGGGTTATTACCATCACTACACAGATGGTTTTAGGTCGACGCAATTAAATGTGTGCAATAACTCTGTGGAGCAGGCAATATCAAGACAAGATTCTTGAACATGCCCAAGTGCCGTTTCTGGTCTGCACACGACACTTATTTTCTGATGCTTTATCTTCGTTCTGTTTATTGTTTGTCGAGTTGATTGGTGACCTCAAAGCGAGCACAGCGATCCGCCGAAACAACTCCTTTAAATCGGCTCCTGATCTTTCCGGGGGTCGTGTACACATGTCACTTCCGATTGTTGACGGTGATAATCAAGCACAGAATAAGGATACATGTATGTGCATGATCATTGCTGGCATTACTTTGTGTAGCCTACGGGTTCGAGTTTCAGAAAGGATTGTCGTAATTTAACATTTGAATCTCTGAGCTGAAACCAATTGTGATATCTCTGTCTGTGGATCGTGTAAGCCTTTGGATACAGAAGCAGACCACTTCCACGTGACAGAAGCTGAAAGTGCACTGTGCCTAAACATCCTGCCCGGTATGTTTTTGTTTATTCAATAATGTTTCACTTTGTTCCGCACGCTTGGTAGTGACTGTTTTTCTCGAGCGTCATCATCTGGGGTTTATACAGGTTGGTTTCGTTTTCCAGGGCCGGAATGCACGTTTTTCATTTACATTAACAGATGAAACAATTAGAGGGAGTCGCATGCACTTTTTACACTGTATTTGTTTTTTGGAAAGTCATCACCACCGTCTTCGTCACTTCTCCCCCCCCCCGCAAAAAAAAAATTCCTTGGTTTCAAAACTCAGGAAATGGCTTCCTCTTCTCCCTTTCAACTGAACCCATACCTGCCACTTTCCCCATAGAATGAATAAAATTCACGAAACGGGCCCTCATTTACGACCCCCCCCCCCGAAACCCCCCAAACTTTTCATCACAAATTTGCTGAAAGAACTAATATATAAAAAGAAAATAATTATCATTATCACTGTTTTCTGCAGGCTTTAAACTCAAATCTGATAGAAACGGAATGACACGTTGACGCTGTTTACTTGTGAAAGTTCAAATTTAATGTATACATGCTCAATCCACGAAGTCAAGCGTAAAATGTGTGATTAATCACTAACATAATATTCATAGTGTGGCCTTTTCACAACACTAGTAATTTTCCGCCAATCCAATCCAACTTCAGCTTTTCTTGATTAAAAGCACATAGGAACACGAAACACTGTACCACAAGCCTAGGGCAATGAATTAAGTGCCATTTATGGAACTCACCATTTATCAAGCTGAAAGCTAAGATAGAAACGGTGAAAATCACACCGACGTGTGAAACTGGATTTGGGCACCTGAAGAGAGGATAAACCATGGTTGCAAAAGTTGGTAGAGCGCCTACATCGAGAGAGACCTGTTACTGAAGACTGGAAGTGTGGACGTGTCACACGGCACCGTCTCAATGAACCGGCAGAGTCGGCTAGGCTTCCACTGCACGCGCGCTGTATCCTGATGCCACCTCGGCCACTTGCTTCTGGGACCAATACACGTTCGATCCACCTCGTTACGTACTGCGCCTCCGATTTTGGAGCACCCGGACGTCGCTGACGTACAGACCAGCAAATCGCAAACCTTGCGGGAGCCAGACTATATAGGAGGTGGGAGAAGAGCAGGAGGCAGGTAAGACGAGAGGAATCGATAGCGATGACGAGGAGGAACAATCACAGGCTGATCCGCCGGAGGAATAACCGATTATGTCCAAATGCCACTCGATCAGCCTAATTGCAGGCAGACGCTATTTCCACACCATGGTACAGTCCAAATGCGAAGGAAATGACGATCAGGTTTCACCATCCAGAATCCGGAGCATCGCTGTTTTATTTCAAAGTGTATGTAGCTATTTGCCATGAGCCAAACCCGATAGGCCTACATCGATACTCAGCTGCTGAATATGGTTGGCTGGTTGAGAGACAGAGAGAAAGAATACACGCGCTGTGTGGATCTTCATAAATACACACGAGGAAACTTAATGGATTTTGCAGATTTCATACACTTAATGACAAACTGTGTTGACTTCCAGTGGGCCTAGGTGTCTTAATTTTGTTAAGTGGCGCACGTTATCGTAGATGCACCGTGCGTCGCGTGCACGCGCAGACTACACGTGCACGTGGTCTGGCGCCAAACTGGTGTACGTGTATCATTAGTCCACGGTCAAATCGTAATTTATTTATATCGTCCAATGTGAACCCCCAATCCCAGGGTACTCTCGACCAGATTTGGCGCTCTTCCAGCCACTTGAATTTAGGACTGTCCAAATTCAACTCCAGCACGCGTTTATTCACGGGCCGATCAGGGATCAACGAGGAACGCATTTGCACTCATGTCGTTGTTGTAATCTGACCAAATCGGTTTTCAAGGTGGCTCATCAGGATCCAACGCGTGATAGTTTATATGAAGCCCTTTTCTTTTACTGTTTTCCTATACCCGCCATCGGGCTTGGCGGAAGGACGTTCGTTGCGCTCAGCAAACGCAAATAACACGACCTATTATGAACTATCAATATGAGTGTGAGGGTCACGTGCGCTGCGTATTAGTTCCTGCATTTGCCAGATGGAGGAAAATTAGGACAAAAGTAGACAGAGGTCATGAACGGTGAACACGGCTGGACTGACACCGGTAAAAAAAAAAACTCTCGGCAAGTAGGGAAGTGAGTTGGGTGCACAAATCGACCAGATCAACAGCTTAAAGATGCATTAATTGAACACTCAGGCATAACCTGTGAGACTACATGTAATAACCCCTTAATTGGGTCTAAAACAGATGTTTTGGAGAAACTTGGGGGCGGTCGTTGAAAATCACCCACGACCCACCACACGTGACATGTATTTGCGGGAGTGGAGTCGATAATTTACAAATCTAAAATCACGGTACATCGGGGCAGATGAGCTGGGGTGCGTTCCATCCACCGTTACTTCCAACGGTCGTAAGGATTTTCAGGTTTGATAGGCACGCAACGTTTTGCCAACGCTGATGGCAGAAGCCTTGCGCGAGTGGGACGCAACCATTGCTACCCTTTGCATGATGTGGCACAGAAATCTGATGTTCAAATGTAGGTATCGGAAATGTTAACAGCATTCAAAGACACTCAAAATTTAATGTAAATGAGGGTTTTTCAGAAATTGTCGATCGGGTGCCTAGTAGTGGATGTCATAATGATGCATGGTAAATACCTCCTGGGGATATGGTATATTTTAGCGGTCACCACCGAGTGTTGGTTCGGTTGGTGCTTTCAGTAATACATCATCATTTTTAGTTCCTTCCCTACTGATATTTCCACAGGGATTGACTAATCAACGACCAATTCTTGGTCATGACCGCCAGTGTACACACCCCATACTAAACATGCAGCAAAGATATCCCGTCAGTGGTGGCTTGCGTGTGGCCTATACATGATATTCATTTCCAGATCTGATTCATTCCAAGAACGTTTCGCGAAATACAGAGTTCACGCTGGTTCACAAGAGTTGAAGCTGCATCTGTCACGTCGGCAATCTCAACAGGAAAAAGGCAAACCAGCACTGTTTCAGCAATTGAGCGAAACATTATCTACTGTACGCTTGAAGCATTATATAAGGCCGTGGTTTTGCAGGATACCCTGAGAGTCACTTAATATGACAAAAGGTTGACGAGGTTTAAGCGAACGTCACGTTTTTTCAAGGAACTGATTAAACAGAAATCGCTGACAAATACCTGTATATAACACAACTTAAAAGCGCAATTTCCCGTGCCAAATTCGAACGAATCAGAAAACATGATAGCAGCATTATATACATACTACAAAATTCACTGTGGGTAATGCAAACCATTGATTGGAGAGCAATACCGGTAGTGTTAAAAAGGTAACAGTGATCGAGTGATTAAAACAAGCCGAATGAATAGGTGCCCATTAGGGTTGGTAACAACCGACAGGTTGCAGTAATGCTACTGTAATGACCAAACTTAAATGATGCCTTCAGCGGGAGCGGGGTAATAACAAGAAAACTCCGTTATTCTGGTGACGTTTCGCAGATTTTTCCCATCAGAAAATTTGAAATACTTGCAGTCCTTGTGGGTTCCCCCAGTGAAATGCGCTCCATCCTGACGTCGAGAGAGCTCCGACATAGTCCAAGCTTTTCAGACCTACTGCAAGATTGCAGCATTTTAAGGGAAGAGCATGAGACTTCATTTCCGTCAGCAGCCTCACCTGGGCGATTTTCGCGGTAGCTGATCCAGATCTACCACGCTGCCACTCTTCTTCCCAAACAATTATTTTAGAAGGAAAAATAAAACCCACAGAACAAAACATTGTACCTGAACGAGCCACTATCAAGATGCTTTACGGGTTTGTACGTAACGCGTACGGCAAAAGTATAAGTGGAAAGACAAACGTGGAAAGACTTAGGCCCCTCCAAAAATTGCCTCGCCCCCCAAAAAGTGCAAAAATGAAAAAGAAAAAAGGCTAAACAAATTTGATTCGCAGTAAAATTAGAAAAGTAAAAGGTGACGTCACGTGCGGAGGGTCTAGCCCCCCCCCCCCGGCTCTAGAACCACGCCTGTCTTGAATGCAATTTTTATAATGTGGCGAGCTCAAAGGCCGTGTGGTCCTTAGTTAAACTTGCTGACACAGAACACAAACGTGTGAAAGACAAACATACATCAGAAAATTGTTTTTGAGAAAAATCTACGTTTATTAAAGCTCAATTTCGATATGCCACTGAATAATCTTGCTACTGTCACCTCGCTATCAGTTTTGAAAATGAACGCTGTCGCTAGTGAAGTTGACAAGGAAAAGGTCACGAACATTTTTAAGGAATGCACTTTCCCATCACGAACACACCAAAGGAGGAAATGGTGAATACTTTCAACCTAATTCGTTGAGTCAATAATTCGATTATAGCCGTGACCGAAAACACCAGTGCTTGAACTATTTCACGTGATCGACTCTACCTCTGTCATACAGGATGTTTCGAAATGAAGGAAATTCCGTGCTGTCTTCACAGTTAATGCTGGCTTGTCGCCAATGGAACGTTACGCAGAAGAAAGTTTGAGATGCAATGATATGCAGCAACTTTTCATCTGAATTTATAATTCAAGGAGACGATACAAGGTGGGTCCGCAAAAGAAATCCCAAACATTCCTAGAATTAACTCCTTCATTCACTGACATACGTCTCGAAAGAACTTTTCTGTAATTGTACCAGGAGTCATTTTATACGAAAAACAATCCTGTATGTCATCACATGTAAAAATATCATTTTCAGTGACAAATATTACAAGAGCAGTGGCGTACCGGGGGCTGGGATGGCAAGCAAGGTAACTGCTAGCGTGGGAACTCTAGCACCTTTCCCCCGAGAAGAACCATATTATACAAGAATGTATTTTGTGATTGTTGGTGTGTTTACCCAAACTTGCATTATTAAATAAATATAGAAATCTTGTAAAGTCATTTCATGTGTGTGAACTTTAATTCAGAATGACACGTGAATCATTGAGAGAGATTGGCTCTACAGAGTTACAAGTGTAAGTTACATTGATTGAAGTTTAGTTTGGAAAAGTACTGATCACACCAACGGTTGAAATTCAGTCAGTCTTAAGTCAAATCGAAAGTGATACATGTGTACGTGTACTGTGAAGCAAGTATTAAAGGGCTGTGATGTGCACAGCCCAGTCATAAAGGATTGGCTTGATCGGGGTCCGAGTACACGTGATCGAGTAGACGTGATGTGAACAGTGACGGAATGACTCGTAGTTGACTTGTTTAGGAGCTACTATGTGTTAACAGTCATGCGGATCTGGTGCCGACTATAGGGCTGGGAAGAGCCCGGTATGCGCGCCATAGCAAGGGGTAACCATGTTTTACCCAATCTGGGGTGATGAATCAACAAGAGAGGCGTTTTCATTGTGTGGTTTACAGGTTCCTCAATATTTCAGAACCAGGGCGTTCCATCGGTCACTTTTTTGTTTGATTTCCTCGATTGCTGTACAGTTCACCTTGAGACATTGTTAGTAACTTGATTTTTAAGTCTGCTGCGGGTGTAAACGATGGTTAATTGTTTTACTTGTAACACAACAGATGTAATAAATATATATATGTCAGTTTGCCGCAAGTCTGTCGGGATGGGGTACACGGAGCTGTTTGTTGGTCTATTTATCTTTATACACAGGTGTTGTTATTTGGGTCTTGTTGTAATGTAACTATGTTGCAAACTCATTGGTGACTGGGGTGTAAATCTGGGGAAGTTATAGACGACTCGGGGTAATAATTTACAACAATAATCTTTTTCTAGTTAACCGGGGAAGGGCAAGTTGTCTGTTGGTCCATTATCATTGTCTAATTGTTACTTGTCTTGCATTATGTGTATGGTGCTGTAGTAGTTACTTTAGTGTGTACTATGACTGGTTTGTGTTTACTTTTGCCATGCTATAGGAGAACTGCTAGACCGTGATTCACCTGTATAGTGTAATTCAACCACCAGAATTAGAAGCCATTACTGCGGTGGCACAAGGCTCGAAAACAGGTGGTACGCGCGCGTTACATGCCTATTTGACCAATAGGGTGTCGTGATTTGCCAACCGCACGCGCGCGTCAAGCTGAAGAATGTACATGTACATGTGAGTGCGGTTCCACCGCAGTTATGGCGTCTAATCGGATTAATCTATAGAGGCTAGATGCTGTATTATATTGTCCTCTTATTGTGTGCGAATTCTGTTTGTTTCCTATTCCTAAGTGTAATTTTATTTCCTTTTTACTTACTGTAATATTTTGTACCACCTGCAAAATAATAAATGAAATGAATCAAATGAAATACTGCCTTGGCAGCCCTTTTCATACGTCAAGTAACCACAGTAGTTAAAAAAAGTCCCTTTGCGTTGTGTCAGGCGGCGCCCCAGACGACTATTTTAAGACCTAGCTCTTTCTCAATAAAAAAAAATGATTGAGAAAAAGTGCCAATATATAAGTATCTGAATTACGATAAAAAGTTCATGAAGCCTCAGAGACCAGTGATGAAAAACACAGATGCTGTTTGCACGCCAACTTACAAGCACATACATCAGCATCGTGTGTTATGTCAGACACATTGTTGTCGAGACGAATTGACATTAAAAAGTACACAACTATAACTACGGGGGGGGGGCACCCCAGCGAATGCCCATGCCCCGGGTACCCCCTCCCACTCCCCCTTAAAATCTCTGTTGAGTTTATCTATGCAGCTTATTTTCTTTTGGTGCCCCCTTGAAAAAAGGTGTGCAACCCAAGGTGCCCTCCCCCCAGAAATTTACCCCTAGTTACTCCACTGACCTAGATATTTTCTATTTAAAAAAACAAACTCCAAACCCTTTATGTGGATGCCATGAAACACCCCCATTCCCGGGGGAAATGATTGACAATGTTTTTTTAAGCCTGTAAAATCCCCTGTTTTCCCGCCAAAATACCCTAAGGCCCAATTGATCCTGCCTAAGTTGGAAGGGCGCTAAACCAACAGAGTTCAACATCACAACTTGGGCAGTTTCGAAGATGGGTGTTTGAGCTACGCAAACAACATGTCAGCTTCCTTGAACATGTGGGACAAATGGTAGAACTTCCTGGGGAGAACCTCGGTGCCTGAAAAAGTATGTCTGGTGATTCATTACTGCTTTGTTTTTCATCTCACAGGTTTTAATTGCCAACTAGGCTACACAAAGTACTTCATATCTTGTCAACACAGCTTTCTTTTTAGTGTTCTTATGGTACTTTTCACGGTTTCGTGAGTCATACACTGCAGTGGAATTTTGTACCGCCAGCCCGGCCATGCCGGCCCAGACTATGTGAAGTTCGTCGTCCGCCACACGGTAGACGACGAACCCCACAGTTCTGGGGGTGGAAAGAGTTCCAAAACTTCCATATACGGACAACACTAATTTTCTCTTGAAGTGTATTAACAGCCATTAGAAAGTGATAACAATTAACATGATTAACATGTCCGAAAAGGTGAAATTTAGCTGGGAAAATTACCCAATATTTACTTGAAACACTTAAGCAGTTAGGGCCTAAGTGTTTTCAGGCAAATCTCATAGGTTGGTGCACAGAGGCATTGAGGGTTGTCCGTATATGGAACTCTTTCTGAATCAAATTAAGCGGGGGAAAAGGGGAAACATATGCTCAGAAAGCACTTGGAATTTTGCAGACTTGACTCATATAGGTTTTGTGAACAACAGGCCAAGTGAAGTGGTGTCAGTACTTGTCTGTATATGGAACTTTTTCCACTCTAACTGATCCGGCTTAATATTTTTTCCCCAGAGTTGTGGACTGCAGTTTAACTGGGCAAACAGAGGACATTTATTCCAATTTGATTTTTTGTGAAGTCGAGGCTGCTTGTGATTACTTCCAGCTGTGTATTGATCACTGATAGCCCTTTGTGGCTCACATACTGGGCCACCTCCATATACAGGTCATTTTTATTTCAGCCTAACTGGCACCTGCTCGGTTGGGTATGTTATATACTACCTTATGTTGAGAAAGGAAAGTTTGCTGGCAGAATTGGCAAGAAATTAAACACTGAAAAGTGTTCCCTGACTGTTCTGCATTGTTTTGTGTAGGTAGCTTGGATCGGACCAGGCTGAGGCGCTTACATTACTGTCATCCAACTACGGCATCACTGCATTAAAGAAATGCTTGGCCTATCCCTGGCAGTGTGCGCAGGATTGTGCGCTGCCTGCGCTTCGGCATGTGCCAAACTGGCCATGTCCGGGGAAGAGATTGCTCTCTTGTGTCAGAGCTTGGAGGATGTGGTTACCGTGATGCCTAGCTGCTCAGTGGTGAGTCCACACGCATGCAAAGTGAAAGACCCCAAGGCGCAGAATGTTCACATCCAAATCCAAGCCTACTTCCTTCACCCTTATCCATTAACCCTAACCCCTTAGGGTGTATGTAAAATCGTATTGAAATTGGAGGATTTGGGAGTGTTAGGGTTAATGAGATTTGGGAGAACATTCTCTTTGATGATATTTAATTATGTTTTCCCGTCATCTTGACTCCAATTTTATGAAATTTGGACTAACTTCAATCTTTTGGTGGCCCATCGGGCCAGTGGGAAGTGCACCGCACTGGCCGTCATGAAAATTTAGTGGCCCTAGCCCCGGGTTGAGTACATGTAATGAAATCTATCAGGCCGATTACACATGCCCATTTGCATCAGTCAAACTTCAGCTGATTGGCCAGCCTGGCTGTATTTAAATGCAGGTTTTGAGGCCAAAGAAAACTAGTTCTGCTTCTGGTTACGCGACCGATCCTAAATTTTTGGCCCGACTGTAAAATTTATATCAGTAAGTTCAAAAAGCACATTTGAAATTTTAAAAAAAGGAAAAAAATCCAGTCTTTCCCGTCTTCACCAAATACCTCTCAGCAATTTTTTCCCACATCTAGAAGCTTGTATTTTTTGTTTGCCTGCTTACATTCGCAACATTTGGAAAGAAAAGTCTGTTATTTTCACAAGTTCCTTCACATTTTGCTATCACGGTGGTTAAAATGTGCACACAATATTGCTCGATGCATACATGTAGAAGCAAGGCTTCATTGGTTCCCGCTGCACCCTGCCACAACCAGAGAAGGCATGATGGTAACGCAGCAACCAGTCCAGGCATCCCAGTCAAAATAGTGTTGTACAATGCACCGTATAGTACACACACGCAACTCAACAGCTGCACATTGAAAACAAAATGATGTTGCAGGAAGATTTCTGCACGTTAATTCCCAGAACTTGATCTGTTGTCTACATATGTATTTTTTTTGTTCACAAATTCAATTCCAGGTCATATTGCTTGTACTTGATGATCAGCCTGATGCGGACTCAACGAGACATGACCTTTAAAAGTTTCTTTGGTATCCGTAGGAGAAAACGTTAAACTGGCATTGTTAGGAAATGATACCGGCCAACATATCAGTACTCAGGTCATTCGTACATGTATGAGCTGTATGCACAACTGTGCAGTGAACAGAATGTCATGCCGCAGGCCACTAGTGTATGTGGCACACGAGCCAGGCCCATTATAGCAGGCAATCACGGCCGCGCGGACTGTGGAATTATACCATGAACTCTAAAGTGCTGTGCCGGTGATTTGAAAGATGAGTCATAAAATGTGATGAAAGTTTTGAAAATGTGGCAATGTTCCTCAAATGACCAAAGTCCCACCGGGCCATCGTATTTGGAGAATGCAGTGGCCCAATGAATTTTTTGATGGCCCCAGGCCAGCGGACCGCCGTTAATTTCGACCCCTGCTGGAGAAAGATAATGAAAACAGGCTCCATGTCTTTCAGATGGGATGTCTTGACTTTGTTGCATAATGGCAGTAAGCAGACTAGACCAAATTTGTAACACACCAAAGAACCACTCGGCCAGGACTAAACACATCAGACAGAGAATCGGTAAAAAGATTGAAGTGGTTTGGCCTTGCCACAAGCATACCACACACATGACATTTAAAACCAGGACTTCTGAGAAGGCAAGGCCAAAAGGAAAAGACCCAGAGGCCGTCCATCAAGACGATGGCTAGACTGCATCTTACAGGTCTGCAGATTAAGATAAATTGCAAGAAATAAGTGATGTGGTATGGCTTGCTACTGACAGGAAAATTTGGAACAACATACAGAAGCCATCGTAGGGTCTTCTATCCATGTGGACGGCATAAGTAAATAAGTTCCCATGCAACCCTTTTAATTTCTATCCATTTAATTTCTCCAACCAGGTCACGACCATTCTACGATGGGTGTCCTTCTTCTTCTTGTTTCTTTTCAATGCGGTCATGTGGACCTTGTTTGTCAAGTCACTGCAGCTGTCCAGATCTTCGCTGGAGGCCACCATAACAAACAGCTCAGCCAACTTGTTCTTTACGGTGAGTCGCCTACCCCTCTTATAAGGTTAACCATTGAAATGTTATCTTGAAATGGTTTATGTGCAGCAAGTTGATTGCACACTGTAGATATGCTAGTCTTACTGTCTTATGCTAGGGGAGGCAGATGGTGGACATGTGATTTAAGCTTGTGTCCTTGAGCAGGTGCCTTTACTTCAATGCTTTATTTCCACCAATGAATAATCTGAGGGGACAGGTTACTGTCTTTAATCATAGCAAAATACGACAGAGAGGGAAATTGTCTTGGTTGTGCCTTCTTGAGCACCACTGTGAGTGTGTATTTCATCTACATCTGTACATACGGATCACTCAGAATTTCATAACTCTTGGGGTGTGTCTTTCTCGCATCAGGCAGTGATTGGTTATTTGGTGTTTGGTGAGTCCCTGTCGCTGACGTGGGGTCTGGGATCCACGCTCATCATCCTAGGCCTATGGCTGATTCATAGAGGTGGGAGGACAAAAGAGAAAGAGAGATGAGAAAGTTGAGAAAGACGCTGATGCCCTGGAAGACTTTAAGAAAGTACGCAGCTACTTTTGTAACTTTATGAAAAGGTAGATTCATTTCTCTGTGAGCCTCAGTCCAGTGGAAGTGATGTGTAAGCCTTTGGTCTGCTGCATTAGTGGTGTTGGCTTTTTGGAGGGACTGTAGAGGGCACTGTGCATTATGCCCGTCAGAGCTAAGGGAGGTTGCTCTGATGTCAAGGCAGCTTGTCTCCCTTGTTAAACCAATGAGCGAACGAAAGAGTAGTGAACACCAAGCATCTTAAAGTGTAACGAGCCACCGGGACCGATGAAAATTCTGCCTTCTTTTCGGATTGGCCAAGCTAACAAGTAAGTGTAGACATAGCCTGGTGCATGTCATGTCTACACTTACTGTTTTTTTATGGCTTGACCTCTCATATTAGACTGATGAACTGTCCCTCTTCGTGCTGTAATGGGACTAATCTGTCACCTACACCATGATGAATAGAACAGATCCTTAATTGATGAGTGTCGGCATGACAGATCTCTCTGTTCTAGAGTTGTGTTCATGTGGATGTGGTTCTGTGCACTTCATTGGACGTGCTAAAGCACCAAACAGTATCTGTTGACATTGTGTTCCATCAGACAACCCTATCACACTTTTTGATTACTCTTAAAGGTTCTAGCTGAAGTTGACCTGTAACAGCAATAGAAATGGTGTACATTGTTAACAGAAATGTAGTGTGTGCGGCAACAGGTTGAAATGAAACTTTCACCAGTGTTGTAGCAGTCCTTTGTCATAAGGGCTGTTTTTGCATGTGTCTTACTCTCGGTGTGATACAGGAAATTATCTTCATGCAAACTTGAATTCTCAATTCTGATTGGTCGATCCATGGCAACAAACAGCGTGATATATATAACTGTATTGCATGGTTCATTTGAAACCCTGCTTAATGGGCTGCTCTAACTCAACGCGTTGCACTATTTTTACGCTGAAAGCGATTTTGATTTAAATTCAAAGATGGCGCCTCACGGCATACAGCACACATATGCACTTCATTATTCTGTGTTCCACTTGCACTTGTGTTATAACGAATAAAGAAGCGTGCACATTACTCTCGGATCACTTCATTGCAAACGGTCAGCATTTAGCTGTTGGACATCTTGATACTCCCATCCTGAGTACATGGTCACCCGCAAGTCGTACTTCTGCCACTCGCGAACTCAGAAGAGTACTCGTGTTAACCCAAGGAACATGCTCAAACTCAGCTGAGAGCTGTAATGTCATGTGACTTACAAACTAAATGCGTAGCTTAATTGTGCTTGTAGTCTATATGAATTTTTCATGTGCCAAGATTTTTAAACCGGTAGAGTTACAGAAAAAATCAGATTAAATTTCTTCTAAAGCAAGCTATTGAGTTGTGGTTACCTTTTGCAAAATGTAAATGAAGTTGTTACCACCGTGATGTGAACGGTTGAACCCTGACAATGTGGTAGGACCTACAACCATCTGGTATCGCACAAGGCCCTCAACGAGCAAAACATCAGCGCTCTTGTTCTTTTACAGATAATACTTATCCTTGGAAACTGTAAAGTGATATGCAGGGGTTCTCCGTACGTTTTTTTTACTACTGGCCAACTGGACCATTGCAGCCATCTTTTGATCAGTCCATCTCGGTCTTAGACTGTAAGGAAAAGCAAACTTGCTCACCGTTTATAGCCCCACGTTGGCTTTATGCATGAACAAGAAGAGAACTTTAACCCAATAGTGGTCTCTAGTAGCATGCAAGTGTGGACATTCTGTCCTAGGAGTGGGCACAAATATTGCAAATCCATAGCATGCTCTTTTGGTACACATGGCACAAGTGGCATTTTATTGCTGTGAGCGTGAGGAGAGCAGATAAAGTGGAAATCAATAGCTAGCCCAGCAACAAAATCGTACTCATTTGAATACAATGAGTCTCAACCTCTTCCTTCCCCCATGCGTCGGCCAACAAGGCGATGGTATGACAACAGCGCATTCCCATTTTTCCCTGACCATTTCAAACAAACATGTCGCTGTCCGTGAAATAAGGTCGAGAGCCACTCGTCACCAGAATGAAACATACGGTTTAAGGAAATGGCCAATCAAGGAGACTCAATGAGAGCATCTCATGAGATGGTTTGATATGGCTCTTGAGCCTCTTGTATCACCGGGCGCGCCGCTCGTCATTCGAGGCTGCATGCCTGAAGAGAGCCAACATCCTCCATAAATAAAGGCCCCGCTGCATCTGTCTGGCATCATTTGATGCTGTGCTCAGTAAACATCACATCAATATAACCAAGATGAAGCTCCATGGTGTCGTTGCAGTTGTAGTCTTCAGTCTGGTGGACGTGGCACTTGGAGGACTGCGTTACCTTGGTGAGAACTGTTTTTAACAGTGTATTTGATCATTTATGTACATGTATGACATGCATGCTACTGCCTGAGTCGTTTGCATTCTTTAGTCCTTCAAATTTCTTCCAAAACCTTGAAGATAAGAGAGATCTGAAAAAAGTATCATTTAAATATTTTTTATAATTTTAAGCTTAGAAAATACAGCTAAATGTAAACTATCGAACCGATTTATACATTTGAAAAGTAATGCTTTCTTTTAGAAATCATTGATATCAATGTCCTGCCGTGAAACTGAAGCCTTATTCTTTTTTGGGGGGTGTAATTTTGCAGACATTGTGGTCGATCATGTTCGCATTGACGTGCCCGCTGATGCCACCATCTATGACGGCGGCATCGCCCCGGTGAACTTCTGCACCTACTTCACGCCGGACAATGGGGCGGCTCTGATCCTGAACCGCTTCGACAGCGAGCGCTACAAGCTGGTGGCCTTCCTGGCCACAGACGACAAGGGCTCCAACCCCACTGCGGTCACGCAAGCGGTCATCCCGTTGGCAGACCAGCTTCAGCCTCTCACTGATGGAAAACAGGTTTGTTCAAGGAGAGAGAGATATGGTTTGTGGGAGTATACCCAAGAGCTGTATTAAATTACAAGAGTGCCAACTTTTCATTCTCCACACATAAAAAATTTGACAGCGTCCTGGGAGCAGACCTTACAAATGCAATGCACGTCTGGCACTGATCCGATAAAAAGTCATGGCAAAATTTTTGCAGTGTGTACGCGTCCACGTTTCCGTTGTTGGCACTGAACAGAATGAAATGCTGATCCACTGAAATGCTGATTCATTTTCTAGTTTTCCATAGGTTTGTGCACAAACATTGATGTGCCCAACAGACACCACTTAGTACAGGAGTCCGGGGTCTAGTTTTTATATAAAGTTCTATGGACTTGACCAATCCATTACACCAAAAATATGATGTAGGGGCATTTTAGAAACTGGATCTATTTGCTGTTCTGAATGTAACCAGTGTCTCATGAGTAAGCACTCACGAGTTTAAATACTGGACTAATACTAATATACTGGATCCTCAGTGTATTTGTCTATCTACATGGATTTGCTTTTCCTTTGTAGGATTTTATCTGTAAGTGGCCATTGTCATCAGATGGGAAAAGATAGAGTTGCCGAAGCATTGTACAATACATGTAATTCCAAGCAGTTGACTAGTATAATTAAATTGCCCAGAGATGTATAATATATGGCAGGAAATAGTTCCACTTTATTGAGCTTGGAAATTTACCAGCTGGACTCCTGACTTGCACTGTGACTGAGACATCTTAATATGCACAGGTGCCTAATGCACTGAAAATTGTTCTCCTCACTTGTGGCCCGGGTTCGATTCCCAGCCTTGGCAATATGTGAGTTAGAGTTGTTTGTTAGCTCTGTCCTGTGCCACGACAGTTTGTTCTGCTGGTTCTCCGGTTTTTCTCCCCCCTGCAAAAATCAACACAGTCTCTGGCTGGGCTCCGTTGGCAGATATGAGTTGTATGAAAGCTGTCCAGGGCATCTGTACATATATACAGCCTGACTATTTGTAGTGTAGAGATCTTTACCATACATGACATTGCCACTTACAATAATTATTGATATTTATATTTCTGTTATTTAATACCAGTCCTACTTTTGGATAAAAATAGTTACAGCTTCTTATTTGAAACTTAAAAGATTGTAAAAAAATCTGTTAGTTCTAAGTAGCTTATGCAAGTAGTGACTTGTCGTGGGTTGGGTCACAATTTCTTTCCTTGATACATTTATCTCTTTAGACTTAATGGATTTTTTTTGGTTGTTGTTGTTTGTATAGGTGATTCTTTTTGATGCTGATGTGGAGTTTGATCTGACCCATGTGGATTGCTACAATAATCGCTTCCCCTATGCCTGCGTGACCCTGGGCCCGGCCGATGTATTGGCCCGTCGCTGGCAGCCAAGTGACTCCTCCGTGGTAACCAAGTGCGTCCCCATCATCTGTAAACCAGGTAGGCAGAGACTGATTTCTGATTGAAAAGCAAGGTGTCAATGGGAGACACAGTCAGGACACAAGACTCTATCATTGTAGGTATGAACTCAGAGTGGAACACATTGCAACGACGTTTGTGTAGCACACTGCACGTATGTGCAAATGTTCACATAAAGTACAGAGGACATCTGACCAACTGTTCTGTACAGATGTCTTTGTTACAGTGGCATCACATCCCCTTCTGCATGTTTAAACTTCAGCCCAATTGCGTTTTGGCAAATCGTAGCATCCTACTAGTCGAAGAGCTATTCATTGTGCATGTACCGGTATCACCTGCAAGGAAGCAGTCTGTACAGTCTTCATTTTGGCTGCTGGGCAGTCAGTTAAAATGATTGCCCTCTCTCATGATTTTTATTGCTGGTGAGAGCACTTGGCCAAGGAGGGTTCATGCCAGCCTAGCCTAGGAACCTGAACTCATATGCTCATGGGGAATTTGGGATGATTATCAAGCATAAGACTACCCATGCAAGATGTTTCTCTTTGTGGTTTGTTGTTATGGCCAGAGTGCATACAAGGATTTTTGTCATCAATTAGATCTCTATCTTGTGTTTAGAGCCAGGCTTAGGTATTTGCAGGTTGTAAATATCAGGATTGAGCATGCAGACAACAGATGTGGCTGGGGCTCTGAAAGCCTAGGTTGGAAGGAGCCTGTCTGACTCTGTCCATAGACTATGGGATTTTGTGCTCCAATTTCATAAACTTCACAGGCCCACAAAAGTTGTCGCAGATTGAAAGAGAAAAGATGCACTTAATTGAACCTAAATTTTGACCTTTTGCATGCCTACTGTGAACCTAGTTCGTCATTCATCATCGGTGGCTTTCTTTCACTCTGTCAGAGCCCCTGAGGGTAGATTTGGACTTTGTCGACGTGGACATCCCGCGCCATGCCATCATAGTTGACAGCAAAGTCGTGGACGTTTCCCTCTGCGTCTACTTCACACCCAAGGACGGTGCCGCCCAGGACCTAAATGCCCTGGGCGCAGTGGATCGCTTCAAGCTGACTGCCTTTCTGGCCACCACAGCCAGCGGCGGCGGCAAGACTGCGCCAGTGGTGGGGACCATCAACAAACTGGACCAGACCCAGGTGCTGACGGACGGCAAGCAGTTCTCCTTCTATGATGCCCAGTTCTCGTTTGACCTTACACAGGTTGATTGCACGGACGGTGCCTTCCCATACGTGTGCACCACACTTTCCGCAGTAGGGCCCTGGGAGCTTACTGCCAATTCAGTGCACACTGTATGCACTCCCATTATCTGTCTTGGTGAGTGGACTAAACTATGTTTCTTGGACAGGTTAAACGAACAAATCTGCCAAAGTGAGATATCTCACGTTATTTCAACAACCAATGAGTGCATTAGTTCATGTTTTGTTAATTTTCACGTCAGCAAATTTTCTGAGAAGAATTTTTCAAGACGACTTTGCAGTAGTTAAACTCATTACAAACAGTAGTTTTATTTACCGAATGACCCAAACAAAAGGAATCTTCGGATTTAAAGTGGCCAAGTATCATGTAGTGTATTTGTATTCGAGCAAATAGGAGGCACGGAACAGGTATCACAAATCCATCAACTCGTTAGAATAAAGTGTGAATAATGAACAATTTCATGTACAGTTTAATCCTGAAGAAGTTCCCCCCTGAACATTTTATAAACAAGTGTAGACTTATTCTAGGTAAGAGAAAAAGTTTTGCACAGTTCAGCACAAAAGATGCAGTATGAAGTGGTACCTGACTAATACTGCTATTGCCATGGAAGCAACCAGTCAGCATTAATGATTTCAGTCTGCTCCGAGATGGTTACGGACAAAATTTATGGTCTCTGTAACGATGCTTAGTCAAAATTACGATCCCTGACTGTTTCCAAACAGCCCAAGATAACTTCCAGGCACAAGTTACCTGCGAAGACAGGCAGGTTAGCCTGTCCTGTCCTGCTGGCCAGGGCATCCACATCGCCCACGCCCTGTACGGCCGCATTGTGCCCGGCAACCTCCTCTGCCCAAGCTCTGCAATCTTGACAACAAAGTGCCTGGCTCCCAACGCCTTGGGCATCGTGCGAGGCCAGTGCGAGGGAAGCACCTCCTGCTCGTTCACAGCCAACAACCATCTCTTTGGGGATCCGTGTGGTGGCACCCACAAGTACCTGCACGTGTTCTATCTTTGTAAGTAGGACAACTGGACCCTTGCATTAGATCTTGCATTTTCGGCCCGTTGTGTGTAAAAGGCATTTTTTTTTTCAATACCAGAAGAAAAGTACGATTTGGGGTGATAGTTTATTTCCTCTCCTCACCAACGTGTGGTAAATACCCCCAAAGTTTAGCCCAACTTCACAGGGAGACCGTAAAGATGAGAAATAAAATTGTCACTTCTTTGAGTCCCCTCCCCCCCCAAAATGTGTGGCTTCCTGTCACTTTGGTTTTGGGGCTACCGTTGATGGATATTCTTTATTGACTCTAATTAACAAATCATACAGCCCTACATACAGACCAATAGGGTACTGAATTGACAAAATGTGCACGCGCTGCAAGAATGGCGTCTCCTCAGATCTGTCCGTACAAACACATTGCATCTTAGATGTATCATGTGTAACACATTACAGGGTCTCTGTTCACAAAGTCTCTGCCTTTTACACTTTCAAATATCTGTATACATGTCCTCGACCCCTTCCTTCGCCTCAAAAAAAAAAAAATTCCTGGAGGACCTGTAGTCTCTTTCCATGACAGGCCGAGAGAAAGCCCTGGTGAAGACGGTGTGCGAGAGAGAGTGGCTGCGTATCGACTGTCCAGCCGGCGTAGGCATCCGCGTCATCGACGCCAACTATGGCCGCTACTCCGGGGAGAACGTGTGCGGCGCCAGGGGCAACAAGAACTGCGTCTCCCGCAACGCCTTGCCGGCCGTTCAGACCAAGTGTCAGGGGAAAAGGTGGTGCAAAGTCCCAGCTACTGATGCCTTCTTCAGCGACCCCTGCCCTTCAACGTCCAAGTACCTCAGAATCTATTACAAGTGTAAGTGGACAGCTGTTCCCAATACTCAGTCAGGTCCTCTGTTTTCATCATAATGTGCATAAAAGTTCAACCTGCCCTTGTTTCTGATCTTTAACAAACTAACCAGTAGTAAGCGTTTCTAGAGAAATGTTATGGTACTTTAACTGCAAACAACATGAAACAAACCAACCTTCACTCACTCATTAAGTCTTGTTTGCTTGTTTTGCTTTTCCCGATTACATCTTCATCAGCAGATGGCAGGTAATGGGGGCCACTCCCCCCCAAAAAAAATGTACCAGGAGCCACAAAAGCTTTTGGGGGAAAAGTACTGACAGAAATGCTATTTTTTGGTCATTTTAATTCCTCTTGGTTAAAAAGCAGTAACAACCCCCAAAACTTAAAAAAAAAAAATTAAGCCCCACCCCTCAGAAAGCCTACAAAAGGTTACATGCAGAATTTTACATTGGGTATCAACAACTTTAATGGTGTGTCATCAATCTGAACGAGAAAAGCGGCTGTTTGAACAACGTCGCCATGGTCACTTTGAGTCTCAGTCTGCGGGTGTCCCGGGGTGAGCTCAGGTCCAAGTTTCTTGTTTGATTGGTCCACCAATTCCCTTCTCCGGTCGTTTTCTTTCCACTCAGGTGACTACCCCATCATGCGGCGGAAGTCAGTCTGCCAAGGGCGCAACTTGGGACTGGACTGTGGATCTGGGAATGTCATCAAGATAGATTATGCCCTGTACGGCCGGGTGCATGGAAGCGCGGTCTGCAGCAGCAGTGCCTTGAAGGACTTCAACTGTCAAGCTGAAAATGCTTTATCGGTAGGTTTGCTTCTTTGAATCAAGATGTCTTTGTGAATACTATCAAAATTGGTTGCTTGGTGGTTCATTTCGATATCTTATCTCCTGGCTTCGAGGAAATGGAGAAATGGACAACATGTCAAAAGTTGAAGCTTTAAAATGATTACAATGTATCATGTCAAGAATCACATTCACCACACCTGGGTTCAAGGCATTGCATAATTATAACCCCTGCTCACCAGCGCAATGAGTAACACATCTCATCTTCCTTTGGATACAAGTCACATTTTGTCAAGCAGAATGGACCAATTTGCACACAGTAACCAACTCTGTCCACCAATTCAGGAGGAATTTGTGATAAAATGCCTTGCCCAGGGACACATGCATGCAGTTTATAGTTCCACCTGTTGGGCTCTTCCACCTCTGCCAAAACAAAGATTGATTTTTGTTTATTTCTCCTGTTTTCTTGTGCAGGTTGTGAAAAACAAATGCGAAGGAAAGAAATGGTGCAGTGTGCCAGCCAACAACTACACATTTGGCAACCCTTGTAAGGGCACCCATAAGTACCTGTTTGTCCGCTACTATTGCAAGAAGCACTAAAGTCACCGGACTTCACTTGATCTGTAACCGTCAAGGCTTGAGCTATCTCTTAATTTGTTTTTATCCAAGTCCTTGAAAAATAGAATAATACCAATAAATTTCCAATTCAATTTCCAATGAGTCCCCTCACAGTAGAGCAGTTTTACAGTAGAAGTTCTAATGAATTTTATTCAGCCCTCTGACAATAGACTTTCTTCACAAGCTGAACATTTTTGGATTGTGTTCCCTAAATCCAGTTTATTCATTACACACTCTGAAATGGGAAGGAACCTGACTATTTCACTGCAAGTACAGATACAGTCTCACTTGGAACATACTTTTTTTTCCCCCTCACAAAAAAATTGACATGATCTTTATCCATAATTTGCAACTACCCATCAGAGCACACGGATGGTAATTTACAATTTGCCACGACTGCATCATCTCCCTTCCCACGCATATAAGAAAATGTTTGTAGCAATCACTTCTCATTCAGTTCAAGAAGGCTGACTGGAGAATACGGCCAATTGGGTCACTTTTCAACAACCCTTCGGCTTGAAATAACGGAATCAAATTTATCAACCAGTTTCAAATCAAAAGTCAAATCTACATTGTCTGATCCCTCACTCACAGGCTATTTGTGACATTCTATTCATTTTGTTGATTATTGGAATGAAAATCAAATGTTAAAAAAAGTCAGGCATCACCATATTTCCCCCGGCGGGAATTTAAAGTTGAAGAAATTTGAGCAAGCATCATAAAGGATTACCCAGAAATACCTATTTTGAAGACAAAGTCGTTCACATACTACCCTCTTACAAACAATACAGTGCAAATGAAATGATACAGTAAAGGACAGGGGCGGATCCAGGAACTTCTCTGGGGGGACCTTTAACCCGTCAGATATATTTCTACCCCATTGTTGCAGACAGGCAAACATAGGGAAATGCAGTACATTCTCAGTGATGCAATTACCTTTATCCATGTAGTAGCAACCCTTATAGGATGTCATCTTTTTTATTATTGCTAGAATTATGATTTCAGTTTTTTAAATCTTATTTATGTATATATTTGGTGTTACACCATTTGGCCCCCACAACCACCCCCGCCTCGAATCAGTACCTGAAGGGTTGTAACGACAGAGTCATCTATCTACGGCTGCCCATATTCACTGTACACAAGTCTAAGCCGTAGCCGCAAATAGAGTGTTCATTGTGGACACAGCCCAAAACAAGTACTTCATTGATGTCAGACTTGCACACAGTGTTGGAGAGAGAAGGCACATTGCACAGTTTCTGAGAGATAAATCAGTTGTGAAAACAAATGTCAGTGAAGCAAACAATAAATGATCAGCACGTAATAGCTCTCCTATAAATTAATGAATCTCTTAAGAAATGGGGTGCAGTGTTGATTAAATTTTCTTTCGTTTCCTTAAAAAATATCACCGAATATTGCCCTATTTTTTGACGTAGGTAAACAGATATATTCTGGTTATAGCTAGAATAGTTATGTTAAGACAAGAAAAAAGATACATTAAGAATGGTATCAAAAATAAAAGATACGGTGGATTCCTGGCAGGTTGCAGAGTGTAGTTCCTGTCCTCGATTTTAAACATTGCATTCTTGTATATCATATATTCCGATTCACAGCGGCAAATTGAAATTAACTGTATATTTCTGGAGTCTGTGTACGGTTTCTATGCTCTCGGTTAATTGAGGGGAAATATGTCTCCTCTAAAGCAAACATGAGTCCGACTTGAGCCCATGGTTCATGCACGTGCTGAATGAGTGACAACGCCCTCTTGACTAATGGCCATAAGTAAAGAGAGATCTTTGAATTTCACATCATTCAGATACAACATTCTGTTTTGTGTCGAAGAATAGCTCATCTAATCTGACACTTGCTGAAAGCACTGTCACCATTGCTGTCATAAACATTATCATTTGTACATGTATATGGCAGAGTACAGCTCCATTCGCTCCATAGCCATTAGATCGTGCGTGCAGTGCCTTTTGTGTCGTTACAACCGTTGAAATACACTTTCGTATTTCTATCAACCTTGTTTTCAAAATCTGTTTTGCTATTTCGACAGGTATTTGTGTGCTTTCTGGTTTGTGTGCTATGAAAGATTTCTATTTTCATGAGAAAATGTGTGATGTCACAAAACCTGAATCTTGCATGGATTTGTTTGCAAAAAAGCTTGAATTTTTGTTATTGCGCTTTTTTAAATTTCCTTTTCTTTTGGGATTGTGTTGGTACAAGGCAATATGCTAGCAAGCAATTCTTTCACAGAAATGTTTTCAGTGAGCCAAGTTTGGGTTCACAATTTGTACAGAAGCACATAACATATAAACTGAACAGTTTCTTCCCACAGACATGAAATAGCCACGGCAACAGCATCCTTGGTTATAAGCTTGGACAACTTTTTAGGAGGATAAATGTGCTTTTCGGCCTTGGACAGTCTCTAACGTTCATTTAAAGTGTAGCTGATGAATATTTCTTAGGCCCAATGTTTTCTGCAATTGCATACACTTTTTCAGTGTATGAAAAATACTTCCTATCGCTTAATCGTTGAATGCATTAAAAAGTGCAGTTTTTAAACATTTCACATTATCCATACTTTTCTGAGCAACTGAGGGGGCTGTTGCTGTGATGTCATCCAGAGAGGACATGGTTCACTGCATAGGTTTTTATGTTCAATTTCTGAACACGGAATTTTGCTTACCGAGAACATTTCTGAGAAAAGTTTGCTTGTTTCTCTGTGTACATGTACTTGCACAGCAATGTATCACACACACATGCACACACACACACAATTAGGCCAGTAAATTCTCCAAAATGCGGGGTATGTGCATAAAGACCTTTAAGACTGGATCAAGAGAGTGGACACCGAGTATGGCCGAGCCGAAGATGGTTTGGGTCCGTTCCGCTGATGCTGCGCTGGTCTTAAAGTTTAAGACCGACAAAGCGCATGTATGTATCTGTTCCCACCCATAGTTACTTTTTGAGTCACCGAGTCAAAACCAGTTTTAAAAGTTACAAATCGTCTACGATTTTGTCCAGAAACTTAGGTTTTTTTGAACACCCCTCTAGCCATGGGATGGTATGTTCGTCTCATGAGTAGTCACAGAGTTTGGTGCATGCGTTCTGTGTGAGGCGGTGGCAACCAGCTGGGGTTTTTTCAACCGTGTAAGACCAGTCACGTGGCAGGCTCTGGGCCAATAGGAATGGCTTAACTTTCTGGAAGGTATTCGTGAACGATTATTTTTTTAAAGTTCGTTCTTGCAATTTTGACCCCAAGAAGATATCAAACAGTTTATATACACTAAGGAAGAGTATAAGTTGCGCAAAAAGTGCATAAAAGCCTGAGAAAAGTTGTGTCGCATTCTGCAACCACGCATGAATAAACATCAGTCACTGATACACCTGTAGCAGTCTCTGGCAAATGGACATTGCGCACACTCCCCGGCAGCCATTTCCTCCCATCATTCAAAAGAGACACCATGGCCTTTGGAAGACGGTCCAGATACACTTGCCTGTCAATCATTTGGATACCACTTGCAATTGTCAGCTTTGTTTGGTGGAACACGGAGGAATTTGGCGTCATTGTCCCAACTAAACCGAGTAAGTGGAGACAGCTTTGCTGCTGTAGGTTTGTGTTGGGTCGTTATGTAGGGTATGCCGTATAGACAAAGTGACCTTAATAACGCCAATAATACGCGGGTCTTGGGTTATCGCTGTCATTTTAGGCCTAATGAAGTCATCAACTGAACCTATCAAAATGCTCGATCAAGGGCTGCATGTGCAAAAAGATCAGGAATCCATCATGCGGACAGGGTATTGCATTTATCGAAAATGGCGCAATTTTAAGTTTAACTCGGATGATCATCATCGGATAACTCACCGATGGTACCACTTTGGTGGTACGGTCTTGTCAAGTCTGAAGTTTTAGGCAACTTTGGGGGAGCGGCATGTCAGGCTTTTTTCTACGGCTGACCACGCTTTTTGCTGAATAAATCATGTACCGACGGAGGGCAGAGTTGCATACGGGCAAAGTCAAATAAGATAAATTGTTTATCATTCACCATTGGTCTAACATATTTTTAATCACGTTGAAACAGTCCTGGGACACTTGTTACAGTTTTGCAATACAGGTGTGTCAATCGTCGAATCGACATAATATGAAAAGATCCAAAACGTATCTTTTTAGAATTGTAAAGAGCTCGTCAGTGTGTATCCATATGTCACATTCGAAATAAAGTTACCACTCAGCGTAATACTAAATAACAATAATAGGCCTACAAATAAAGAACCACGAACGCTGCAACCGTGTCTATATTATCGAGAATCCCACAAACTAACTTGAAATTAACTTGCACGGCGGCATGAACGCGCGTAGGCCTTCGTAACTGTGAAAAATGACATTGTTCTAAAATATTGTTGCTGTAAAATCTGCCATTGAATTACAGAGATATTTTGTGACTGCAGAGTGTGTTGTGTTTTGTGTTACTAAACTGGAGTGTAGCTTTGCAAACGCACGAGTTTCCTCTGTAACATGAACGAACATCAAGTTGCACTTTAAACCGAATGCACAAAGCCACTTGTATGAAGCTTGTTTTGCCGTTTATGTCATTTACGCTATTGTGATGGCAGTACATTTGTTCATAAAGTGCTTTAGGCCTATTTGAAGCCGACCAGTATGATAAAGAACTGTCCAAACTCAGATACTAATTTTGCCACCTAATCGTTACTTCAGTTTGCAAGGGTAATCGATGCACGTTTAATTACATCGGTTGAATTTCAGTATTATAAGGCCATCTAGAGAGCTACCGTAATCTCCATACTGCATACCAGGTAATAAGAAACGCGTTCCTATAGAGCTTTATTTGAAATGTGTATGCATGCACCGACCCAACTTGCAACCAGATCTAACCCGTCCTTGCTGTTCCTTGTTTACACCATTCATTCAACTTGGAGCTATCCGTGGATACTCGACAAAAACTTTCAACTCAACCATGAAATGGCCTCTACATTCATTGAAATCTGACCCCGCTTTTTAATACTAGCAAAAAGTCTTTCGTTGGCATTTGCTCAGTGCACGTAGCTGACGTAATTGCGCGGCCAGATTTTGCTTTCACGAATGCGCACGCAGGTATGGCGAACGAGTCCGATCGTGCAGTGACACTGCACAATTAGGACACCGAACCGTGCTTGCGTGTCGTGCGTCTGCCGCTTCGACGGGCAGGTCTGGTACATGTACATAGTCCGTGGGCTGGGAGGTATTTCAGTGTAGCCCCAGAACAGATCTCGCCAGTTTTTGCCACTGGTATTGTTTTTTTTCTTAATCCTTGGCCTGCCCTAAACTCGGAAAAGGATTTTAACTGTAAAAAGGGTAGGGATACACGCTAGCTCTCAGATTGCCACGTCTCAAATCTCATTCGATGGCATGTACGTGTTCCTTTATCCACTGGAAACAACTTGACCAAACCTCAATGGGTCTTCATAAAACTTGGCTCAAAGTTCAGTGTGCATGCAGAATTTTGGGGGCAAATGTCCTTGGTTGCCATAGAAACTATCTATGGGGAACACAGTCAACCAAATACGAGTTTCAACATTTGGCGCACTTTTTCAAGCCTTCTGTTGCCCGAAATCTCTCATGTTGAGCTTAAAACTTATCGCTTTCAATATTTTTGAGTACTATCTCGGAAATAGTAAGTTAATCGAACACGTTTGATGCTTACGGTAAGTATCATAAAATTTAGCTTAAAAATCACAAGAATGATTGTGCCGTTGCAGATAGACTGCAGTCTATAGTATAATTGGTGATTCGATTCTGACTTTTTTGTTTTAATTTTATGACCTCCACATTTCGAAATAGAGTTTAACTTCGTTGGTATGTTGATGAATCAGTCAGTGAACATCTATCATTTTGTACCGATTTGAGCCAAGAATACTCTTGGTCTATCTGTTGGTATAAAAATTTTAATAGTGAAGAATTACAGGACTGAGTTTGCTGTCGACCTCTTGCAAGGTACATCATCTTCATTTTGAAGCTTTCTCGACAAAATTACTCGCGATTACTTGTACAAAAGTAATTAAGGACAGGTTAAGGGCACGACAGTTGTGAAGTTTGTTATTGTCTGGTTTTCAGAGGGGCATCCATCTCCAGGATTCCACATAGGTCTACATTTGAAACCAGAAAGACGGAGAATCGTCATCATTGGGGCTGGACCCACTGCCTTGGGAGCAGCTCAGAGACTCTACGAACTCAAACAAGAGATGAACAACACCGAGATCATGGTGCTGGAGCAACGGAGTCAACCAGGAGGATTAGCGGGCTCGGAGAGGGACGAACGGGGCTTCTTGTGGGATATGGGAGGACACGTCATATTCTCCCATTACTCCTACTTCGATCATACCTTGGACCGCGCCGTGCCAGAATGGAACCAACACGTCAGGGCGGCGTTTGCCTTCATGAAGGGATCTGACGGGGCAAGGAGGTTCATACCTTATCCAGTCCAGCGCAACATCCACGCTATGCACAAACTGGATCAAGAGAAGTGCTTGGCTGGATTGGAAGAGATCAGTAAATTCCCGACGTTTGCATCGCCCCGGGACTTCGACGAGTGGCTTCTTCTGAAATTTGGGAGAGGTCTCTGTGAGCTGTTCATGAGAAAGTACAACAGGAAAGTCTGGACAGTCGACACGAGAGAGATGAACGCGGTCTGGGTCGGTGAGCGGGTTGCCGTCCCGGACGTGGAAGAAATCAGGGCCAAGATCCGTCAAGCAGACAGTGGTAAGCCAGCCAAAGATTCCGCCTGGGGTCCCAACAGCTTCTTCCGTTTTCCTCGTCACAATGGAACGGGCGGCATTTGGACGGCAGTGGCCAAGTTGCTTCCACGCTCCTGGTTCAGCTTTCACAAGAAGGTCGTCGGCGTCGATGCAGACAGCAAAGTTATCACCGTCGAGTCCGCTGGAGTTCCAGGCTCTCGCCATACGCTGAGTTACACAACACTCATATCAACCGTTCCTTTGGATGAATTCGTGGGCTTCCTAAGGAGCAATGACCCGTCCCTTGGGAAGGTGAAACGATTAGCATCCCAACTCGTTTACACTCACACCCACATTGTGGGTATCGGTCTTACCGGTCGTGCTCCGAAGAGTCTCGCTGATAAATCGTGGATGTACTTCCCGGACTCAGATTCCCCATTTTACCGCGTTACCGTGTTCTCCAAGTATTCGACGGACCATGTTCCTAAATCGGGAGAGTACTGGTCGCTGATGTGCGAGGCCGCTGAACCGAAGGGCAGTAAATTGGTGTCCTGGAACCGGGCCAATGTGATAAGTCAGACGATCAAGGCCTTGGTCTCATACGGGTTCATCACCGTGGATATGATCGTCTCCAAGTACTACCATCGTCTGGACCACGGCTACCCCGTTCCGTCTCTCAACAGGGACAGGATACTTAACGCCGTGCAGCCTTGGTTGGAGGCTAAAGACATTTTCTCGCGTGGACGTTTCGGAGGTTGGAAATACGAGGTTGGGAATCAGGATCATTCATTAATGCAGGGAGTGGAGCTCGTGGACCGAGTTGTCAGGGGCATCCCAGAGGAAACCTACGCGAGCCCTAACCTCGTCAACAGCCAAAAGAACACGGGTCGAATTGTGCGCACAGAACTACCCGACTATGAAATTGTGGTAGCCCATTACAACGAGGAACTCGATTGGGTGAAACCTTACGCCGACCACGCCCACGTCTACCACAAAGGGAACGAAGAAGGAGCACCGTTTGAGCTGTATGCATGGGAGAGATTGCCCAACGTCGGACGAGAAGGGCATACGTACCTTCATCACATTATCAACCACTACAATCACCTGAGCAACATAACCGTCTTTTTACAGGCCGGCTTTCGACGTCACCGTTCCTTTTGCCACACGGACCCTCTCACTTACGTCGCGTCCGTCAAAGAGGGCGTCCCTTGCAAGCACTTACGGGAGCAAGTGATCAGAAAATGGGGCAGGATACGCTATCGCCCGACGAAGAAAATGCGCTGGTCAAACTTGACCTTGGGAGAATTCTATAAAGTTATATTTGGCTCCCCGCCACCTCCAGCGGGCATGCCGCACTGTTACAACGGATGCCTCGCAGCTTCACGGCTAATGATTCACAAGCATCCCGTGAGCTTCTACCAAAAGGCCATTTCCTTCTTGAGCAATGATTCCGATCCTGAGGAAGGGCACTATATCGAAAGATTTTGGTACTGGATGTTCATTGAAAGAAAAGACTGAAGAACTTTACGGATTTAACGGGTCAGAAAACTAAAAACTAGCTCTGTAGTCCAAGAATTTCTGAAACAGCATGAATTTATTCGTCATTGGTACACTACTTAAACGAATAGATACTAAGAGCACAAAGTGAAAATTCTGGTCATTTTTGTCTTTAGGCATCAAGGTCAGAACGTCACCTCTAACAATTATAAACAGGATTTTAAATTTTGGCTTACGGGCTGGCTATATGCTCTTGCATAAACCGTAAAGAAAAGCACTACATTTTTTCTAATTAAAATTGAGCCTAGAAGGAATTGAACTCACACCATTGAATGATGATGAGCGAATACCGTTTTTAGTTTTATGCAATACGGTAAAGATTCGAAACCTTGCACGGTGGAGGTTGTAGCTTGAGAGAAGTAGGACTATTTTCAGGTATTGTGGAATCGATCCTTTCTATGTGATGTTTCTGAGAAGAACCAATGAATAGGAAACTCGACATTTCAACCGTTGCTCCCATTCACCGCTTGTCAGAACCAAGAGATCGATTCACGTGGTACACCAGCAAACTTTTCTCATTCACTTGGTTTTATGCAGCCACAGTACTTTGAATAAAAAAAATTGGAAACGGAGGAGAGCCCCCACCCCAATTTTTTTAATTGGGGAATACGCCCCTTCCTCTGTTGGCAGATCCTGTGATGGAGCGGAGCTTGACGTGGTCTATTAATGATTGACAGCTGCCCCAATTTGAAAGTGCTGCCCCAGTTTGAAAGTAATTCCGCCATCCTTTTAAAAAAATCCTGACGTCTCGTTTCATTTCCACTCTCGGGCTATCAATGGTAGTAGCCACTTGAGCCGCCGGAACTGCTCTCGGAACCACTTTTTCGGCCAGAAGAGCGCGAGCCCCCATCGGAGGAACTACTCCCAGCAGAGGAACTTGAAGACTTTGAGTTGCTTCCAGACGAGTTGCTAGAGGCTCGGTTTGATATACCTTAAACAGTGCATAGGAACGTAAATCAGCGACAACACAACAGCAATGTCAGCAGTGATGCAGCTGCAACAGAAATGCATAGCAACAACAGTAATGAAGCTGAGACAACAGGGACAACAGCTGCAGCGGGAATAACAGCAAAAAGCTAACATAAAATGTCGAACTTAATTGTTGAGCCTACGTTTTTGAAGCACCAAACGGCTGTTACATGTATTGCACCGATGCAGTTTGCCATTGCGCGGTGTTCCCTTCCCTTTATCAAAAAGCCTTTTTGGTACCGAACGAAAATGGATTTTCTTCGAAAGAACAGCGTGTAGTCTTTTCTGTAGTTCAAATCACTCAAGGTATGCGTACTGGAAAGAAGCATGCAGTCTATGTTAACTGATGTTACTTCAGTAAGCATTTTATTCCAAACAAGCATCAATGTTTAAGTCTAGGCAAAACCAAAATCTAACCAACTTACATAGGTAACGAACAAAGAGATACTTGTGAGTCCCCGGGCAAGGATCACCGAAGACGTGGGCGCTAGCACGCACATTACACCACCGCTTGCCTTCACATCTCTGCTTGACAATCTACAGACATTTTTGAGAGTTCCATCAGTGCAAAGAGACAAAAGTAAAAAAGACACGAAAAATGGCTCTTTACTGGCTCTGCAGAGAAGCAAAACAAAATAGACCACGGGCGAAAATTACTAAGGCGGCCTACCAGACGTTTTTCACGGAAGCAGGAAACTGTGTAAATTTCAAAATAGACGAGGCACACAAATGTTTCCTTTTCAGAGAATCGTTGTTATCTAAGCCCACTGACTCACTTTGAGTCCAGAATCAGACACACAGTGCACACTCTTCAGCCAGTAGGGGTCCGTTGGACAGACTGCGTTGCCATGGACACGGCCAAAGAGGGCATGGTCGAGAGCAATGTGATGGTGTTTCTTACAGTCGATATTCAGCGTCTCATCCTGACAGACGAGCTTTGTTCTCATGGATGGGTAGTCACCTTCAAGAAACAAAATGAAGAAGTAAAGGCAGCTTATTTATTGAGGAAACATTGACTTTTTAGGATGACGTCTTCAGGCGGTATTAAACCACCCAAATCCATTCTCTGGACCGTCCCTCTAGATTTCAGAACTGTTGCCCTGCACAAAATGAATGTTTCTAGAAGTGGGGGAAAAGTCTATGGCGGCTGGGGCGAAGTTCACAAATATTTGCAAATGAATCACATTTTTTGGAAAATTTGCCTTCATATAGTTTGTCCCAATCGAGGCCAGTGTACGACTCAAACACAGGGCAAACGTGGGGGATATAGTAGGGGCCATGCTCGATTGTTTTTGTTTGTGGGGAACCTACCCAAAAGCAAATTTGCACCCCCCCCCCGAAGAAAGGGGTTCTGCATCTTGCGTTGCATATACGGAAGCATAAATGTTACAGTGACTGTGTTGGCCAGATTCCCGCTAAACGTTCACAAATCCATGGAAATGTTATTTCATCCAATTATAGATCCATCAGACGGAGGAAAATCTGTATGACTAGACTGTTATGCTCTTTGCAAGTCTGCTGTTTTTTCCCTCTTGAAAAGAAAACTCCAATACACAAACTCACACGTGTATCGCACTTGAAGATATTTATCGTTCCCTCTGCACCGGTGCCCGAAGAACCTCCTCGTCGCCGGGACCTTGCACCAGCTCCCGCCCTGACACATGGCCCGCACGGCTAGCAAAGAGTTCGGCGCGACGCACCACTCACGGCTGTACGAGCCGCACGCTTGCTGGCCGGGGTACCGCCCGTAGTTCGCCCATTTTATGTTGAGGCCCTGCCCTAAAGGACAGTCGATATTCAGCCACTTGCCCTGGCAAGCAGTCTTGGTGATTTCTACTCCAAAAGAAGACAAGAACACCTTGGTGGTTTGTATAAGTCACGCGGAATACAAAAACGTATGTCTACATGTGTCTGAAATAACAGGATTTCGTTTGTTATTGTTACAAGATATTCGTCAAATTGACAAGATGAAATAATTTGTCCAGTCATCAGCGAAGTTGTCTGTTTCCGTACTCCTATAAAATCTTACCCTCCCCATGCATAACTTAATTTACCCCAAAGAAAATATCCTCCGAGTACAAAATCACACATACTATACTACTATGACACAGCATTATAAATATATAGTACTGTCCAACCTGAAGTATGAGATGAGTGTGAGCTTGTCACCAAGCTCAGTACAGCCAGAAACGACCCAATGTGTAGCATGTTAGACACTGCTCATGCGAACTGAAACAACATGTCTTGAGTGAAGCTGCAGACAGGAGTGCTCTAGGCTGTTACACCAGCCGGTCATTTATACTTCGGTGGGAAAAATTGGCAGCCTCTAGCTCGATTTTGAGCCCGGAGGAGTTCGAAGAGATAAAGAGCTACTCCGGTGTGAATATGCGAGGTCAAAACGGACAAATGAGCCCCTCAGCCTTAACCTTGATTACAAGAGATCCGCAGATGGTACGATAGCACTTCATGCTCACAAAACCTGATGGTCCTTTCGTTTACGTTACAATGTCTACGACATCACGCCCGACTACCACCATACGTGATGGCATCATGCAACTCCAAAATAGTTTCTATAAAATTCAAAATCAGTGAGGTAATAAATTTCAAAAACAGTCGAGATGAAAAATAAGAAATCAGATCTTCAACTTGGCCTAAACTATATGCATTTAATGCATGTAATTTATTCTCGCTCTTATCATGAGAAATGAGTGTGAAAAGGTCGTCCAATTAATCTTTTTAATCACTCTTTCGTTTGTCATCAACACGAACAGAATTTCTACAGAACGGGATGATTCCAGTCTCTCTCAAAACAGAGCAATTTAATTTCCAGGTCGTATTGAAAAGTACATCTTATTTCAATCATTTTAATTTCTCCACGCTTTGTCATTGCAGGAAAACACTCTTCGTTTAAGGGGTTTTAAGTTTTAAAAATATCACTGGAAATATAAGTAAACATAATATGTTTGATTGAAACAAAGATAAATTTTTAGAATAAAGGAAATTTAAGACAGCAAAATGTCCAAAATTCTGGTAAATATTTTGTGCTAAAACAGCTGAGGTTTCCTCCTGAAATGACATCACAACTTTTGCTCTTGAATATGCAAATCAGCATTAACATCAAATCGGAAAGGCGCCAAGCAAAATGAAAGCAAACGTTGCAAAATGAATATAAGGTCAAATAAGACACAGAGGTGCATTTTTTCAAGGACCACATTAAAAATCGCAAAGCACAGGTCCTTTAATTTGTTTGGCCGAATGAAATTTGACCCCCAAACTGCGTGTCATGTAAAGTCACGCTACGCCACCTTCTCACGTTCAAAAGGGAAATGATCCGTTGTGTTGTAAGGTATCATACATAACTGTCATAACTGGTTGGTTTGACATACGAAAAGAAGACGAGCTTTTTACATTTCATCTGCCGAAAAATGGCACCATACTTTTTTAATGAATAAAAATTGATCAAAAACAACTACTGAATAAAACAAACTCGGTCTTAATAGACTGGCGGAGGTTTCCTTCTTACATCTCAGCCACAGTGAAATAGAATGAACACCAAAACAAATCAAACCAAACCTTCAGAAAATCGCCCGCTAATTCGACACAAATCTTAAATTTTACCCGTGTTCTGCCGAGAAGAACTAGAGCGGGGTGGCGACTGAACAAGTTTACTACACGGTTGAATGAGCCCAAAGAACGCCATGGTTTCACAGCACCGATGCCCGTCCTTATCCTTGGGGCACAGGCTTTTGTTATGGAAAGCAGAATACACCCTTCTCCCCCCTGTAGCCAATACCAATTCAACGAGTGCAAGCCGGCTCAATGGCTGGATGACTAACTATCCTACCTGTATGCACACAAACAGCCACCCTTTCTGTTCTTTTGTGGCGTTCACGCTCTCCTGCACTCGGTCAAATTTTTCAGGGTGTTTTGGGGGGCATGGAATACTGCATTTCCCAACGTCATAACGGTGCGATGTTATTTTTCTGTATTAATGCTTTGGTATGAACTTCGACTACGCCTAACGCAACTGCAGTCGTCACCGTTCACCGAAACGTGTTGACTGGGTGTGGTACAGTTTTCCATTTTTCTCCTGTCGGTAGGCCTACACTAATCGTGAAAGTTGGGCCACCCTAAAGTTGATCTCTGCCCACGTTAAGTCATCGTTTACTTCATATCACCAGAGCTGCAGAGAAGAAACGTGATATTGATGCTGAAATGGCAGTCAGAAACTAACCTTTTTGGAGTGGTTCAGGTCGTAATATTTTGTGGTATTATAAAACTTTGTGCGTGGGTGCAGCGTCCACCGATATCTTGATCGAGGACGGAGTATAAGGCATCGACCAACCTGCACTTCTTGGCATTTGGAGTTTTCGTTGGTCCTTGAACCAACCAAAGGGATTGTTGACTGTCACTCCCATCCCAGTTGCTAGCTAGAGACGTTCGATCACCCTCCCTCACGAGATAGGAGCTCTCTACGGCCTTCTTGTCGGTAACAAACCAGAGGATATAGAAGGCTTGAGGAGGCCAGGCCGGATACCAAGATCTGAGGCGAGATGGGTTGGTGTGGCTTAGGGAACAGGCTTGAAGCTACTCTTCTTGTCTTTCTCGGACTTTTCTCAGTAAGTAACAATTTTCATTTTAAAAGTCCTCTTTGTTGTGTTCACAGATATCCTTACCGATAAAAACAGTCCTCAAACAGAATAAAAAACAGTCCTCAGTCCTCCAGCAGGTGAAGGATTGAGGACTGTTAGGGTTAAGATATTTGGGTATTCAATACGATTGTACAGGATAACATTGTCGTCATTATGGCGAGGACTTCGGTATGGATATGTGGAAGACTTAACTTTTTAACAACAGATAACAATATGAGATATTGGAGTTTGTATAATATATTGCAACACTTAGGCCTACACCATAATTTACAGAGTTAAGACGAATGAATATGACGTTCTTGATTATAAATTTTTGATGACATACATTATCTGTCATGAAGAAGAGAAAGTATTTTGAATAGGACCATTAAAATTTCCGAATGTCCTAAACACCAAGTTTAGCCTTTTAATGACAAGTCTATTGCTCATAGGTACCGAACCCCCTTTATTTATTGGAATTCGATAACATCCCTTTTTAATCTTGATGTTTGTTACACTGCAAAGATTTCAATGGACCAATATGGAATTCTTACTTAAAGGGGTCTGTGCAAACTCAGTGACAGTAATTCCAAGTACAAATATAGACTAGTATTTTTGCTTCAAAATAACGTTATGCAATCACGTCGCGGAGCCCATATCAGCATGTGTCTGAAAGACGTAGGCCTACAGTGTACTCGGGAAGACAACGTTCATAGCGAGCAAAAAGCGTTAAAGACAAGTTGTAGGATCATCATTTCAGACATGACGCAAAAATTCGTCTTCGGAAATAATTTCTCTGATGACATTTATGAGAAATATCTCTAATTGCCTACGCTAAAAAGGGCTAATTACGGCCTGTGGAGTTAGGCAAGGATAGGGATATATACGTATACGTAGGGAAAACTAAAAAGTTACACTTTTGACACGATTAGAGCCGCTACCTAAACCCTCCTCATTCTCCTACAGGTGAAGGATATTGTTAGGGCCAAGGCGTACGTATGGATAATGCGGCACATCTGTTTTCTTATCTATTGATTAAATATAGTCTGCCCCTTTGCATTTGCATCAATTTCCATGTTATAAATTTTCCATTAGTAAATTTAATACTCTTGTGTATGACTATGATTGCTGCACAGCAGAATAACGAGACCTTATGCCGCGGCCAAAAAAAAAGCTAACAGCGTTTGCAAAATTGTGATTTTTTTTTCAACAAGATGACTGAGCAAGAATTCCTTCACTCTCCCGTTACAAAACAATGAGGTTTGTGAATTTCAAAAGGTACGGGAGAAAGGTTGCAGACCATGTCACATTTTCTGACCTAATCATTGCACGAGTCAGAGTTGTAAGGAACTCGAGTCAGTGACTCGAGTCACAATATTTGGCCACTGGACTCGAGTTCTGACTGGTAAACGACCGTGGCTCGACTCGAGTCCCTCATCGGATGACCCAATTCGAGTGGAAGTTAATAGGATTCGAGCCCCCCCCCCCAAAAAAAAGCAAACTTCTTTGCGAAAAAAATTTGCAATGATTTACACTGCCGGTTGATAATGTTCATGCCGTGTGTTATTAGGCCCTATCTTCAGAGAAAGAATGTGGTGTGACCACAAGTGACCCACAGGTAAATTTTCAAAATGGCAAAATATGACTTTCTCTTTGGTTATTTATTGTATTGCGCTCAAATACTAGTGACCCGAATTGACTCGAGCTAACTTAACTTTTCTGCTTAATGACTCGACTCGAGTCGAGTCATTACGTCACAATGACCTGACTCGACTCAAGTCACAAAAGGTAGTGACTCGTTACAACTCTGCGCACAAATTTTCACCGTGAAAGGGCAACCTCGCCTTTCTACACTGCGTTTGTTTCAAAAATATTTCAAAATATGCGGAAACGGACGAGAGAAAAACAAAGACATTGAGTTTACACTTTGATCTGCCATGTGGGTAATCGACACACGCGAAATCACAGCTTACAACACCCTCTCAACACTGCCTCTTAAAAAAGGAGATGACTTCGTGTCGTAAGCCAGTTGAAAGCCGGTGTCTCTGTTTTCACTGCTATTAGCTGGTCATATACTGGTGCACGCTAATTACAAATCCATAGTTTGAGTACAGAATAACTCGCCCCATGATCACTTACTTTCTCTACCTTGTTAGACCTCAACCCAATGGTAAGATGTGTTAGTGTTATGCGCAAGTTAAAAAGAAGTATAATTTGCGCAATGTAGAGATCAAAAACCAATTCACCACAGATGAAACGTGCATGAGACAATAAAGGGCGAATCCAGAACCAATTTTTCAGGGAGCCAATTGTGTATACAGAAACCGTGTCATAAGATAAATAAAGGTAATGTCCATTTTTTTAGTTTAACATGGAACAAAGTGGCACTGACTTACTCGTATTTGTCAATTAAATTCAAGCTTGGGGCAATAGACATTAAAGGCCACTTTTGGTAACAATGATTACAAATGGTTGGATATTTAATCCAAATTGAAGACAAAAATTGGGTTATTCAAAGAGTCGTCTTGTGCTTATACTCTGTGCCCTTGTTTGTTTTCGCACTCCTTTCACAATGTGCTAATTCTTTTTACCATGCCCTATGATATAAAAAACAAGATCACACAATCATTCAAAACACGTGAGAAGTCACGTCAACTGGCCCGTGCCGCAGATTGATGATTACTTTATTAGATGAGTTTTTTTAATAGGCTGTTGATAATCATCGACGCCTCCACACAAGAAGCGAAAATCACTGAATCGTAGTACTACATTTCTGAAAAACATACACCTCTGCAAAGTGCAAGAACCATGACACTTGAATCCTGTTTAGCATTTGAAGAATTCACCGCTGCTTAATCCACTGTTTCCCGGTAATTTTTCGGCACTAGCCTAAGGCCAACCAAATTCAAGGAGCCTTCATCGTGGATAGGTATAAAACAATACTTGATGATATCGCGAAAGGCGGTCAATGTTTACCAATTAATTTTTTCCCCTTTCTTTTTACCCAATTCACGCAGAAGCAGATTGGTGACAAGAATATTTTAGGGTGAGATTATGGGAGTGACAGTTTCGCCAGAATTCTGACCTGAATGCACTTCACTATTGTGGTTCACGAGCAAGTTCACAGTATTTAACCGTTGGCTGATAGCCTGCAGAAAAAAATGCATTGTACTGTCGCTGATATTGTGCATGCGTAATGCACACCCATGCGTTTTTACGGTTGAGGGGGGTCTCTGTGGAATTTATGGCGAAGTCTTTGGATTGCAAAGTCCGCAAAACATGTTTCAGTCAACAAAGAGCCCATTTTGTTAAATAATATGTTGTGAAAAGTGAATCTTCAAACCGAGATGTGGAAATATTCAATTCAGTGGTTTTACCTGTCGTTAGCTATTTGACTCGGACTTTAATGGGCTCAAGTAGTTTTCTCCACCCTAGAGAAAAGGAAAAGTAATTCTTCACCTAAGTCACGCGTAATGCGGGAGGATTGTTTGTGAATACAACTCTTTCTTCACAATACACAAGCGTCCATTTGCTTTTTCATTCTATATGGGTTTGACTTTTTCTTGATTGAAGTTCAAAGAGGTCTGAATTTTTCCCAGTACTTAAACTGTGCTTCTCTGATTCAAATGTTGTATTATACGTCTAGTTCCAGCGCTTACTGAAAGGCATGACATTTTGGCGGGTGCACATCTAGTCCATTTAATTCAGTAGAGCAGTGCATTTCACTGGGAATGGAGTGAATACGTGCACACCGTTTTTATCGTCCTCAAACAGTACCCCCCCCTTGCAAGGACATACTGCCATTGGGACATAACATGTCCTCACTCTGGCATGAGATAGAGATTTTTCTATTAGAATGACATATGTGTATCTCTATAGGAAACCGAAATATCTCTGTTTATAATATCGGGTTATGTCTAGTATTAGAATTTGAGAAATAGGGATAGAGATATCTCCGTTGGAAATATAGATAAATCAACATGAAATAGAGACAGTTTTGTGTGGAATAGACATATCTTCATGTAAGAAGAGATATATCTGTTTGGAATAGAGATATCTTTATTTGAAATAGAAATATCTTTATGAAAAATAGGTTCTATTTGAAATAGAGAAATCTTTGACATAGCGATAACGTGTCTTCACATTTATACAGCAGTTTCAGCGCTAGTCGATAACCCAGCCCCTCCCAGGCGGTTGTGGGGCTGACATTGAATATTGCCCTGTTGAAATACTGAACATCATAGCTGATTGCAGGTCTTTGAGTGATACTTAATGACTGTCCCTAACATGGCCGAGAGATGTACCCACCAGGGAGGCTGGGTACCTCCCCCTCCAAGATATGTTGCCTCTTTTGATAAAAAAAAGTATTAAAAGTGCCCTCATTTTAGAAATCATTACCACGGCCTTTCTTTGGGGTTTAAATTAAAGATTCTTTCGATCGGACAGTTATTTTTCCAAAATTTTCTTTGGCCTCCCTCCTTTACTGCCAATGCTTGAGATGGCAGCTACTTTTTACAGTGTGACTGTGCCTACAAGTTATGTTATGAATTACAAGTTATAAGTTAGAGTTGTTTAAATTTAACTTTATTATTTTGTTTTTGTATTAAGGATTGATGAAATATTTATGGGGCATTTTTTTTCTTTCAACAGGTGGCTTCACTCCAAAATGTGGAAGGTATGTTATACAGCGTATATGTATACCTGTTTCTTTTATGCTATAATTAATGTTTTTACTTAAATATTGTCGCATGTATTTAGACTGCAACTCAGCCGTTGGTTGCCATGCTCAAATAATTCAAACTCAACTTTAGTTTTAATTTTCTGTAATCAGTTTATTTTCAGTCTGAGTCTTGCATATCTTGTCTTGAATAGAACTGGAAACTTGAATATTGAATAGCATTCTGCTCTGTTTTCCACAGTGTTTGTGAAAGGCATCTCAAAATGAGAATTTCACGACTATTACATGTAGGCTACTTTGACTTTTCATTTTCATTTTAAGTTCACTTCAGAAGTAAATAAGTGTTGAGGGGAAAAATACGCATTACATATACATGTAATATGTACATATACATGTATACACATGTATATGTTTGAACAAGAACTGGCGTGCAGGCAGCCATGAGTTGTTTTAAATGTTCACCACCATGCTTTTCTGTTTCTTATCACAGTTCCCAATCTAGCTTTGTCCTTCAACGATGAAACTGATACTATCAAGGAAGGTTCATCAGCCCAAGTGTTCAATTTTGATGTGGCCATCACCCTGTCGGGTACCAGTGACCCTGCAAGTGCAGAGGGGATCAGCGACAGGTGGAACTTAACCTTGGAGGTGCAAGACGGCGCTGGTGTCCCTTGTGCCCCTTCTGTCACTGTGTCACTCACAGCAGACCAGTCGGGCGTGGCCATCCCCACAGGGGGCCAGGGCACCATGACAGGGGTGACTGCCACTGTTGACCTGAGTACCTGTCTCTGCGCCTCTGCGACTCAACTTCAGGTGACCTTGGGGTCACTTAGGTACACACTCGTGCCATCCATGCCAACAGCAACTGGAACGATAACCTGTCACAGTATGTTGCTTGAAGATACATCACTGTAATATGTTATAATGAGACTTTTAATGGCTTAGCCTAATTTCTTTACTAATAAGATACAAACCATTTATGTAACTGTACAAACACTGAAGCTTTGTGCAAAATTGGTGGAAAATGACTCTTCTTCACTGAGTTTCTGGCAGACATTTTTACCTTAAACTGAAATATTTTTGATTGAAACAAAAAAACTTGGCCAGTTTTTTGCATAATCCCTCTCTCAAGCATAAAGAGATAGGCCACTCCACAGTCTACTTCATTCGATGTAATATTGAGGTAATCCTGAACTTGTTTGGTATTCAGCACCAAGTGAATTTGTTTAATCCTCCAGACTCCATGGGATCCATGAGAATTCAAAATAAAACCTAATTTAAAGGCACTTGAATGTTTGCTTGAGCGTATCATGACAGCTTGTCTTCATTTTGTTTATAATTTTGGGAAGAGAAATGAATGTGTTAGAGTTGCACATTGAGTAGACTTTACTAATTTTAAATTGCTTTTGTTGTTGAACAGGTCTCATTGGAGACACCCTCACCATAATAACTGCTGGGGTAAGCCTGGTGGAGAACGCCAACAATCAGCCTGTGACGGTGAGTATAGTGGGTAACAGTGCGTCGCAGGGTCGCACTGTTGCTAGTAGCACTGACAACTGGGCCGTGCAGGTGTTCATTGCCACGGGGGACATCACCACCAACACACCAATCGAAAGCACCAGGACTAACGCCACAGTACCAACAGACCAGGCGGCTCAAGGGTGGACAGCGGGAGACACCTTGACCCTCAACGGCATCACGGTCGCACTGAATCTCTCTGGGGTGGGCAGCTGCGAAAACATTGACCTCCTCTGCACCTGGCTTTACCGCAGTCCGGATGCCGTGGCTCAGTTCAGCATAGAACGGAGCATTATCTCCTGCATGCCGGTGGTATGCATTGGTAAGTCATGCCAGATGTGAGGAATTTTCCACCGAATTTCTGATGGAAAACCTTCCTACATGTAATCCTTCAAACCTGCAGGAATCCAATGGAAGCCTCTAATTTTCAAGTAGAATCACACCCCATGCAAAAATGATGAGGCCGAGTTAAAAACAATCAGTTTCTTCTCCTTGCCTGCCCTCCTCTTCCCTACTAAATTTTGCTTTTTTTAAAAACTTTTCAACCTGTTTTGTCTTTTTTGTTAATTTTCAAGTTTTTAATTCTTCTTGTAACAAAGTATATATGCATGTAACCATCTGTGTAAATTTTGAAAGCTGTTTCTGATGAAAGATTGAAAGCATCAAGATAATCTATCCACCATCTCAAACAATGATTATTTGGAAAATATAGAATCTCCTCCTTTTTTAGTAACTTGGTTGAGAAATCATTTTACAATTGGTCCAAAGTCATAAATCTCGTTAAAATCCTTCAGTGTAGTGCTGTTATTGATACTCTGCTTCATATGTCTTGGCTTTTCACTTTTCACCGGTCTCATCATTCATAGCCATTGCAGTTAATCTCGGAATGCACTTTTCAGTGCTATATATTTAGCTTGACTGGAGCCCTATTTTTTTATCAAATTTAAAATTGTCAGTGCTGGTGGGTGAAAATGGACCGAATTGGTCTGTGGATCCTATTAAGGCATCACATTTACAACCATGAATGTCGCTGCTAGTGGAGATGGTTTAGCTGATAGCCCCAGGGGTCACTGGTTCAAATCCCACCATGGTCTCTTTCCTTGTTGTGCATGATTTTTTTGCTTTTCCTTTGCAACCTGGAAGGTGTCCTGATTAATCAAGTGATTCCAGCCTTCACTAATGCCACCAGCATCAAGCAAGGGCAGGTCAACAGTGACATACGGCTGACGGTGACCATTGATGCCGATAACACCAAAGCCTCCATCTCTGGTGAGAACAGCCTGAAAAGAACTCCTTTGTACCTCAACAGTTTAGCCATTTCGAGTGTAAATGACAGACAGTCATTAACAGGTCCTGCCAATCGTGTCAAATGACTAGTTGAGCATGAGAAGTCCTGGGGCCAAAATATTTCTAAACGTTATCAGAAGACTGAAAGGGGCATAGCGTTCAAATTCAAGCATTTGGTGAAATAGAAGTGTTCAAACCTATTATAATGTCCTATGCAATTTTTTGTAGTTATTAACATCCTCTGGAGAATTTGGCAAGGCTTTGGGTCAGGACTTTAGATATGTACACAGTAAAAAAGTTTTAGGGGTTTGAAGAATTCCTAACTTCTTGAGAGGATGTTAAAAAGCAAACTTTTGGGTAGTCAGGCCGAAAGTGAAACTAACTTTTGTAACTTGTACAGTCATCCAAAACCTGTTAAACTTTGAATGGTGTTAAAAGTGTTGAATTCACAAAAGGTGATAAACGGAATGTGTGCTGCCTTAAGCTTCAGCTACTGGAATTTACAACCATGCTGGTCATCACTCTCGTCTCAAATTTGCAGGAACGGGTCTCTGGCAGGCCAACGTATTTGGTAATGCTGATGCCAACTGCATGAACCCCAGGCAAGTTCCTGGGACAGTGAACTTGATGGATGCAGTAGACTACGGCCTGGATGTTAACCGTCAGTCTGTCTGGCCCCAGGTAAGTGTTGATCAAAGAACAACAGAGCTCCAAAAAATATCTCAATAATGAGCGGCTCCAGTCGGAATAGGAGGAATATTATCGCAAGGTATCATCTGAACCTTTCCATTTCAAGGTGAAGCCTGTGTCGATTAAGTCTTTTAAATGGTCCGAAATTGATGCAAACTTGTTACATTTTGTTATTATGAGAACAAATTGGGCCTGTTTGCTTCACAAGAATCTAAATCTCTATCAGTAATCCACCGTTGGTTCACTGACACCATGGATTGAGCGAACCAGCATTGGGATAACTGATCAAAATCCAGGGCCATGTGAAACAAACAGGCCCCAAAATCTGGACCTTTCCATTTCAAGGTGAAGCCTTTGTTGATTAAGTCCTTCAAATGATCAGAAATCGATGCAAACTTGTTACATTCTGTTATTATCAGAACAAATTTAGTCATAACCTTCTCTCTGGGGTTTGACCTTGGTGCGGGGTGGAACTACAAAATATACTTTGGGGCTTTTTACATGCTGTTTGAAGGAAGGGATATGCGATAGGGTATTAAACAATACGCATTTCACTAATTTTCACAAACAAAAACCTGGTTCCCATGGTTACCATTGCCCCTGTTGGCCCCCTTACCCCTGAGTCTGCCCTTGGACAGAAAGCTACAATAAATGGGAATAAGTCAACCTGACAACTTAAGTCCAATTTATCCTTTCTTCTCTATCCTGTCCTTCCTTCTCTCCCCCTTTCCTCTTGAAGATCATAGTATCATTGAACATGGCGCAGTACAGCTGTAGTGATGCCAGGTACATTTGTGTGGAGGTCCTGAAAGGCGCCAGTCCCTCTCCGGACTTTACCCTGTCCTTCAGTCCAGAGTCGGCTAAGTATGGCTCCATTCAGGTTGATTGTGTAGGTAAGTATGAAGCAGAAAGTTTGGAAAACAACCTGTTAGCCACCAACATTCTCATTTGCCAAGGAAACTGTGATATCGAACCTTGTTTATGAACAACAAATACCCCATTATGGGACACACTTAGAAGTGTTATGCATGCTCTAGTATTGAAGGAACAGCAAAGCAGAGAATGGTATAGAGCATGGAACGACAAAAAAGATAAGACATTTAGGACGTTGTCTGTTTGAAAACAGGTTGAGTTGAAGGAGCCTTTAATTCACACTTCATTCTAAGTAGTAACGTTATTTAAAGAACAGCCCAAGTTGTCTAAAAAAGTGTAAACAGTGGCTTTTTTTTGTTCACTGTTTCGAAGATACTTCCTTGGTTGAGCACTAAAAACTCTGAATCAAAGAAAGGGAATCGTCCCTTTTTAGTGCTCTGTCCACAGGGGGCAACTGGCGGCACAACTCCTGTCAAAGTCTAGATTTGACTTATAGACGACTACAGATTTCCAACTCGTGAGTTATGCACTTATTTCATGTTTCCCGTCCTGTTCTCCCTTCAGATTTGATGGTAGAAGGGGGCACCCTGAATGTGAACCCAGCTACCCATCTGGCAGCCTTCAAGGAAAACCACATGATGGAGTTTGATATCACCTTCACCTCAGCGGCAAACAGCGGCGGTGTGGGAGGCACAGACTTGTGGGAGTTGGTTGCCTTTCCAGCACAGAATGCCGATGGCACTGGAAGAACAGGCCCCGAAACAATAGTTCCCCTTACAGCAGGTAAAATTAGCCTTTCCTTCGGAGTAAAAATTTTTTTGATTTCTCAGTTTAACATTCCTCTCTTTTGCCTACTTCACTGATTCCCTGACAGCACCATTTTTAGCTTTTTGAGCGAAACACAGCTTGGCCTACCCCACTCAGGCCAGCCCAGTCGAGCCCAGTCCAACCCAACCAACCCCAACCTACATGTATCAACGTCAAGCCAGCTCAACCTATGCCAGTGGATGCAGTCCATTCCAACCCAACTTGGCCAAGGTCAACCTTAATACTCATCCCAACCCAACCTTTCCCTCTCCTTGATTCATCGCCTTTGGGTCACTCTTCACCTACAGGTCAGTTGAATGCTGCTTTTCCCGGTTCTGGAGGCTCTCTTGCCCTCAATGATGTGACAGCCACCATTTCATTGGTTAGCAATCCATGTACCGACTACAATTACCTGTGTGCCAGGCTAAGGAAGAATGCTGGTGCCAGTCCTGATTTCCAGATTACAAGTGATGTTACTGTGTGCTCTGCACAACTGAATTGCCACAGTAAGTTGTTCAGTTAATTTCTTTTAGATAAGGAGGGATGTGCCCACCCCCTCATATTTATTTTCTTATATCAACAAGAATATAATATCAAATCAGTGCTCTGAAAAATGTGATTGCCGAGCTTTCTGTAACTGAGTAGTTCAGGGCAAGCAGATTCAGTTCTGAACTGAATATGCTTGTCCTGAAGAAGGTACTCGGTTGAACTGAATCTGCTTGCCCTGAAGAAGGTACTCCGTTACCGAAAGCTCGGCAATCAGAGCACTGATTTGATACTATTTTCTTTTCGATATTCTGATCACAGTGCTACACAGCCCTTCCATATTTCCATATTTATTGTCTTTATGCTTTTGCTGAAACTGTTGGCATAAGCCATAAACTAATAAGAAATTATTTTAGTAATTAAAATTGCCTTAAAAGTTCTGCTCATACTGAAAAAAACTTGATTCAAACCATTTTGACTGTGTTGACTGTCAATCATTTTTAGCTATACAGAGAACTGTTGATCCTCTGATATCAATTAATGTTGCAGTAGTTAAGCCATATCTGAATTGCTTGGCTATGTCTTGAAATAATGAACAGACCTTTTGAAATCACCCACTAGTGGATTCCTGCATTTCCCATATTCACCAGTGTTATTTTTTAGCCACAGCCAAGTATCAAATTGGAAATCGGCTGCACTTGAATTCTCAGTGAAACAGGCCAGGACTAGGTTCTGGCAATAATTTTATTCAAAATATGATTTTTAGTAGCTTCGTCAATCATAAATCGCATCAAAAGTCAGTCATAACATCAGTTTGTAAGTAGCAAGGACTAGCAGTGACAATTTAAAGATGTGTCAACTGAAAATGTGCAAATCCCCAGTGGTATCTACCTCGAGCAATGTTGAAGCTTTAAGTCCCAAAGCACCTTATGTTTTTCACGTACAAAGCCTAAATCCAGCTGATGGGTCCAGTTTTGTGGCTATGTCTGGCAACTTTTCTGTGGTCTAGGCACTAGAAAAGAATATCTGCACAAACTTCACAGTAACTAGATGTACATTTGCACTTGGACCAAGATTACAGTATTTTTCTGCTGGAGTTAAAAAGGGGAGGTTCTTCGTATGCAGTATCGCAGGTCCACTAAAAAAAAAAAACAGATTCTAATTCCTTATTCATGTCATGCATTTGTACTAGGAGGGGTATGCTGCTCCCTGTTTAATACTGGCAAGACAGATGCCTAGCATCCAAGTGGATTCTCTTTTTGAGCAAATATAGAATGTACAGACTGCTACTGACAGATCTCCTTTTTTGAACCACAGATGTAATTTTGACTAGTACCACAGTCTCTCCGTCCGGAGGACAGTCTCCAAATGGCCTGCCCTTGTATGAGGGCGTCGACGGACAGGGGATCTACTTTAACGTCACAGCAGCATCAGACTTGACGGCCGGGAGTGTGCCCAGCGGAGCCAATCACTGGCAGTTTAATGTGTCGTTGGGATCAGACAGCGTCCTGGCCGTCTTGACTCAAGCTCAGCGGGATGCTATGCTCACGGCCGGCACTGACCTCACGTTCACAAGGGTTATGGTGCGTCAACAATTTATAATTTATACAAGCTCTTTAAATACTTGGAAAAGAAGATTAAGGGTTAATACAACCACAGAACTAATTTTTTACTGTTTCAAACAAGTTCCTTATGCCTGTCATGTCCCAAAATTCTGTTTTATCTTTCATCAACAAGAAGAGACTAAAATCCCTTATGTTTTTGAGAAATTGATGGCTGATTAATTTTGGATTTTTGCCCTGCCCGACGTGTATTATAACACTGTACACTCAGTGTTTGTCCCCGAAGAGTTGTGAAAAAAACCACAAGCGTATTTAGGTGGGACTCGAACCCAAGACTTCTTGCTTATTAGTGCAGACATCTTAACCACTCAACCACCGAGCTTGCCAATGTCGGTTGGCTGGTTCGAGTCAGATGTAGCAGTGGGTACCACAAACAGCTATTTCCAAGGATGGATTTGCGCCTGAGAGGTGTTAATTTATTTTGGACGTTTGCCCTGCCCAATGTGTATCATTATTATTGATGGCTAGTTTTCATGTTGTCATTGTTGGATGTCTTTCCAAGTCTTTTTAGAATTAATGCAGTTGAGTGTTTTATTCCACATGAAGGCAACATTGGATCTGAGAAACCAACGTTGTGCTACGATTGGTAACCTGTGCGCTGAAATAATGAGGAGCAGTGCGGACACCCTCGGTTTCCAGCTGGATTCTCCCTCAGCCCAGAACATGGGGTGTTTCACCCCCACCTGCCAAGGTACAGGTCCTTAAGTCATGATGGATTGGAGTAATAAGTCTTAAAACTTGCCTGTGTGTGATAGGTGGTCTTGTAAAATTTGCTGTTAAGTTGATTTGTAACTAAGACCCTTGCAATTCTATAATTAGACCATTGCTTAGGAATGACCTATGTTTGGGATCCTAAACTCTTTTGGTTATTAAATAGTTTTTTGCTGGAATAATTTAAATTTAGATTAAAGAGAGTTGCTTTGGTGAATAATATTCTGGGGTAAAACAAATCTTCAAGAGATATATTGTGACAAAATTGAACAGAAAAAAGCAAATTTCCTTTACATTTAATCTGTATTCTCGACATAGTCTTGGTAGATGAGATACATGCATAACTGTGTTATGAGCACAGTGTAATATACCAGTACGTGCATCAGTCATTAGTGCAGTATACTTGTACTTTGGCCTATGAGATAAGCCCATTAGACATCTTTATTACTTGGCAACTTACATCCAAGGGTATGAGTTCTTCCTACCCCAGCAAACATTTTTACAATCAGTCGCCATGCATTTCATACCGGCATGTGTGTATGTTAGTCTTTAGATGAGAAGTTTGTTTGGTATATTAACAACCAAAGTGTAAAACATGCATGGTCAGTAGTTCTAGGCAGTGTATGAAATAGGAGATTTGGGTATACAGCCTTTTGGCAGGGAAGCACACCAGATGTTACCGGCTGGTTTCATTGCTTACTAACGAGTGATGCACAAGTTTCAGTGCTCTGGAACAGATATACTGCAAAAAGAAAGGGTGTACCACAGGTTCAGGGGCGTGGGCCTGGGGGGCACATGCTTCCCCCCCTACAACTTCTCGGTGCCCCCCAGGTGCCAACCCCCCCACTAAAAAAAAAGAGATAAAATTAAGTCAGTAGATGAATGGATATTGAACCAGGCTTACAAAAGCTTGCCCCCCCCCAACCAACACCACTGCAAGCTGGTGCCCCCCATAAGGTGCTTGTGCATTTTCCTATCCTGTCATAACTATGCCACTGCACTGGCTTGTCACTAACGACAAAGTGACTTTTAAGGATAATACAACGTACCTTCCTTATTTTCTTGACATAAAACATGCAAAATGTGAACTAGATAGGTTTGTGGTAGCACCATGGATATATCTCGTTTTGAGCCTGGGAGTTCTGCAAAATATGATATGAAATTCAAATATAAAATCATGACAGAAAAGGAATTTCATTCAGTGATCTGTGTAATGCTTCTTAAAATGGCAGTTATAAACTACTACCATATCTTACCCCACTTTTCTTTCCAATTACATCTCTGTTTTGCAGCACGGTTGGGTCTGTTGGTTCATGTTTCCAAAGCTTTACTGTTGCCCTGTGCCATGTATCATGATATTTATCAGAAACATGATTGCTTACGATACCATCTTAGGCGTGGAGATAACCTCGCTGGTCATCAATGATGGTGTCACCAACTTTGCCCTGGAGGAAGGAATGCAGGGCCATACCATGACCTTCTCAGTCGGGGTGACCACCAATGCAGAGGCCGGCAGCGTGCGCGGCAACAACCTGTGGAAGATGCTGGTCTACCTCTCCCCAGACAACTCCAGAAACAACCTGGTTGAAGCTCAGGCAATGACAGGGGCTTGGGTTGATGAAGGTATATAAATGCCGAAGAAAAGGGGACACTGAGATTGAACATGGGAATTTGTCACATGCTGGAAAAAAATGCTTAGCCAAAGGAAAAGTATCATGTTGCGTGTACATATATTTCAAAACAGGTTATCAATGAAGTATTGTACATTGTATGTTATACTTCCAGAGACTGGTTTCAGATGATTTTTGCTTAAATGTTAATATGCTATACAATATTTTTATAACTTAATAGCCACAAAGTATACATTGCATAAGGCAACTAATGACTAAAAATAACTAGGATGAATGTGACATAAAATTTGGGTTATGTGTAACAGGCCACAAATTCAGTGCTGTGGAGGTCAAAATGCTCTACCTATAAATGTTCTGGTGAACTTTCTCATCAGCTTGTGCTTATTGATTTGCTCTTAGACGTGCTCGCTGGGGTGGCGACGACACTTGGTGGTGTTCAAGTGTCTCTCAATCTGGATACCACCTGCGCCAACATGCAGTTCCTGTGCATTGAGCTGGACAGGGCTGATGGGGAGAATTTCCTGCTGGACCCAGCGCAAAATGTTCTGAAGACGTGCAAGGCTGTCCCACAATGCAATGGTAGGCTTAGGCCAGTTGCTTCTAGGAAATCTAGATTTCATTGCTCTAGAAGAAAAGTTTCCAAACCATTATTAAAGACCCAGTTCACTCCTTTCCTCTCCCCTGAAAATTTATTCCAGTGCCAAAGAGAAAAATAGTCCTCCCTTTTCTGTGTTTCTGGGGTGTTGCCTTTTTTGACAGAGAGGTGATCTTTTGATTTGTCGCATTTTGCTGTACAAACAGGCATTGAAATACGTGGTGATGCAGCAGTGGCAATTGGCAGTGGAGGACCTCTAGTCGAGGGTGTGGCCAGTAACGCCCCTGTGGTTGAAGTGTCGCTGATGTTCACCGACTCCAGCGCAAGTGTCACAGGCATCAACATCTGGAACGTGACCATCTTTGGCAGCAACAACGAGTTCGGCACTGGGGAGCGCATTGCTGAGCAGGTGGCAGTCGTCAGCGGGGACTCGGCAGCGGGGCAGATGCGACAGCTGGATGGGATCACCTGGAACGTGAACATGACTGGGCGGCTGTGTGCTAATGTCAAGTATATGTGTGTGGACTTGCAACTGGTTTCCGGTGCATCATTTTCTCTCATTCCTAACCGAAATCGTGAATGTACAGAGGCACCATGCGAAGGTAAGATATTCATCAGAGATTGAGTTGAGGCCTACAAGCTACTCGTGAATATTAGACTTTTGGGTGAAATGCCATGTTAACCATTCATCTGAGTCTAAGCATAGTTTCTCTTTTTTTGCCTCTTATAATAGTTTTCTGTCCAAACACACACTCTGGATGAAGCCGTCTATCAAAAGTCTATCAAACTTTACCGATGAAATTTGCTTGATGGTCACCTGTTGCTTGACGCACAGAACCCTGCATTGGTGAAATGACACTGTTTTCTTTCTTCTTCCGTCACTATTAAATCGGCCAGGATTATAATGGGGGAGAAATATGCTTTGCATTGTCAGGAATTGTCATAACAGCCGAAGATTTCACGTTGAAGAATGCCGGTAACATCATGGAAGCCAGTAATATTCAGACACTGACCACCGATGCTGTCACAGCTCTGGCTAAAGGAAATGGTGCCGTCATCCCTGGTATGGAGCTTTTCGGGTTACCATTTTGAAATGACTGTATGATACATCTTTTCCAGATGTGCTCATACCCATGTATCGGTTGCTCTTTGTAAAACATGTTTGATGTGTAACGTTTAATTCGGAAACACTCTGAATAAATCCTCTTCATTTGATTGGTAAATTGTTGATCATGTGACACGAATCATGCATGGGGCATGCTTGGTGCATGCGCACCCAAAAAATGCATTAGAACTGTGCAATTGCTCTTTGTGGTATGTGAAACATGAATGCACGCTGCACACAGATGCCTATGTAGATGGGTAATGGTCAGTGCATCCTTCCATGAAATGATGCTGATGCTTTTATTTTATTATTACGAAAAAATCAGATATGCCGTCAAATGAGAGGAGCAGTTTGAAGCAGTTGAACTAATTTGGAACTTGACAACTTCTTGTTGCAATTTTATGAGAGACTGCAGAGAAAGGAAAACAGCTACTTGTACACGAAGAGGATTTGTTCAAGAGTTAATTGTATAAAACAAAGGATGGTTGTTTCACATTTGTGCTACCAAAAGAATAATTCAGGGACAGTTTGAACAATCCATTCAGTCTGTCGCCTCATGAAGTTTAAAATATATGCTTTTGCACAGTTTACCTTAATTAATCAACTTGTTTAACAAAAGTGACCAACTTTAAACACAATTTTCTTAAGAGTACAGTTTTGCACCCCTGAATGAAATTTGTCTCTTTGTGAAAATGGTGATGATCTGTTACCTTTAGCATTTCAAACATACCTCCTTCAGCTGGTTTGAAATCAGACTTCCACCTGTCTTTCACCACTCTAAAAAAAATGGCAACTACATGTATGTATATTGCAATATTTTGACACTGGTAGATAACACTGAAAGTATCTGGGAAGTGTCGCTCTTCCTCAACTCTGCTGGTGATGGCACGGGGACTACCTACGACCGCTCACAAGCCAGCCTGCTTCCCACAGACCAAATGCTGGGCATCAGTAGTGGCAGTCCATTGAACATCAACACCGACCTCCCGTTTACGTTCACCAGCTCCAACATCCTGTGCGGTTCCGCCCTCTACGTTTGCCTGGAGATCTCCGCTAATGCTGCAGTGAACTACAGCATCACATTCCCACAGAATTCCACATGCAAGGCCATCACCTGCACAGGTGTGCACAGTTCCAGCATGGATGTATATTTTTGCTAGTTTTATGCTAGGATCCGTCACTTTATGTAATGCATAATTACCCCGTACCTAAGGCGTCTTCATGAACTTTTTAAACAAATTTTTGGCAAGTTTCAGATAAGGCAGTCTATCCACTTAGGTTACAATCCAGACCGTCAGAAACCAGCCACAAGGCAATCGCCGCGGGCCTGTGGCCAAGGGGGGGGGCAAGGGGGTGGGGCCCCCTGGCGGGAAGCTAGCCCCCCATCAGTAAAAAGCCTAAGCATGAAAAATATATATTTTGTTTCTGTGACAAGACCCCCCTAGTTGATACTGTGGCCCCCCCTTAATGCCTGAAGCTGGCAACGGTGCTGAATCGCCCCCCACTATTCTCAAGTGATGTCATTCATTTTATTCAAACATACTTTGCTCTCTGTTTCACCTGCTATTCTCTTCAGCACCTTTGACTTGACTCATACTCTGTCTTGCAATCTATTGGTTTTTTACTACCTGCAGGTGCTGTGTTTACATCGGCCAACTTGACCGCACCAGCCAGCACGCGGCTCATCGAGAATGAGCAAGCACATCCAGTCCGAGTCACCTTCCAGGCCAGCACGGCCACAGACACAGCCACTCTTGACTCTGGTTCCAATTTCTGGCTCCTGAAGGTCTTTGCTAACACCGAGCCGGATGGCAGCGGGCCTAAGCGCTATGGTGAAGCCACTGCTACGCTGAGTGGAAACCAGCAGAACACCCCACTTCTGGCATCGAGCACCGTTGAGCTGGCCAACGTTGATGCCAGTTTGAACCTCGAGGGCTTTGTCTGCCCATCACGCATGATATACTTGTGTGCTGAGCTCCAGCGCAACCCATCATCCTCCCCTCCATTCACTATCCAAGGTACACCAAGCCCTCTCATAGCCTGCCAACAAGTGGAATGCCAAGGTAGGCTTATTATCATACCTCATACATATTCATAATCAAAAACCAAATCCCCTGCACTGCATCAAGCCAGTTGCTTTTTTTACTGCTTATCGAGCGTGCATATCAGGATCCACCCACGAGTCAAATGTGGGAGCATAAAGAACTGTTTTCTGGCACTGTACTATGACTTTGTTTTATGGGACAGGTATGCCATGGGAGTAACATGCATGTGCAAGCCTCATCTTAGCTAAACATGTACATAATAGGTCTTTCTTGTGTCAAATGATGTCACTCCTTACAATTTGCCACGTACATTGGCATTGTGTACTTCAATTTTCCTGACTGGCATCAGGAGCACCATATTTCAAACATATTTGAATCAGCACACGCGTGGGTTTTGAACACTTTGCACACTGCGCGCATGTGCACCTGTTTGCGTTATATATGCCGTTGCGGTTTTCCTTCAAAGACAGACTCCAGTGAGAGAGATCTATATTATTATCCACCCTTCAGCTAGGTATATAAAGGTTAATTCCTTTATAGTTGATTATCATGATCTCACCATTTGGACTGGCAGGTTGCTCCAGTTACTAGAAATTCACTTTCATTAAACTAGAAAGCCCCAAAACATTGTTATTCTGGTAAAATCCAGGAAATGTATGAAAAAGCCCCCAAATTCAGCCTTGTTCTTTGGAAATGCAAAAGGGAATGTAAAGAAATTTCCACTCTTTTGGACTTCCAATCAAAACAAAGTTTGCCCAGCCCGAATTTGGTTCAGAATCATCTACCCTTGCTGAAAATCCAGTCCATATGCTGGTCTTGGAGGAATTCAAACCAGAGAGATGTCTCGCTGTCTCATAGAAATAGCGGGAGAAAAAAAAGGGAGAAAAATGGGAAAATAATAAAAAATAACTAAAAGTGCACCAATACCATTGTAAACTGTGTATGGCATGTGTGATAATGTTACATAATTTCTGCTGGTCCACAAAATATGAGATATTAAAAAATATCTCTGGCCTGACCCTCCCCCAGAAAAAAATGTCTGGATCCACCCCTGGTTGCAATGACCTTATATGTACAAAAACATCAAATGATACCTTCGGCAACACCTTCGTAGATGTCGGCTTTAAAATCCTTGTTGGAAATGGTTCTGGATTGACAGGTGTTCTGATCACCAGCATCAACGTCGCCGGTCAGTCCCAGGCAGTGGTCGAGAATGAGGGCAACCCCATGAGGCTGAACGTCACCGTTGGGTTGGGTGGAGCGGATGCCTCTGGCACCAACCTGTGGAAAATGAATGCTTCCCTTGTCACACCCAATGGGGTATGTTGTCTACCCAAATGAGCTCTCTTCAAGAGCCCATCAATCAGTTGTACATCTGTGTCCACAGAGGTATTGCTTCCACACATATGGTGCATTTCAGATTTGGCCCTTTCACAGAGGCCTTTGAAAGACACACTGCAATCTGCACTGGCTCACTTGCAGAGGCCTGACAACTTAGGGCAAATTCAACCAAGAACTGTAGTAAGCCATTCTGCATCAAATGTCACTCGATGGTTGGCCTGGTGTGGTCAGCCAAGGGCTTGGTTTGATTGCCAGTTGGTTAAATGTCAGTTACCTTTTTAGTAATTAAGTACAGAGCACCTATAAAGTGAAAATGACCGTGGTGATAGAGACTTCAAATGCAGTGAGAGATGCAACAGTGGCATTTTTTTAATGAAGATGAGGTTTAATTCACAAAATTGGTCCAACCAGTGTCGTTTTATCAGGCTGCATTGTAGTTGGGGATTGGAAGGAAGCAAGTGACCAATGGTCACCTCCCAGTTCATCCAGCCCCAACTTGCAGAGATTTTGCACTACACCCGTAGGCCTACTCTCTGTAATTATGATGATCACATCTAATAAGGGGCACAAGGCAAGAGCTAGGTTTTCCAATGTGCTCTTCTGTATCAGCAGAGCTTGCTCATACAAAAAAATTCATTTTCCACCTAGTGTGAAAAGTTTCCACTTGCCTTCTCAAAGGAATTAAATTTTTACAGTTTTTTATTTGACAGTTTTTAAGCCTATATTTGTCTTGTTCCCTACCTCAGATGGTACTGGATGCCGTTGACGTGAACCTAGGTGACCAGGCTCATGCAGCCATCGTAGCCGGGCAGCCAATCACATTTAGTAATCTGGCAGTGCCCTTTGACCTCACAGGTCTGATCTGCCCCAGTAACGGCACAGTCATGCTGTGCATAGAGCTGTCACGGGGTGGGAGTATTGACGCCAATTTCACCGTGACGGGAACAACAAGGCAGTGCCTGGACCTGGACTGCTTGGGTGAGGCCGGGCTTTCTCAGTTGTTTTTTTTCTAGAGAGATTTGTGGACCTTTTGAAAAGCTAACAAGCAAATGAAAAGAACATCGGTGTATGTTAAGAATAGAATCAAGGGGAAATAAATTGTGTCAGTGTTTGGAAACAAGGTTTCACATTTTGCGGGTTTCTTTCCATTAGTAATTCTGCAGATGATCAGTGTGTCCAGTTTGTTGAAAATACAGTGTATATACATTTCCCATAGATATTTACTTTGCGTGTAGAGTTGGAATTATTGCCATACACTGAAATGCAACATATACCTTTATTCTGAAAATCTTCCCTGGCGAAGTATATAACGGTAAGGCAGGCCTCTTTGCCAGCATTCGAAACAGGGTGTACACATTTGCCTCGGAGTAAAAAACAGGATGTCCAGGCGGCTATGCGGTTTTACACTTCAACATATTTTTGTTGCATGCAAAAAAAACACATTAGGTACATTCTCTTAGACTGGAAAAAAGACAGGCCAGCTATTGTAAGAAACTTGCTAAATTTAAGTGAACATTACATATTTTTCAACAGTGCCACCTGCTGCACCTTGTACTGTGTCTCAAACAACGTAACCGATCCTGGTTCTGTGTTTTTGTGGGCCACCATAAACATGTTCCTTTTTTTATTGCTTTGATGTCACAAATACATTCCTGGTAAGGGGTTATGAAAGTAATCCTCTGAACACTGCTAACAACAGTTACCTTTTAATTTTTTCTATTTTATGCCACACCAACAGGAGTGGTGATAGTCCAGAGTAGCATCAGGGCCTCAACAGGCTCCCTCCTGGAGGGGCGCGCCAGCAATCCCGTCACTTTCGATGTCTCTTACTCTTCCTCCCCCAACGGTGCCAGCATTGAGGGTACTGGCCTGTGGTCTATCACTGTGTTTGGCAATAACCAGGGAGATGGTTTGGGTGAGTTTGCAATGGGCAGCTGGGAGGTTAGGACCACATTATAAGGTCATGGCAAGGTCATATCTGTTGCCAAAGCAAACGCAAATTCAGACATGTAATTAAAACCAACGTTTATGACTAAAAACAGCATAAATATTTGCAGTAATGCCACAAATACACATTTGTTTTCATGTTTGCTCTTGCATGGAGTGTAAATTCAGCATTGACATTGTTATTTTTATACGTCGTAATAAGATGGTACCGTCAGGGGTAAAAATCCATTGAATATACCTTTTTTTCTTTGTGATAAAAACTTCTAGCGTGTTGACTTTTACTTTTAGGAACTCGTATGGCCGAGACAACTGGTACCCTGCAGGGCAATGGTAACAGCTTTCCCTTGAACAAGGGGAGCAGTGTTGAATTCAATGGTGTGTCTGCAACACTGAATTTGAGTCCCTATCGGGTGTGTGAGGATGTCCACTGGGTGTGCACCGAGCTGAAGAGAGGGAGTGCTCCAAGCAAGAACTTCTCCCTGGCAGACACCAACAATGCCAGAATAGCCTGCACGAGCCTGGACTGCACTGGTAAGGATGCGTTTGGGGTGGGTGTGAGGCCTTTTCACAACTTTGGCAGTTGCAGTCCTGGCTTTTCTGACACCTTGGCTGAAAGTGTAGTGATTGGCTAAAGTTTTGAAGATTGTCTGTTTGATTCCAAAAGCATTTGATTGTTTGACACTGAAAATGAAGCCATAGAGAAAGCTGAGATTTGGATTAAAGCCTCCTGTTTTATACTACCACTTCTGAGGGGATCAAGGCCCTAACTTTGTGACCAGAAACACTGAGAGCCAGGTAGACTTGATGGTGCCTGACCTTGCATCACACCTGAATATGAGAGATGAGCCTGCAGTTTCTGCTGTTGGTTGTAATGCACCTTGCCAGTGCTGCCTTCTTACTGGCCAGGTCCTGAAGTGCAAATACAAGCAGAACATGCTGCTTGTTTGTGCAGAGAGGAATTTAATTGAGTTGACCCATTTGTCGGAGGTTGCACAGAGAATGACACACTGGCTGTTGTCTCACCCTAAATTTACATATAATAAAGGAGTGGTAAGACTCACAGCAGTGAGGTCACGGCACTATCACTTTTTTTCTGTTTAAACTTGACAGGGGTGCAGATTTCCAACACAGCCCTCAACCTTACCACCAATGTTCTGACAGAAGATTCAGGCAACCAGGCAGTCGAAGTGACCAGTGTTGTTTTGACAGGAGGGCCGGGATCCTCAACCCTGCCAGACAATGAGAATTTCAAAGTGGTGCTCTTTGGCAACTCTATGGAGGATGCGTCGGGGCCCAGAGTTGCTCTATCGGTGGTGAACGTTAGCTTCTCTATCCAGAGTGTAGCACCAGGTGTGTAGACACTACTTATCATACGTTGGTCTATGGAAGTTTATACAATGTGGCTTTTGTATAACTGGTTTTTTAAAAAGATGCTGGCGGGTCACAAACATTTTTATGAGAAGTATTTGAAAATGCACCATGAAATTAAATGTGAATTTGTATCATTTGTAGGGATGTATTCATTAAAATCCCTCCTAAAATTGAAGATTTCACAATTTTGTTACAAATTTAAAATGCACACAGATTTCCTCAAATTTACTGCAGAGACATTAACAGGTAAATAGGGATGGTCTCAGGATTTGTTGGAAATGTGGCATAGTGCAACCATAACAGAGAACCATGTCTCAATGAATCTTAAGCTCTTAATTGTGAGCATACGGCATCAGACCCTTTTTAGTGGTAGGCTTAGTTACATCAGATGCTTACCATTCCTGGCAGAAAGGTTCAGAGTCACAATTTGAAAAAAAAATACTTTTTGCAATACTGTCATAAAAAAAGAAATCAACCAGAGACAATAGGAGGGGATGCGTACTGGTTGGGGACAAAATGTTTGCAATATAAAGATATGATATCAGTGTCATGCGCCATAAGGCCACTTCAGAAAAGAAAATAGTTTAGCATCAGTTGTAGTTGCAAATACGAGGAGGGAGGAGGTTTTTTTTTTTTAAATACTTTGATATGCATGCAGGTCTGGACTGACGCAACCACGGAAAGAAAGTGCCATGTTCACTTCAGACTCGTGCACAGACGTGCACATGACATTGTGTGTATGTACCCAGGTTACATGTTGCGCGTGCACGAGGTTTTGGGGACATTGTAGAAACTATGGGGGACAGCTAAGGACATCTGAAAAGACAAAAAGGGCGCTGATGCTAAACTAATTAGTTTTTATGTGACCTAATATAAAGTGGGTACTGATTGTTTGTAACTTTTTGGAATGAGTAATTAGAATATCCTTTTTATTAAATCTTGTAGGCATTCATTTTTTCCCTTTCCTTCTTTTTTGCTCCACTACACCTATGCTTCTTCATTGAACTGTGTCAAATGCAAACTGTGGAACAAATTTGAAAACTCAATGTTGATATTGTTTTGATTACAATAAAGGTAAGAGTTAAACAACAGAACACATTCTTCCTTTGTTTAAGAGGCTGTTAGCAATATTATTGTTTGTCCCAAGGTGGTTCCACTACGCTAACCGAAGCAATGTCTCCTGTCCTTAATCTGACGGACGTATTCTGCACTGACCTGAATTACCTGTGCGTCAGAATCTACCGCAGTGACACTGTCACGCCAAGATTCAAACTGGAAGGGGTACCCAACGAGAACAGCCTACAGGACTGCATGGCCATCACCTGCAGAGGTGGGTGGTCTGGGCCCATTGCCTCTTATGATTAGGCCGGTTGTCTGACATCTTAGGTGCATTCCACATGCTGGTATCTGATGTTGGCCGTTTGTGGATCTTGACAATTTCAGTGCATCTTTTTGACTTTCAGCAATGTTGGCAATCATTTGTACCAAAGGCAAACCAGTGTTGGTGATAATTTGTAAAACGGGCAAACCACCCCTGATGCAGTCCCTGTTTGTTTTTCAAAACGGACAACTCCAATATCAGTCGGGGCTTATATTTGCTCCTCCTGCATCAACATTTCCCCAGTGATACATATATAACAGGCATACTTTGATTTGAAGCAACATAAATCTTTTGAAAATATTAGAAACAATCACTTTCTCATGAATTATCCATCCTTTTAGGGCGCGATTATTTTATATTTAAGTGCATGACTTAGCAATTGTGCTGAAGTTTGTTCAAGTGGAATTCAACCCTGCTTTTTGTCCAGCTTAAGTGATTTAGGATTTTTCTCTTTACATGGGCTAGATATGTGAATTCTAGTTCAAGTATCCACCCCTAGTTGAAGTGCCCCCTCACTGGCAAAGACGAGAAAGGCTGGTGGGAAGTTTATATCTCATGGACATGCCCAGCGCAAACATGAAGACCGTACATTCAAACAGAATTTGGTTGCGTGTGCTCAATGTGTCCTATGCCAAATGCTCAAGGGCCTGTGCATGTGCACATGATGAGTTCCCTCCAAAAACGCCCTCTTTTGTTCTTGTTCATGGTGGATAACAAAACAATGGTGAATTTGGAGGGATCGAAAAAAGTGTTTTGAAGAGAATTAGAGGACCCTACAGCCATTCCCAATGCCATACTCTCTTTCAATTTTTGAAATATCAATTTTTTAAATATGAGACATTTTATAAAACAGGTTTTTCTGCCCTGCTGGCATAGCAATTCTAGTGGGCTGATGTTTGAGCCAGAAATTGTCAGAACTCCAAACAGCATGCCATTTGCCCACCAGAGTATTAATTGCTCAACTAGAACCACAAGACACAGTTTAGTTTGCAGTTGGCACATATGAAAAAAGAACAGTACACGGGAGCACTTGTTTTCAATGAAGGTCATAACAGAAGAGAAATCCTGCCTGGGTTTCTTATAAACCTTTTCTGAAAAGAAGTACCAAGGAACAGATGGCGTTGGGTTCTTGACTTTGCTCACAGGGGTTCGTGTGACTGGCGGAGCCGTGCAAACCTCATCTATCCTTCGCGAAGGAAATCCTGCTTATCCTGTAACACTGACAGTGGATTTTGGCACAGACGCCAATGGAGCCAGTGTGAGGACTGGTGGCATGGACCTGTTCAAGTTGGTGGTAGGTCACAGCACTATGAAACCAGTCTAATTTTACGGCAATGGCCTTTTATACATTCCTTTTCAAGTCTGAGTACTGTTTGAACATGAGGACGCAGTACCTTACTTGATGGGGAGATTGGTAAAAAGGATGTTGCTTTCGGATTTGGCAATGATTGGTGTGTTTGTTGATTTTTGCAAACCTGCAAGACTTTGATTCTGTGTTAAAACCCTCTACCTCGAGCAGCTGTTAATCATTGGAGAACTTCCAAGATCCAAAATGACATGAGCATAAACATTGTTTTAACTTGGAGACAGCTCTCTGAGGTAACTACCAAAATTAGAATTGCGCAGTGGCATATTTGGGGGTGGGAGGACAGGGGGATGAGGATTTTTTTATGACTGTAAACAAATTTCGACCATTGTTATTTTAAAAAGTCCCATTTTGCCCCATCCCAACCAAAAACCGGGATATGCCCTCAAGTTGTAAAACCATGTCCTGTCCCCACAGGCATTCCTCTCTGCCGCTGCAGATGGTGGGGACCCCAAGACATCTGAGCAGAGCGTGGACCTTCCGCAGGGCTCTGAGAGCCAGCCAGTGACTGCCAGCTCGAACATAACCTTCACGGGAGCCGTTGCCAGTGTGAACACCACCACCTGGACCTGCCAGGCTGAGAACTTCATCTGCGTACGCCTGCTGAAAGACCCCATGGCTTCCTTGGACTACCTGCTGGAGGGTTTTGACACGGGAACCCAGACAGTTGACCCCACAAAACTTCAGCAGTGCACAGCAATAGACTGTAGAGGTATTTTACTTTCACAAATCGCACATGTAAAACAACCACAGCTGCCAGGCCCGTTGGCTGGGGGGTTCAAAGGGTTTGAACCCCCCCCCCTTGCTTCTGAGTTCTGCTTGTTGGTGGTTTTTTGGGGTAATAAATATATAATTTTAATATACTACAATTTTTGGAAAGTAAGCTGCTGTTTATACATTGATTCCCATGCGGAAATATCTCTGCGGTTTATAATGAACTGCAGGCTGTTTATACGACAACATTTAAAGAATGAAATCAGTCACAAAATGCTGCTCCATGCCTCAGCGCAGCCTAACCCGGGCCGCTGCGGCCGGCCAGCCAAGGGTACCAGCGGCGCGGTGCAACATTCCGGGTGCGGGGACAAGTCATGTTTTCATTGGTTACCGTTTACATTGGCTCTTCTCACATGTTGGAAATGAAGGAAACCAGTCCAGAAAGACTGAATAGACTTGTAAATACCCTATAAGTTCCGTTTGCACCTCACATATTGTGTGGTGCGTCTGTTCGTTTTTGTCTTTTACGGTTGTGTAATCCATGTTGTTTATCATTTTACTGGTCTTAAAAGAACAGCTGCATGGCCCACCCAGCGAGGACTCAGGACACTAATCCAGTCCACTAAAATTGGTATTTTCAAGGACTCGAGAAAGTTTAGGCACAATGAAAACATTTGTTCATGCGCTGCTTCATGTTACAATTGAAGAATGCACACCAGAAAGTTGCGTGGACCCCATGGGCACTTCGACCTTTCACTTCGAACATTTGTGTATGGAGCAATATTTTATCTCCAATTTCACAAAAGGTGAAATTTAATCAAACTTCAATTATTTTTATTCATAAATGTTGATTTCGTATACCCGCTACAAGGTTCCAATGACATGTTAGTTTTGTCCAAAATGAGTGCAAAATGAAATGCGCCCTAACATATTTTTCTTTACCATTTTTAGTTAGGTAATAATGATTTACTAGAATGTATCACTTTTTTAGAACTTCTGAAATTTTTTGGGGATTTTCTAAGATTTTTAAAATAATAATGTTCATATCATTCGCTCACCATCACCCAGTGCCCGATTCAAGGTGCAGGGTGAAGAGCCAATTCATTACCAGGCCAATTTACAATACGCCGTGAATCTTGACAACTGAAGTAAGGGGCCTATACAAGTCTTACATGCGTCCATCGGTTCGCGACCAACATAGAACTTGTTTGATGTTGTGCTCCAAAGCATATTATGAAAGTCCTTTGAATAAAAATGTGTGTTCACAGTGCCAAAAGTTCCCCTTTGGGGTTTGACGAACCCCCCCCAGTCTCTGGTCAGGCAATTGCAACGGGCCTGCGGCTGGCATTGAAATTAGAAGAATTTGAGTGAGCTAGGGCCCACACTTGTTTTCATTATTTGTCCCCGATACTCCGGAGACTGTTTGAGGGAGTTTTATTTGCTCACACTCATTTTAACAAACTGTTTTTTTCACACTGACTAGCCCTGAAGAACCATACCAAGTATATGTATACAAGAAGTCATGATCTACCCAGCCATCCATTTATGATGGATACATTTGTCTTGTGACTTTGTATGTGTTTTCTGTTTTTTATATGGCTGTCTAGATTGCTCGTTTCATGTCAACAATTTTTCGTTAAATCCTATTTCGCTCAGTACATGTAAAGTGCTGTTTTAAAGGCCACACTTCCGCAGGATCACCTTTCCATGACTGTGTTTTTGGTTCAGTTGTATCTGCATCTTTTCCACAATTTCAGTGGACGCTCACCGTAACTCCTGCTCCTTAGTACTCACGTATTTGGACTGGAGGGATACGGAAAAAAAATTTATGGAAAGTCGATCAGCATTATTATCATTATGATTAACTTGACTGTGGGGTTAGTTGCTGTGGTTAGATTGTACCCTATTGTTGCTTTTTTGTCCAATGCAGGGGTCAACATTACAGATGTAGTTTTTGTGTCAGACGAGCCACTGTCCTTTGAGGAGCGAGATCCCACTGCCACTTTCACCTTCGACCTTGGTCTGGTGGCGGACCCTACTGCCGGAGGCGTTACAGGCACTGGGCTGTGGAATCTGACCTTTGCCCTGAACAGTGCGGCCGATGGCTCGGGGGATGCCTTCGGTACGACTGTGGTGGCTCTCTCAGAGGAGAACGCCAACCGAGGGGTGGACCCTACCGGCCCCAGGACCAACCTGACTGACATAGAGGTCACCTTGCCCCTGGAGGGGGTCCTGTGTTCCCAGGCCAGCCCATTCTACCTCTGTGTCAAGCTAGAGAAGGCATCAGGAAGTTCCCCAGACTTCACGCTCACTGTGGCAAGCAATTGGAGCTGCAGCATGGTTACTTGTTATCGTAAGTTCCCAGGAAAGCCTCTTTGCTCTTTGTTAAAGCCCTGAAGTGCCTGCAATTTTGTGGTCATCCTTGTCGTTTATGCACACTTCTGTTACATATGTGTAACTCGAGTTTCTCTGTCATTTAATGATTATGAATTTTTTAAAAATTGTTTAATATCCTTTATAAGTAGAGAAAAGTACTTTTGCCTTTAGACTTCCATGTGTAATCTGTAAAGTCCACCATTCCAAAAATCAAGCTCTGGTCAATATTTGAGTTCAACCTGTAACAGATTAAAAAATTTTATAAGGAAATGTCAAGAGGCTTTTTCCAACTCAAATTCAATTTATACCCTGAGAATTCCTAGAAAGGCTTGGAAAAGGTTGAAGTCAAACTTGTTAGTCTACAAGGACAGTTGAAAAATACTATTAAAGATATTTTTATCTGCAAAGAGGGGGAAATCAAATTTGCAAAATCCTGCCTTTTCCCCCACAGCCTTGTGCCTTAATTTCAACTCCACAATAATAGCAATCATATTTTCAATGACACTATATTTTTTAAACTTGTGGTAGCAGTACTCAAAAAGCCCGGAAAAATTGGAACTTTTTTCTTTAAAAAAATGACAAAAATCACTTTCCAGCCGTCCGCATCAGTGACATCTCCTTCAAGGTGGCTGTGCCAGAGGCCATTCTAGAGAATGCTGACAACTTCCTCCGTGTGAACCTTAACCTCACCACCGACTCCCGGTCAGCCAATATTTCAGGGACCGGTCTGTGGGCCTCTCCGTCTTTTGAAATTCGGAATGCAGCCAATGCCACAACTCTGGGCTCAACTGGAGAATACTGGACGATGCCCCTGCAGAACATGGGTGGGTACTGAAAAAATAATGAAAAAAAGGAAAAATACCCTAAAATGTGACCTAGTCGACAAAATGAGTCACAAGTCACCAGAGGCACTTTTAAGGTAAAGATCTCAAAAAGAATCTTAAAAAATGTAAATCGATGGAAACCCTCAACAGGTTTCACCCACATAATGTCCATTGTCATAATTAGGCAATGTGACAGAATGAGGGATGCATCAAAAGAAAGGGCACAATTTGCTCTTTCTGATCCACATTGGAACCAAAATTTTGTTGTTACAATAGTCTTTCACTCTACTGGCTGGCCATCTCGACATTATTCCCAGACAGGTGACCTTCGGGACCATTTGCCTGATTGGATAGATACAAAGAAGCCACCCAATGTGGCCTTTGTGACCACAGGACTTTAGAGCACCAGTTTATTTCAGTCACATAATTTAATTATTTTCATTGTGGCCACTGTTCCTTTGAGACCTTCATCTCATTATGGCTGAAAATATGGCGTGAAGATCCTCATGGCAACCACTGCAACATTCTGACCATTATAATCAGTTAGCAGGGTTTTTTGTTGTTGATGAGGGATGATTTTGGCCTGTTCTCTGTTTTTGTTTTGTGTTTTTTTTTCTCTTCTTTTTTGGCCATGGAAAAATAGATTTCTCAGTAGCCAATGCTGATCTCTCTATTGCATTTCATCCCCCGTCCATCCATAGCCGTAGCAGCCGGTGAGACTGCAGAATTTATGAACGTCTTCCCCGTAACTTTCACCCCTGCTGGCGTGGTGTGCAGTAATCTGACTCAGGTGTGCATGACCTTTAGCAAGGGGTCAAACCCCAGCCCGGATTTCGGCGTGGAGTTCCTCTCCAGTGCTGAAGTCTGTGTAGGCATTGAATGTCGAGGTAAGAAATCATTCTCCAATGAAAACCGAAGAAATAAAAACTAAAACAAATTGCCCAAGACTCTTAGATAATGTGATATGCATGGAGAAAGTAAATTATAAATGTATGGACCGTTGCTTTATTGCTACTTGCGACAATAAGGGTGCCTTTAAATGGAAGTGAACCCCGAACATATAACCGAGCAAACTTTAGTGGGAAATTCTGTTTTAAAGTTGCCAAATAACGTGTTGACAGCAATCATTGAATTGCGGAAAAGGAGAAAGTGCCTCTCTCTGAAAAAAAGGGGGGGGCACTTGATATGCCCTAATCAAGATCCACTTCTGCAGATATGTCTTTCTCATTTAATCGTTTTCTTGATTGCACTGGAATTCAGGTGTGGAGATCATTTCCACAGTCATCTCCGAGGTGCTGGTAGGAGGGACGGTTACAGAGCGCATCACCACCGGCCAGAATGTAAACCTGTCCATCTCGGCTACCTCCTCTGCCGACGGGGCCAGCATCAACGGCAGTGATTTGTGGGCGCTGACAGTCTACTACACACCCAACCCCAATGGAGCAGTGGACCCTACACTGGGCTCAGCCACGGCTGACTTGACGGCCACCCAGCAGAATACAGCTTTAGTCGCCGGGGAGGATTTGGTGCTGACCAGTGTGTTCAAGGCTAGTGTGAACCTGTCTAACTTGGTGTGCCCAAAGGTGAGTGATTGTAAACTTTTGAAAGAGAATTCAAAAATCCAGTCAGTGATGATCATAATAGTTACAATGGGAATAAAAAGTGTGTTTTTAAACAAGTGCATATTTCAACTAGTGTGGTAAAATAAAACCCAGAAAGGGGCCTGGCAACATTACTGGGCAATACTGCATTTTGTATAAGCTTCATGTACACTGCTCGCTTCAACAGAAATGAATTTGGCTTTATCATTGAAATATAACTTTAAAAGTAAAGGTAGAGTGTTGTCCGGATTCTGATTAGCTTTTCCTTTGTACCAGTAAGAGCACTCAAACTGTCTGAATTTATGAATGAACGTTAAATTTTCCACCAATGTAGTTAGAAGTTCCTGTCATTTTGGTATGATGTGTAGTGATGTACCTACATAAGTTGTTTTTGATGGAGCATAATTATTTAAAATGGTGGTTAGTGCATGTACAGCCTTTTCTTCAATTTAATATATTTCAAAAGAAGCAACTAAACACTTGCCTGATCAGCATTTATAATGGCTGATTTTTCAAAACATATATTCCGATATTTTCTGAGGCCAGTTGTGTAGTTGATGATGGCAGGGCGGAGAACGTGGGGGATTTATGATTGAAGATTCTTATTTGAACATACAGGGCGGTCTGTACCTGTGTGCCAGGCTGCAGAGGCAAGCCAGTCCCACCCCTCTCTTCACACTGTCCGGTAGAGGTGGGGACGCGTCTGCCCTGATCGGCTGTAGAAGTGTCCAGTGTATCGGTAGGTGTAGTCTTTGGATTTTACCTGCAGAGTCTAAGCACGCATTGGCCAGCACTCAGGTGAAGATCAAGCAGGCTTAAAAGCCATGTCCACTCAGACTTGTCCTTGTACTTAATGTGTAATTGTGTAATTAAGCCCTGTTCTGCAAGGCCTGGCTTCTTTTTTATGCCGCACACACAAAAAATCCAGGAATATAAAGCTACATGTGACTGCTTTTGATTTTACCTTGGCAGGTGTGCAAATCGAAGAGACAAATCTGCTCATCTCCAGCGGCATGCTGATACCTGTTGAGAGGCAAGCCTCTCACATGGTGCATTTCTCCTTCACATCGACGTCCACACTTACATCTGCAGAGCTGTTGGGCACAGGGCTATGGAAGATGGTTGCTTTTGCCAACCGTCGGTTGGACGGATCCCACCACCGTCGGTCCTATGAGGTCGATGTTGTCTTGACATCATCTCAGATGAATAGCTCCGTTTTACCCGGTTCACAAATGTCCTTTTCTGGTCTAATGGTGAGTGCTTCAGTTCAATCATCACTTAGTCATATCAGGCTTTGATGTACTCCAGTTATTGTGCATTTATTGGGAAAATCATCCTTTGTTGTTTTCCCTGTGACCATAACCAAAAATTGGCTGTGTTTTTTGTCCTTTTTCAATTACATTCAGGTGGATCTGAACCTCCAACAAACAGACACCGAATGCCGTGAGACACCTTTCATCTGCGGTCAACTGTTGCAAGGGGACAACCCGAATCCCGATTTCTGCTTGCAGGGAGTGCCCGATGGCAACGCCCTAATCAACTGTAAACCCTTGGACTGCATCGGTAGGGAGAGTTTTTAAACCAGTTTGCCCTTGAGGACGACAGATAGGGTTGATCCTGAACTTGGCCACTGTGCAAAGCCTGTTGTTCCAAATGCAACTCCTTGATCTTGCCCTAAGTGTTGACAAGTATAGGGTGACGGCAAGAAATAGCTCTGACATGCATGACTCTGACATGATGGTATTTGTATGTTATAGCTGGATATCAAAATTTAGTGGCTGTATCTTGTCTTTTTTAGAAAAGGAAAGTAAAAACTTGGTCCAGAATTATAAATGGCCTGAAAGTGATTCATAAACTTCACCCAGTTCCTGTCAAAATGCCTTTACAACTAAATACTAGGAAAACAAATTATCACATGTCTTGGATTTATTGATTGTTTTCACTGTTGTTGTGTATTAGTAATGTTTTTATTGGTTGTAAGGATGCTTTAGTACCCACAACCTCTCACTCAAAAGTACAGATGTCTTGTTTTGAGTTGTTCCCATCTAGAGAGTGAAATATGTACTTGATATTTTTCTGGTTTGTATCGATGTCACTGTCAAACTGTAACACCAAATTGTATGTCTTCTGGTGGTAGTTTTAAATATTCAAGCAAACTGCGGAGTAGCCCTGTGTTTGCTTGCTGACAAATTTTCTCCAATTTATGCAGGGTAATCAAAGAAGGTTGTGGAAACAAGAAATTAGGTGGGCCTGTTGTTTACATTTCAGGTGTGAAAATCACCACTTTTGACTTGACCAACACTGGCAGTGAGATCCTTCGCGAGAACATGGATGGCCAGCTGTTCTCCTTTGACGTCAGTCTCACATCTGATTCCACAAAGAGCCCGGTCATTGGCGACAACCTCTGGACATTCCGGACATTCCTCAATGACGCAGCGGACTGTCTCGGCATCGCAGAGGAGGTGGCTCTGACAGACGCTGGCATAAGGCCTGGTCAAGAGGACCAGGACCTGACTGCAGGCGGGACCATCACCTTCAACGTGGATGCCTTGATGAACTTCAGAATGAAGTGCCCAGCCTGGGACAACGTCTACCTGTGCCTGGAGGTCTTCACAGGGGACCAGACCAGTGTCCCCTTCACACTGTTTGGAGACGTCCTCAAGGGGGTGCAGATAGAATGCAGAGGTACTTCTAAGGCATCTTTGTTTTTTTAGCCCTTGAAATTTTTATTCATAAATTATTTTTCTGGAAACCAGAAAATGCTTTAAAAGTGCAAATAAGTCTTCATTTTTTTGACTTGTGGGTCAAATTTGTTTGGGCGTAGCATGTTAACCATGCTCATGTGAGCTGCAAAAGCCAAGTGCTTCTTTGATTGGGATCACTCCTCAGTGTGAAACTTCAAAGGGTCTCATTCCTGAAGTTTGCCTAATCTCTGATAGGGGTTGAAGTGACCAACACGGACATCCATATTGTCAATTCACCCGAGAGGATTATTGAGAGTGATGATGAGGTGAACCTTGACCTTAACCTGCGCATCTCCTCTGTGGCGGCTGCCTCGAGCATCTCAGGGACAGGGCTGTGGTCAGTAGACATCTTCATCAGCAATGAGGCCTCATGCCAGACGAACACAACAGACCGCATCACCTCCGCACTCAGCCCGATCAACTACAACAAGCCCCTGGTGGCTGGGGCAGTGCTGCTGCTGAACAATGTGCTGGCTACCATACCACTGCGGGGCACCCTCTGTGAGGATATCAGCTACATCTGTGTTGACTTTGGCAAGGGCCCCAGCCCTTCGCCGAACTTCACATTGGTTCCTGTGCCTGACAATTCATCTCTGATGGCGTCTGAGGCCATTGAGTGCCGAGGTAGGGCATTCAAACTCTACATCAATTGCGTGCAAAAAATCCAGTAATTCCACAAAAATGTTTATTTCAACCCTTTGTTTCAACCCCTCTTAACAAGGGGCACGGTTCCTTCCAACCTGCTCCTCCCCCTTCAGATCTGGGCTTTCTAATGGCTACTGTGATACACCAAACAAAAGGGTTCGTTGTTATCATTTGTAATTTACCCCACTGTATAATTCAGTCTGCATAGTAAACATGCTTCCATTGTACGCGGTGAATACATGTAGAAAGATGCTTTTTGTGAAGTTGGTATAGAAATGCCAGCAAGACACAGCAGAAAAATTCATAAAAGCTGAACTTGTTGAAAACATCTTTGCAATGCTATTAGAGAAGAGGTTTATGGAGTTCTTTTTCCCTTTGAGGGTTTAATAATGAGCATGTCTTCTCTTATGAAATTGAAAACCTCTTGTTATCCTTTATTTCACCTGCAGGATTGCATATAGTGTCCACAGAACTCACCCTGTCGGATGGGGAGCCCCTCATCTCTAATGACCCCTTGCACCCAATTGCCTTCAGTTTCACCTTTGAGACGGACCCGGCCGGGGCCAGCGTCTCCAACCCCACCAACCTGTTCCGCCTTCAGGTGGCAGCCACGGACAGCCCCACCCGAGCCGCAGTGGTGGCCTCGCCACACCAGATGCCTTTCCTCTACTCCCCGCCCCCAGGCTTCAACATCGCTGCCGGCCGGCGCTACACCCTCCCTGTCCAGATCAACCTGAACCTCCGTGGGGGTCGGTGTGATGAAATTCCCTATGTCTGTGCAACGCTGATGAAGGGCTTTAATGCAATGCCACCTTTCACGCTGACCCCCGACATGGACAACCCCATTCTAACAGCATGCAGCGAACGCCTGGATTGTATCGGTAAGGCTCCGTGTCCTTTTAACAAATGGTTTAACTGCCAAACACCATCCAAAAGTAGCCTTTCAAACTGTCCAACTTGAGTGGCCATATAGATGCTGCCATCAGCTATCAGACATGGGACAGTTTTTGATCTGCTGCTTAACAGAAGCCTGGACTAGAAAATTTTAGTGGGCAACAGACTTTGTCAGGCGACTTACAATTGAAAGTGAATTCCCTTGATAACATCTGGACAGCATATCAGAGAATCCTGAAATTGTACAAAGTATGGCTCCAGAACAGTTTTTTCTTCAACCAGGATGGAAATAAAATGTTTATTAATTGAGGAGAAACAAAGCTTTGTCAAATTCGTGAAGAATGCACATGATGCTCGTCCACCATTTTAACCCATAGTTAGAGTTTAGGCAGATACCTGCATGCCCTGGGGTGAAATCACTGCCGCTGTGGCATATTCATCATCCATCTTAATTATGCTGTTTGTGTTCATGCTTGTTTTCACTTGTTAGCATAAATGCTTCGTTGGTTTTCATTTGGTTTTTGGGACCAGGTGTGAAAATTGCAGACCAGCGCCTAACCATCGAGTCAGGAATTCCATTCATTGAGCATTCAATGTCCAACCAAGTAGAACTGACTGTAAGTTGAGAAAATTTGTTTTTTTTCCATATCGTTTGTTTGATGACCAGTTAATGAGAGACAAATTGAACAGCAAACCAGACAAGATATCACCACTGAGGTTAACTTGTACTCATTTTGATTCTTTTGGAGATGTGCCCTGCCCTTTCCTCTGTTATTTTTATGGAAATTCTCTCCTGAGCCTTTGTGGTTCAATGGGGTGCGTTTATCTCCAGTTTCCTTGGTATGAAATAACTAAGAATGTTTGTGCTCTCCCCTGGAAGGGATACCAGTCCAACACAGGTTGCTCTCCAGCTAATGCCGGTGCCCATTTCTAGTCATGGATGGAGAGAGGTAAGCGGGGTTCAGTGGCTTGCCTAAGACCCGCAACCGTTAGAGCCAGCGGCTGGATTTGAAACCCCTGACCCTCTGATCATGAGTCACGAAACCTAAACCCTCAGCTGCATTCACTTATTCTGTCGTTATTGCAGGTCCGCCTGACATCCGACCAAGTCAGCGGTACTGCCGAAGGGACCAACCTGTGGTCTGCCGAAGTCAAGCTTTCCCAAGACAATCCCCTTGACCCAGGCACAGAATTCCTAGCAGCCACGCCAGCCACCTTCATCGGCAATGACGCCAACACCATGCTTGGACCAGGCCAGACAGTGGCACTACGCCTCAGGGCTGACCTCAACCTGACAGGCATAGCATGTTCGGATGTTCGGTACCTGGTGGTCAACATCACCAACCCCAACGCTGACCCTGAATTCAGCCTGCAATGGAGAGACGGTCTGGATTTTGTCGTCATCTCGCAGTCCTTCACATGCTCTGGTAAGGCCAAGTTCCTTGTGTGAAAAGTTGTACTTCTTACTAGGTTAAAAACCTTATCATATAAGCTTGCAAAATACGGCCTAAAACAAATAAGTAATGAAACATTTAATTGTTTTCAAATTCTGAAGTCTGGTTTTGAATTCTGGTTTCTGAGGTTGTAAAATGAAAAGTCTACAGATCAATGCCACTCTGACATTGCACTGAGTGGGAGGGACAAAATCAGTCTGATCAACTAGATATGCCATCATGCAGTCCAACTCTTCAGTTCAGGGGTAGATATTATTGATATAGAGGTGCCCACTGATAATTTAAAGCAGTCTGTAATATTGATCACTGATCACAGTTTTTAACAGGTGCTGTATTGTAACTTTATCCAGAGCAAGACAGACCAGTTTAAAGTCGTGTCCTGCGAATTTCAATATTTGTATATTTGATCAAAGGCAGATTTACACAGAGGCAGATTGTACTCTGTTTTTCCAATCTTTTAGGTGTGTATCTAGAAACGTCCAGCTTGGCTGTCTCAGATGGGTTCCCACTGAAAGAGCTGGCTCCCTCTAACAATGTGACGTTTACCATTGGTATTCGGGTCCCTCCACAATCTGCCACTGTGACCGGGGACAATTTGTGGAAAGTTAGAGCTTTTGTCTCTCCCAATTCTAACGGTGATGGCACCCCAGAGGTAAGAGCAAAACATAAACCAGAACAAAGCAATATACAAGAGTAAATATTCTATACATGTGACCTGCTGTGTCAAAATAGTAAATAAGTTGCTGGAGCCACTTTTGGGTGCGTGATGACATGTGTCTGGAAATATGAAACGAGACAGCAATTAATTAAACAAGGGCCAATAAAAATTATGGGATTGTTATTGTAATAATTTCTACAGTGTGTGCATTGATAAGAATGAAGAGTGTTTGAGAGGCAAAATTTTGTTGTGTTCAGCTCCAGGGATGGGGCCTTGTACACTTGCTGATATGAGTCTAATCCTCATTGGCTTCCATTGACATGTTTTTACAGAAAACAATAATATATAGCAAACAATATGAGTTTGTTGAGTTTGCCTTTTCTTTGTCATCTCTTTCTAAAATAATGTAATGCTCTTAAAATTTTGGGGGCATGTTTTGCAGGATGAAAAGAGGGAGGCCAAATTGACCTCTGCCCAGGGAGCAGTCCCTATTGTCGCCAATGCTGTCAGCAGCCTCGTCGGTGTAGAGGTAAGCCTGGACGCAACAGGAAAGTATTGCGCAGACATGACCCATCTGTGTGTGGAGGTGTGGCGTGGTGACTCTGCCCAGCCTTACTACAACATTGAATCGCCGGCCAGCCAGGCTGACCTTCGAATATGTCGACCGACCCAGTGCAATGGTGAGTGCATTTTGACCTTTTAAATAGGAATATACAGAAATTAACAAAGAATTGATTTTTAATGGTGGTTGCATGATGGACCATTTCAAGACTTCACCAAAAGTCAAAAAGTTTCATGAAGTTTTGTTTTTTACTATTTGCTTTTGATTATCAGATCAAGATTATTCGCAGAGCACTTTGCTTTCGTTAAATGAGGAATTTGAATAACAATCAAAACAATCGCAATTCTGAACTTGATGGGACTCTCGCAATACCCAATTTGTGGCCCAAAGTGCATTGAGACTGACACCCGTTTCTCTGACAGGCACTTTTACATGTCAATAGTCAAGGGACACATCCAAGATGGTGCTGCCATCTTCTGAATATATGGCGCTGCCATCTTCTGAATACCTTTGGGCATGTATAACTTTCTTGGCAGGTGTCCAAATCATGATGGTGACACCAACCATTAAGACTGCTGCTCCGCTCATCGAAATGAGGCCAGATCAGGAGGTCCAGCTTGACCTCAATGTAACGGCTACCCCGACCAGTGCTGGCATCGATGGAGACAATTTATGGGCGGCCACTGTCTTTGTGAACTCCCAGCTGGATGGTTCAGGCACCAGGTAAATCTGGACTGATGTCAAGAGATCATGATCTCAACTTTTCAGCACCCCGACCCGCCCTCAGCATTAAGTCTATCAAATTTCAAAGGCAAAAATGCCTCACTTTAGTTTTGATATCTGCTACATATTTTGTGTCTTTCTCTATACTCCACGGTGATGAACATGAAGTCTAATTATATTTTATTTCAAAGTTTTCATTCTCTTGAAGCAGCTGAATGCCCTTGCAGTTTTTTAGTTCCTCAGATTCCCCAAGGAGATATCTCAGCATAAAAAAGGGGTGTTTGCTAGAATGTTCTGTTACAAGGTACTTATTGTACCAGTTCCTTGTATCCCATGGAATTTACCTAGAAACTTGTCATGTGATATTTGTCTCTGTCCCAGAAATAGTTCAGGGCAATAAGTTCAACCGTCCCTTGCCTGTTTAATTAGATAAATCAGAGATATATTTTCATTGGGACATTTTTTTTTCAAGAATGAAAATCAGTCTTTTCAGTTGAGTCTCCTGGGCAAGATCTTCTTCTCAGGAGTATTCACTTACAACCAGACTATACTGAGCCATTGCTTGGAAGTAAACTTTTAGAGTACCTCATGCTTCTCATTGAAATTTATAGGCCAATTGATTTCGGGTGATAATGCCGCATGCGTCTCTGTAGTGTTATACAACTGCTGTCCTCCATTGATTTGGCGTGATAATGCCACACCTGCCTCTGTAGTGTTATATGATTGCTATCCTGCATCTTCTTTTCAATCTCTAGGTACTCGGTCAAAGAGGCTGTTATTGATCCCTCAGTGAGGAATAGAGATCTGGTTCCGGGTGTCGTACTCACCTTGGACAACCTGGTTGCCAACATGGACTTCACTGGTGTCTCCTGCAGCCAGATGCGGTACATCTGCGTGACGCTGAAAGAGAGCGACCAAGCCCAGCCGGCCTTCAATCTGACTGGGGGCAACGGTCTGACCAGCTGCGTTGAGACAAACTGCATCAGTGAGTCCCCTCATCCTGTTACAGTCGTAAACCTTTGTGGTGCAGCTATCATACTAGTTCACACACATCCACTTTACAACTTTAATTACAAAATGAGTAGGCCGGAGTTCACAAAATCAAATGCCACATCGGTCAGTGTCATTCATCTTGGTGGCAGAAGCAAAAATTTCAAACTTTAGAATCTGGTCTGCATTTGTAGTTCCCGAAACCTGAGCTTTGCGGTATATTCTTTGTTTTTGGCAAGTTTGTTCGTTGGCAGGGAAACCTGAAGTGTATGCAATATATAAACCGTATAGCATTTGTTCAGTACATTGAAAGCATGATAATTTTGCAGATCAGGAGTATTTGCTCGATTGTACTGTATCTGCAAAGTGTTGTTCACTGCAGAGGTAAAATTCCCTCCTGAGTCCAGTCTCTCATTATCTCTAAGCTCCTCATGCTGTGCTGCATCAAACCTTCATAACGGGAGGTTTTTCTCTGGGATAATGTCATAAACCTGATGAGAGCCCAGTGCAACCCCATGTCATTCACTTGTGTCCAATAGGTGTTGCCATAGCGTCCGGTACGTTGTCCCTGGTTTCTAATGAGGTCCTGGAACGTGACGACTTGGCGTCCTTCACACTGGATGTCTCATTTAACCCCTGGACCAACAGTCGCAGCCTGCAAGAGGATGACAGCTGGACCCTGTATGCCCACACCACTGACCGGGGCGACGGGCTGGGTACAGCGTACACCATCAACCAGGTGGCCCTGACCAGTGCCCAGCAAGACCAGGCCGTAGCTGTGGGCACGCCGCTGGCCTTCAACGGCCGGGATGTGACCCTGGACGTATCCACACAGAGGTGCAATACCACCACACATCTGTGCGTGATGCTGGGTACCCAAACGGGTGTGTCCTTTGTGCTGGGGGGATACCCAAGCCCTGCCAGTCTGGTAGCCTGTGCTGAGCTCCTTTGCTCTCGTGAGTTTCATTCGACATCTCCTAAGCTTTGAGTTATTTCCCTATTAAGTGGCACAACTATAGAGTTCTAGATGCAAAAGAAGTCCCAAAAACCAGATCATATCTTCAAGCAATTGTTATATTTTGAAGTTTAATATGGGTGTGTAAAATGGCAGTGATTATAATATGGGTTATATGTTGTTCTCCTTTTTTTCTAATATCCTGATTAAACAAATTACAGCAAAGGAAGTTGTGCTGACGGCAGTTGAAGTGACGGAACAACTTATCAGAGTAGAATTCACCGAGGCCTTCGGGGACTTTGACCTGTATGTCCTGACCTACTCACCCAGAGATGGCATCACCACTTCACCCTTCTCCATCCCACGGAACTTGCCGCGATCACTGGACTTCAACCAGCTGACGCCTGGCCAAGAGTACACTATCCAACTGATGCTTAGAGATGGCAGTGATGACAAGGCCGGGCCTTTCACCCTCGTGCAAAGGACAAGTAAGTTGTTTCCACCCCTGTTGGTGTAGAAAGGGCAGAGCCTGTGGACACAGTTCACACATTCTCTGAACAGCGATGTAAAAGTGAGATGGCAAACATATATCTCTATGTTCTGGTACCCACACTGTAGCACCATGGATTTGTGCGCATTTTGATGAAAATTCCCTCTCTTATCCAAATGGATGTAAACCTGAACGTGCTGCATGTCACTGTATGCCCAGTGCACTGGAAAAACCAAGTTGTAGTGCATCATGGAAAGCATAACGTTGAGACATAGTTTTAATTTTAATAAAAATATCAAAACTTTAAAAAAGTATGATTCTTTTGTGGTGCAGAGCTTGGGTTATGTACACAATAAGTAACTGCTGGCAAGCTTGACACAGGTTTAGCTGTAAAAAGGAAACATGGAGCCAGCTGTAATTGTAAGGTTTCACAGTGACAGCTGAAAAATATTTTCTGTTGGTAAGAGTTTAATTATGGTACATGTGGGTCGTAAATGCCCTAATGATGATTATTCAAGAAGGCCATCTCTTCAACTACGTTTAGTCACAGGTTCAATGGCATTTAAAGGGTTGTTGTTTTATTTCTGCTTGTGAGCATGTTATATTTCACTGGCCAACTTACCTTGTGTCACCGATACCCTGCAGGGCCAGACCGAGTCATCCTTCAACTGGACAGTGTCACCTCCTCCGAGCTCAGTGTCTCATGGGACGAGGCCATAGGGGTCTTTGACCACTACACCCTGGTCCTGGAGCCTGCGGACACTGGCCTCCCCCGCACTCCGCTCAACGTTTTCCCAGTCGAAGACCGCCAGGTCACCTTCACAGGGCTGCTGTCCGCACGCCAGTACAACGTGACCATCTACACGGTCAGCGGAGATGTTAGAAGCTTGCCAAGCTCCGTCATCGCTAACACAGGTACAAAAAGAGGAACTCTTCACACCTGTCAAGTAAATAGTCATATAATTGAGACCTCTTTGTTCCATCGCAAGACCAGCAGAACTTTCAGGTCTGAAGAGGCTAATGTGCTGATGCAAACAAAGTTTGCCGGCAACAGAAGAGAGCTCTAATCAAGTCACAAGCTTTTCAAATGACTTTGCAACAAAAGCATTCTTGTGAAATGTTTCACCCTGTCACTGGTGGCCGGTCTTTGCTCTGGTCTTGTGACTATATCTGAGCTACAACACTGGCCACTGAGACTGATATGTTTGGCTTCAGGCAGTGACAGTAAATGTAAGACGTTTGGAATAATTTTCTCATATTTTCATCGGCCATGCAAAAGGGGATTGAAATCAATTTAAATTAAGTAAACTCACTGGCCCTTTTTTTACATAGAAATTGGCAAAAGGCTATCTTTGATATTGTGAAAAGAAAACTTGGTTATCAAGCAAAATTAATAACTTGGTATCAGAGAAATTTTTCTGTGGCATGCTTATGGAGGACTTGTACAAATGTTCTACCTTGACTCCGCGACGTGCCATAGCTAGTCATAAATAGCTGATCATGGCATTGCAATGGAGTGTTAAATCTCATACAGAGGGACTAATCTTGCATTTATGGCATTCACTGACCATGATATCTTGTTGTTTTTAAAATTCAGAATGTTATACCAAAATGATAATGTGTTGTTGGTCCATTGTAAATTAAACCGTGCAAGTGGTTACTTTTTGTTGGTTTTTATTATATCTAATGCACAATGTGGACATCACGATGTAAAATTTGAATTTGACACCTGCAGCCAACTGCATTAATTGTTTAGATCAATATCAGATGCAGTTGAGAGTATTTTACTTCCCCCCTCCTCTCCCCCTCTGCCATTCCCCCCCCCATACAGACCCATCTACCCCCGTCCTCACCAGCACTGATAGGGACGAGACCAGCGTGAACTTGGAGTGGTTCATCCCTGGTGGATCGGTGGTGGACCAGTTTGAAATCCGCCACCAGCCCACCGATGGCATGCCCCAGCCAATCCTCCTTCCCGGCCAGACAGTCCGGGCCACTCTGGAGAACCTGACACCCGGCCGCCGCTACGTCTTCTCCCTGGTAGCAGTGTCCAACATTGGCGGCCTGGTGGAGATACGCAGCATGCCAGCTGAGATCTCAGTCCAATTGTGTAAGTTGCATCTTCTCTTTTGTCTTCAGCTCATTTCGTTTCTTTCTTTTTTCCGTCTTCTCAGTTCACGAAAGTAGGCCAGTTCTAAAGTTTTCTCAGAACTCTTTTCAGTGAGCAAATATTGAGTTCACAATTTGAGCAGAAATCCCGTCGTCATGGACAGTATCTTCCTGGACAGTAATTTCATTTGTCAGCAAAAGCATTGCTGACTTTTAGCATTTAAAAAGTGCAGTCTTTTTCTTAAATCAACTAAAAGAGATGTCAAATAGATTTCATAATAAAAGAAGTAAAGATTTTCAAAAATTTTCTAAACAGTTATTGTCCGAGTCCTTTAACCTTTGGAATGCAGCACATCCTGAAATTAAAAACAACCTTTTTTGCTCACTTCTTTTCTCAATTTATACACAAAATGGACCTTGTTGAACTTGGCAGATCTGGTGAGGTTTTTGTTGACCATTTCCATTGTGAATACTGTCATCTGTTGATTACTTTAGGGTTTTCACTTTTATTTCTGGTTGTCAGTGCCAATGGCTCCAGCAGAAATCACTTACCAGGACACCACAGAGACATCCATCCGGATCCAGTGGCCTGGCGCGGTGGGTGAGGTGGACTACTACACGGTGGCCTTCAGCCCCTCGATGGCCCTGGCCCAGAGAGTAGAGGCAAATTCCCCCCGGGAGCTGGTGTACCAGGGGCTGGATGAGGCCAGCGAGTACACAGTGACCATCACCACCCACGTTTCTGCAATTAATGGGGACCTGGTCAGCTCGCCGGTCACCCGCATAGTCTACACACGTAAGTCCAGGACGGTTTTTCTTTTTGGAGCGTGCAGTTGCTCTTCAGCATGGCTTATCAATTTCTTTTTCAGTTTCACTCCTCCAACGCTCTTGATATTATGGTACTCAAGTCTTGTCCCTCATCCGAATTTCAAAACTTGTATGTTATATTGCTAGTGATGAGGACTTAAAAATGTTGTACTATTCAAATCCTTCTGCTTGTTAAGAGGAAATGTATTGGTGCAATCTTCAGTTTTCTGATTGCTGAAGATAAATGGTTGGACAGTTGCTTGAAATCGTCAACAATTTGTAAAGGAAATGTCGTATTATCCGGCCGTGCCGCCGGATAGGTTTCTGCGCCGCAAGTGCAAGGTTCTCACTGATACGACCGCGATTAACAGACGACGACACTGTCTCTGTTGTTTACTCTACAACTGACGGAATCTTTATAGAAGCTCTCCTCAATAAATAGGGTTAACAGACTGATTGGATGGTATATGGGTCGACAGGCCGACGGACGGACAGACCCCTGGATATGCTAACTTGGCTTCTCTCCTACTACTGGCTACATCTGCCTCAACACAATTCAACACAGATGCCACTTGAGCCCATATGGCTACTGTGTAGACTCGAGTGTCGGGCTGTTGACCAGTGGTCTGCTGGGTGGTGGTGCAGACTGAATTCTGACCCCGAAATAGGCCCTTAAATGCCTGTTATAGTCTCTTGATGGACATTTCCATCAAGACTATGATTGGTCACTTGCAAGTTTGACCAACCCTTCCTCAAAGTTTGATTTGCATATAAGCTTCCCCATTGGTCAAATCTTTGAAGGTTCATTGTGTAACTCTGCTAATCAGCAGGATCAGCAGATTTTCTCACAGGGTCCAACAACCTGCAACCTCCAATTTGATGAATCTCCCAAAGAATGAAAACCGGCATTCTGTTTCTAAAAATACTTGGTCAGGACTGTGGGAAAGTTCCCCTAAAACAATGGACTGGGTTAGGAAGTGAGGTAAACATCATGACCTCCACCATTGCATACCACAGATAGTTCCGTTTGGGTTGCATAAGGTTGGAAATTATCCCGGGAACGAGGGGAGCAGAATAAGAAACGTAAGATATTGAACCCACACAAATTATACATTTTTCCATTTCCTGACAGAAACAAGGCGAGTTAGCCAACCCATCATAGTTTCTTGGATTTCCTCAAATTTTTGTTTCTCGCCTCATCAGGGCCCTAGTATGAACTTGCTTAATTATCTTATTGCTATTGTATCCAGTTCCATATCCGCCTGGCCCACTGAGCATCGTCCAAGTAACTACGACAACCATCGAATTCCAGTGGCAGGATGCAACCGGCCCCCGGGATGGCTACGAGGTGACCTTCACCCCCAATGAGCCCGAATTTGTCCCCCAGTCGCCCTACTTCACAACGGGCACCACCATGTTGCTGACAAACATTAAGCCCCACGTGACCCTGGACTTTGCAGTCCGCACAAAAATAGGGGATGTGGTCAGCCGTGCTCAGGAGCTCAGACAGAGGACATTCCCAACCTGTGAGTTTTGCAATACTTTACAACTTTAGTATAATAGTCTTCTAAAAAGGTGCTGCACAAATAATAAATTATAATGTTCATTTTTCAAGTTTGTATGGTTTCGAAGCCATAAATAAATGTCTATATTCTCATCTCCAAAGTAATGTTTTCAAGTAAAGCAAGCTTCTCAGTATGGAACTGGTAGACAGTCTGGTATTGCTTAATTGCCAAATACAAGGTTTATTGGTAAGAATAGCATTGCAAACATGTGACCCAACTTTCAACTGAATGTGCACACACTCATTGCATTTTTGAGTGAAACTTAACATTGATATTGGGGCATGGTGATGTTGCTCTAACATTGACAAGCATTTTTTCATGCTGAGCCAAGCTTGCAGGCCAATCCAAGTGAAGGACACCTTGGATTTGTAAACGTTGGTTGGACCATATTCAATTGATGACAGTAACTTGGCTAGCTATTGATGACACTGTCATACTACAACTATAAAGGCTGAAGTGCAACATTGAGTGGTGGCCAACATCTTGTCATGGATCCTAATCAAGTAACTGAAGAATAAAGCAATGTTTGACTTGAATTCTCTTAAACAGTGCCTGGTCAAGTAAGAGACTTCGAAATCACCAGCTTCGACTCAGACAACATCCAGATTGCCTTCAAGGTACCTGAAGACCCCAATGGTCTCATCTTGGCCTACCTAGTGTCTGTCGAAGGAACCAAACCGGTACGTTCCTGAAGCCCTTTCAAATGATCCCTTAAGCAATGAAACCCTAGCTGATATCACCACAGGAATAGGTTTTTCTGACATGAAGGTGTAGTAGTATTCTGAATATTAAAAATGACTGAGTTTTTTGTAATTGGGACAGAAATATATTTGAAGTCGATTTTATTTTGAAAAATGATTACCCAAACTGACTTTACTTGTTCACTTTTTGTGTTTTGTGTAGCATTTTAGCGTTATTACTTAGCACAAAAATGTTTAGCATTTTCAGTGAGATACTGAGCTCACTTCTTTTTCAAATTAAATGTTACTGGATGCAACGTTTGATTTCCTACATTTTCTTTTAAAGCTTTCACCCTTCGTAAACCTTCCACAAAAATGGGATAAATGTTAAGTGCTGGACTTTTTTGGCAGCATGCAGACTGTCAACATTTGTGTCCTCAAAATTGTAGTTTGCAGATATACTGCTCAGTCATAAAATGGAAGATCCCACTTTTTTCAGGGTGAGCCAAGCGAGTCTGCCTTCCAGACCATCACGGCCCTTCCCAACGACATTCAGTTTGAAGAAGTCATCTCTCCTCTCAAGGCTGGCTTCACATACACTCTGTCGGTCAGTAGAACCCATGACAAAATGATAATAACATGTAATCTTTTCAATTCTGCAAGATCACAATTGTCATTCAGCCAGTTCTACATGCATGCCATATGAAGCTCACTCTGGGTTGCTGATTTATACACATTTTGCAGCAAGCACGCTAACAGAGCTGTTGTTTAAACCCAGTATCAAACCCTAGACTGAACAAGTCCCGTTTACTGTGGACAAGTGAAACTGAAGTCTGTGCATGTACATCCAATTCCTTGTCTTGGCTCGTGAATTATGCTGATGCACCCAACAGGACAGGGTCAGCCAATGAAGAAGTAACTGACTTGTCTGTCTCATCCTAATTCTGAGACGGGGCCAAGTATCTTGAAATCAAAACTGAGAAACTGCTTGTCCAAAATTTTGAACTGTCATTTAACATAGTGGAAATATATATTGCTTGGATGAGAGCAGTCAGGTTGTACAATCAGGTACCTGTTGAACCCTTGTGACGAAAGATGACGTTTGTGCACAGATGTCATTTTTTCCCCTGTAATGTGACACAGCAGAAGTCATCTTTCTTCTGTGGCCTTTTGGAAATTAAATGTATTGACCATTGCTGCTAACTACGGCTGAGTCCATTTTGGCATCAACAGATCGATGCGGCTTTGCTAACTTCTCACTTGCTGATTGAAAAATAAACATCAGACCTTCCCCTTTTATTTTGGTTTTGGTCAGATCCAAGCCACAAATACGGAGGGATCTGGTGAACCAGTGGTGCTTAATCCAGTCACACTGCCCATCAAAGGTAGGAAATGGTTAAAGTATCCGGGCTCTCTTGATTTCACCCTTTTTATTCTGGGAGGGGAACGTAGGACCTCAAGTTAGAACTCAGTTTGAGCTGTCTGCCTACATTCAGACCTTGAGTCAGTTTATGATGGCATTCGTTATATGTGAAACAATTTTAAATGTCTGTTAAATTCATAAACTTTTCATACCAAGTTTACGACTGACCACTGAGGGTATCACTTAAAGAGATTTTTTGCTTGAATAGTTCCTTCCTTGTTTCATTTATTCACTCTCATTGTTCAATAATGTATTTTCAGTTGTACCAGGAACACTAGACCAAATTTGGTTTTTACTTAACACCATTGCATTCAGAATGATATTGAAGCAGTTTCACTTAAATGACAATAATTGGCATGGAAATTTAAACATGTTACATTTAATTCCATATTTTATGCCACTTGCTCTTTCCTCAGTTATATAATGGCATTTATTACTTATGGTTCAATACCGGGATCAAACTGTTAGCTCCCTGTCCAGCTTTGATATCTCTAGCTTTGTGGCCAAATCAAAGTTTTCCTCTGTTTAGGGGCAAGAAATGGCCATTATTTTCACTTACAATGTCCCTTGGGTGTGTGTGTAGGTTCATGCATGACCATGCACGACTAATCTCTGTTAAGTCCTATTCATTGTGCACTAAGTTGACATTTTAGCCACAATAGCCTGTCTTCTGTGCCAAAGAGGGTTGTGCTTCTTGTCGGAGTGGATGGCGTAATATCTCTTTTTGTATTTCTCAACAGCACCGTACTTCAGTGGCCAGATTTTACCCAATGACCAATTCGTCCTGGCGGTCACTGCCTCCACCGTCACCATCCGCATTCCAAGGTCGCTATTCTCGGACCGGAATGGAGTCATCACTTTTTACACCATTCTTGTTGTGCAGGACGGAGGTAAAGTACACAAAAGAATGCAATTATTTAAAAAAGACTTGTAGAGAACACACATCCCCCTTCACTGAAAAATCATTCTAACCCACTCAGTGTGTATAAATGTAACTGTTTGAGTTAAATTCCTGTTTATCAAGAAATTCCATACAGGAGAGTTTCTGACATTTGAAACCCTGTTCTTTGAGTTTGACATGAAACATGTTTTGGGGTTGCTGTTTACAAATGCCAAAGTGTTGGTAGAGTGCTGGTTAGTCACTATATCAAACCACCAATTGAACTTAAGGAATAGTAGGGTCTAAAAATGCCAGTATTATGGCTTCAATCACTGGCGGTGGAGGTGGGAAGGCAGAGGTCAATGGCCTTCCCACTTTTTTGACCTTTGACATGCCCTCCCCCTACTTTTTGCAGGTCCTATAATGCAGTGGGGCTTAATAGATCGGTCTATTAATGGCTGATGTCTGATGTCTCACAACTGCTCCCCACTTGAAAATCATTCTACCACCATTTGCTTCAAACAAGGGAAATGGAAGACTGGAACTACTAGAAAGAATATGGCTTTTAAAATTGAGATGCTTTTTTCTTTTCTAAATCATTTGAAATTTGATGTATATATTTTTCAAGCATTGTATGCTATACATCCAATAGTTAGTCTATATGTCTGGCGTAAACCCTGGATTCTCTTCCATGCACCAGCCAATCAGACGGCAGGTGCTGTCCTTCCAAGCTACCAACAGGTTCGGAACAATGACGTCAAGCCCATCTACCAGTCCTCAGAGCCCCTGGACCTGTTCAATGTAGCCGGGCGAAGGCGTCGCCGGCAGGCTGTCACTCCCCAGAGTGTGGACTTTGTCGTTGGGGAGGAGTCCCCCTGCCCAAACTCCGGCTTCTGTAACGGTCCCCTGGACCCCATCACCCCTTACAGGTGGGTGGTTTTCTCTCGGCCAACTTGTGGTCTGTTTGTTTATGACCCTTTGCACACCCACAGGGGCCACTTCAATAATAGTAGGTGATTTCCATTAGTTTCCATGAGACTTTTCTGACCTCAGGATGCCTGTATGCGTATCAAAAAGTGATGCTGTGCAGGGCTGGAGATTGAACCCGAGTCAACCATGAAAGTTACTTGAATGCACCTAGTTAGAGTTAGATTTGTATTAATTCAATGCTGAGAAATCTCACTTTACAAGTTATCTTTATTTTATTATCTTTAATTGTCTGAAAACTGTAACTGTCAAAATTAAACAGAAAACACTGTGATCTTGAAAGATTCTGACAAAGGACTTTGATTTAAGATGAACTGCAGCTTAGATCAGTGCAAGAGAAATTTTGCTGCCCACACTATGAACACCTTGTCAAGAATCCCTTCATTTGTAAAATGATGTTTGCTTATCTTCTGGGCCTCTAAAGTTTCCTTAAGTTTAAACATTTGAGATGTTAGTGCTCATGCCTATTTTTAAATCTTTCAAATTTTCAGGATTGCGATTAGAGCCTTCACAGAGAATGGTCTTTACACAGACACCCCTTGGTCTGACGTTATCACAACAAGTAAGTGTGAATCATGGCTATTTAGTCTGGCACCCCCATCTAAACCACATCGTCCTCCTAAAAAGTAATTAGCCTGAAAGAAGACAATCAGAAAAATGTAGCATCAAACAATGAAACTGGCATTTCTGTGACAGAGGAATTATTGAAGTCCAACCAGAGCATAGAAAAATACCTATCTCTGACCCAAAATTTTCTCTCATTTTGATAGAAGTTAACATGGCAAAATGACTTCCTCAGGGACACTGAATACCAATTTTTCTCGGTAATGAATTATCAATCGGGCAAACATATTTCTTATATATTTGACCCAGTACATCGAGATCAGGAATAAGTCAGGAATGAGATATGTCCATGGTCAGAAAGAGAATTTCATAAGCTTTCAAATGGTACACATTACAAGTGTGTTGATGGTAACCTTTCATACACACATTTCCAAAATATACAGAAACCGCCACATCAATTTTTGCCACATTTTTACCCAAATCCCCACTTTACTCGGCCATTATGCAAAACGGCCTCAGCAACTTATTCCTGATTACGATATACCGGGTCACATATTATGCCTAGAAGGTTTACTTCACCTCAGGTATACACAGTAGATGAAATTTGTTGTGGAGGCTAATGGCCTGCATAATTATTGGCATATTGTAATATTTTGTTCCGTTTTGTTGTTCACAGCATTTGACCCCTGGGTGTTCGTCTATGTTCTCATCCCATTTGCCATCATCATCCTCATTATTGCTTTCATCATGTGTCTCTGCACCTGTCTGGTCAGTGACAGGAGGGACCCACCCCGGAAACAAGCCCCAAGGTAGGGACTATGATAACAAATGTCAACAGTGAATCGAGTATTTCATTACCATTTTCGCAAAAGCACAAATTGATAAAACTCTTCACCTATTTGAGTGGCTATTATTGAGGCAAACTCTGGCAGGTTGTATGGTTCTGACAGTGTTTATTGAAGTTATTTTGTCCAGATTTACTGTAATCAGCCGCACTACATTGATTCACATGCAAATTTTGTCTAAATTGTACTTTTAGAGTTTTTCATGAAGGGACAACTTAGTTTTGAAATATATAAAACAATTCCTCACCTACCATGCCTAAAGGCAACAGCAATTGTTTTGCTCATACATTTTTCTTCGTTTTAGATGTCACTAAGGGATCAAATTTAGGCAATGAAATAATCCTTAATCACGTACAAATGAAGAATTAGAAAGCACAGTTTCTGGCATATTATGGCAAACATCTCAGATCTGCTCTTTTGGGCAATCTGCTTCACTCTTGCAGTTTATCTCCACATATTCTCTGTTTTAAAAGTGACCAACTAAAATTATGATTGTCTTGAGAGTTTTGGAAAAGATAAGACAATTTGTCCAAACGTCACAACACTGGCAATTTGTCTGTATCTTCGAGTACACCCAGTGGACACTTTTTGCTTGTCTAAGGCTGATGCTTCATGACACTGCCTTGCACATAGTAAATCTGTGTCCACTTTGTTGAACAACCAAACCAATCAGCTAAAATCATCTAAAAATCAACTGAATAAGAAAGTGATCAACTAACGGCCAAAGCAATCTAAATTTATAACAGGAGAGCAGATAAACAACCTTTGGCAGACACACAGCTCAACGAGAATTCCAGTAACAACGTCAGCACTGCTGCCGCCTCCCCGGCACCCCTTGCCCCAGCCACCCCACCACCCAAGAGGAGCCCCACCTCCAGGTATGACCTAAAGATTTTGGTCCTTTCAAGTGTTGAAGTCGTCATGTGGGTAGCATGCTCTGTTTTCATCTTGGTCAAATGCATGCATGCACTTTGTGCTGGGATACAAATATGCACCAATTAAAAGAAATAATGTTCAGCGTGTACTGCTCTATCGATTTCAAGTTTACAAAATTTCAAATGTGTTTTCAGAATTGTTGGAAAGGTTTTTTCAATTAAACATTTTCTAAAGAAATCTTGTGTTGTCATTTAGCAGTGAAAATACTGCTCTTTTTAGTGTTACTCAGAACAGGAAATGCAGTGTTCCAACACAAGTCGAAAGATAGGCCCACTGGTCACAAAAAGGCATCTCTTGAAAAAACATTTGTACGTTAGAGTTCCGTGAAAAGTCTCCTTGAATATGCAGACCATCTTCTTTATGGCAAGTGGAGGCAAAATAAGAAACCCCTGATTATTTCCAATAAACAAAAGTAGTATAGCATTTGTATTGCTGCTTCTGTTCAAGGCCAATTGCTGTTGCAAAGTTTGGCCAGCATGTCAGCAAGATGTCTGCCAAGACTGGGGACAATTTTGCCAAGGAGTTTAAGGTAAGAGTGGAGAATACTTCAGAAAATTATCAGTTTTTTCCTCAAGAGCGTTCCTGTGATGCTCCATACACAAATTGTAATTCCAAAGGTCTGGGGGAAAGTTTTGTGGCTGTGTTTCCTTTCTGATTGTGGTGCAAAAGTGACATTCTGGTTCTTGATAAAATCCAAAAGCTGCTTACCATTACTAAGCATCTTCTTCCAAGTTATGCACCAACTTCATATACTTAAAGACTCACGCACATTGAAATGAAAAACAGTTACAGTTTTAGAGGTGGGAGGAAAACCCCTGAGATATATTCTGGGTAAAGCCGATGGAATCAGGTAGGAACTGAAAACCCAATCCACATGTGGACCGAGCCAGGATTCGAACCCAGACCGCAGAAATGAAAGGGGAGGAAAGAACCACTACGACAACCTAACTCCCCAGATTATATTGCCAACCACAGCAGAAAATGCTTAATGGCAACATTTCATGGCTGCTATGCTTAGCACAAAGATTGCATGGGCAAGCATAGAAATATCCATTGTTACATCACTGTGTTAAGCAAATTTCTCCTTTGGGATCAATATGCGTTTTGCTCTGCTTGCTGCTCACAATCACCGTGAAATATGCAGAGCCTCTGTTAGCATAAAATTATGTGCTAAGCAGGACCCTGAAATTAGGCCAAGTTCTGATATGACCGCACATTGTTACTACTCTTTATAGATCCTGTGGTTTAAGAGAGATCCCATGGTTGTGACTGACTCCCATGATAATGGTCCTGTATATGGCTTTTGTGTTTCTAACAGAACCCATAGTTCTAGGTAGCCCTTGAGTCTCTTGGAAGGTTCCATGGTTCAGAGTGGCTCTCATTCTGGATAGATCCCATGATTCCTGGTGGCAATTGAAGTTCCAAAAGTATTCCACGCTCTTATCATTCTGGACAGACTCTGAATTCTAGACAGATTCTGATTCTGGATGGCCCGTGTGGTTCTAGAAATATTCTATGGCATAAATTGATGGCTCCCGTGGTTGAAATTGGCAGTATGGTCATATTAATACTCTGTTGCAGGATTTGAATCTCATTGGTGAGACCCAGGCCAAAACAGCTGGGGCCCAGCCTGAGAATGAGGATAAGAACCGCTATGGCAACATTGTCCCATGTGAGTACTCATTGTCAATGTTCTTTAGCCACTCTGCAGGGCCTGACAAGCTTTTAATGTAATTGATAAGCCCTCTTGATTCTCACAGAAGTCTTAACATTTCAATACTGAAAGACTGCTTTCATTCCCCCAAATGTACTTATTTAATCGTGACAAAGTGGTTTTTGCTCTCAAGCTTATCCTATCAGAGCGTTTTTACTTTGACACACATGGCAGATATTTCTGTTGTTTGTTTTCATTGGCACACCAAATTTCAGTCGAACTCTTCAGTAGAATGAGCCTTCAATATGATTTTATTTTTTATTTTTTTCCCCTTTGCAGTCGACTTCAATCGTGTTATACTGAACAAAGACGAAGACTACATCAATGCCAGTTTCTTGTCGGTGAGTTGGTCAGTCATTTGCACAAAATTAGTCACTAATGAACATTTTTCTGGCCAATTTCACTTGATGGCATGTACACTCAACTCGCCCTAAAAAGCAAAACCAGCTTTTCAATTTCTGGAGGAAAACAATGACAGTGGTCCTGTAAATAAGAATTTAACCGAGGTGGCAGCAAGTCATTCTTTGCAAGTCCAAGTCAAGTCACAAGTCATTATTTGCAAGTCCAAATCAAGTCATTAATCATTTGGACTAAACTCAAGTCAATTCACAAGCCTCTTTGTCCAAGTACAAGGCAAGCTGCACATTATTTTGTCCAGTTGTAATAAGCTAAAGGGACCATGCGTCAACTTACAAAGGTACGAGTTATAAAAATTTATGGGGCCGGTCGAGTAGCATCTGACTTGGGTTCGTAACAAGTCATTTTTGCAAGTCCAAGTCAAGTCACAATTCAAAGCTGGTATTTACAAGTCAAGTCACAAGTCACAAAAATAGCGACTCGAGTCTGACTCGAGTCCAAGTCACATGACTCGAGTTAGCATCTCTGGAATTTAAGTTGTAGAAGAAAGTTTCAAATACATGAATATGTATACAATATCAAATTTGTTTGTGGAGCAGGAAAGTGGAGTGGTTCAACCTTCCAGTGTGCCTTATAATGTTCTTATCTGGATCCTACAGCCATGCAGTAAACACTGTTCTGCATAATCATTGCATCTCATTTCATTGCATCTCAATTCAACCAGGGACTAACCAATCAGGAACCTCATTTGTTTTTTGGTTCACAGTGAAACGTCTCTTACCTACCCTTCCTCCTTCAAATTAGTTGAACTAGTTGACTTATGTATCCACTTGTCTAGGGTTTCTCTGGCAACAATGAGTATATCGCCGCCCAGGGACCCCAGGCCAACTCAGTCAATGACTTCTGGCAGATGATCTGGGAGCAGAAGGTGCCGGTCATCGCCGTCATCGGGAGCTGTGTGGAGAACGAACGGGTGAGTCAAGGCAAAGTTGTGGGACAAGGTTTAAATAAAAAACTGAATTTGTCAGATGGTTGAAAAAAGAGTGGGAAAATTAAATGCAGGCATAATTTTTGTGATACGTGCATTGTGATTTCACTAAAAGGTTATGTAGAAAACGCATGAAACCATGCCAGCCACTAAAGTGGCTTCTCAAAACTTTAAAATTAACAGGTGGCCTTTCATAGATTTTGTGGAGGTGTGCAATGGTATGTTAAAGTCAGGCACCAATTACCATTAATGCTTCTCTCTCTGCCTCCTGCAGGTGAAGTTTGCTCAGTACTGGCCCTCAGACTCCACACCCATCACCTTTGGTGAGGTGACCGTGAACCGAGTCTCAGAGCGGGAGGACACGGACTTGGGCTACACTGTCCGGGATCTCTGCCTAGAATTGGTGAGTCGCTGGCGGGGGTGGGCCTGAACTTCGAACCCGTGCATGACAGCCGATATTCATTAACTTGATGCTGAAGTTGCTGTACACATTTGTCAGACATCTGCAGATGTCTGTTGACCGTGCACAGGCCGAAGGACTTGGTTACTGGAGTTTGTTTACTCGAGTTAATACGGGGGTTGACATTTCTCTTTGTGACCCTTCAGATCGATTCAGAAGGCCCTACTCACTAATGGGCCGTAACACTTCACATGCAAACACTGAAGTGCACTAAAATGATGTCGGAGAGCAAGGCTGAATGAAAAAACAAATCAGCTGCTTACAGAATGACGCACACTGCAGGCTCATTAACGATCATGAGGAAAGGTCATTCAGTGCTAAAAACAAAGTCACAACAGAGCATCCTTTCATCATTTATTGAGGGATATTTTGTTTCTTGTTGTTTTCTACATGCTTCTGCAAATCTGAACAGCCCCATACTTCCCCCTTATCAGTTTATCAATGATTACTTTTCAGTACATATGCATTATTTACATTATTTTCATTTTTCATAATTAAAAGTATTTCTTTTCTTTTGCATTTCTATTTGTTCAGTTTGCATTGCTGATGCAACAATTAGAAAAAGTGCTGTGTTACTGCACTAAAATTCCTGTGGCTGGATTGACATAGAAACCTATGACCTTATGACCTCTTCCCTGCACTCTACGACTGAGATATCCTTGCCTATTTTAGAGATCTTTTTGTTCAGTAGGTGTTCTTATAGGCACAGTCATAGCTATCAATAGTTTTCCATCATTTATCAAATAATCACTCATCAGGTCAAGTGATTTAATTGTCTGTTCTCTCTCAGGGATCTGAGGTGCGTACCTTGCGTCAGTACCAGTTCACTGCCTGGCCGGTCCACGGCGTGCCCAAGAAGTCAGAGCAGATGGTGCACTTCATACGCACCGTACGCTCCTATTTGCCAACGAACGCCGGGCCCCTTGTGGTGCATTGCGGGTAAGTCTCGCTAGATTTATTTGCAGAATGAGAACTCTTGGATGAAATTATCGCGACTGTCTAAGGCTGAGACATAAAATTAAGTGCCAATGATACACATATTCTGTGGATACTGAGTGTGATGACTAGAAAAAAATGTCTCTGTGGACATGCGCTCAATAGTTTGCAACATTCATATGATATTTTTCAGTTTCACTTCTGTCAGAAAAAAATTCATCAAAAAGTGATAACAAACAGTAATGCCTTTATTGATGAAAGGTTGTGAGGTTAGTTAAAACAAGAACGAGGATCTGTTTGATATATTTACTAGTGCATAGCAGAGATCAGAAAAATTGAAACGCTATTTTTGACAGAACAGAAATTAAATGAAAGAGGCTGGTTGAGTTGAAACTTTCAACATTAGATACTGTACCGTAAAACTCTTTGGAATTAAAGATTTTAGAAAGAGAAAATGAATCATATGGGTTAAGCCTGACCAACAGAATTCCTGAATATTAGTACATACTTCATGGGTTCCGCTTGCACAGACAAGCAAAGAATGGCTTAATATGAGAAACAGATTTGAGGAGATCACTAGGAGTTAGTGCAATGTTTTTCATAGCTTGCACAAGGGCCGTACACCCGTAATGAATTTGCATAGGCTGTGGTATAAATCTGACGTTTGACTTGTATATATCCCCTTCTCCTCCACCCCCCCATAACAGTGCTGGTATTGGCCGCACTGGGGTCTTCATTACCCTGGATATCCTGATCCAGCAGCTAGCTTTGGATGAGGAGTACATCGACGTGTTTGGCACCCTGGCTGCCAAGCGACAGGAGAGAACCAACATGGTGCAGACAGAGGTGAGGCCAACAAAATAAAAATTCCCCTTTCGAGGATATTGCTCTTAATGCTTGAATCAATCATTTTGAGCCCATTTTGAGTTGTCGCAGGGAAAGGGAGACATTTTAAAGCACTGCGCCAGTATCATTTACCAACAGTACAGGCCATGACACTGAGCTCAGTCCATATCAATCAGTGATCACTTGTCAACTATTTATCACTTCTGCCTGGTACCAGGATATTCATTTAGTGAATAGGTCACCAGGGAAAGTGGACCAGTGGCCAGTGAATGGTTGTTGATTGGACTTTCCCTAGAGTGTGTTTAGTCGCATGATTCTTGGAAATCGACACTTTCTTCATCACCGACTTTTTCAAAGTTAATATTATATTTCTGTTTTGAATTTTTATTGGTCCAACTCTGCTTTAATTTAAGAAACTTACACTTTGTCTGCTGATTAGCTGTAGAAAGTTCTCAGTTGTTGATTTGCCAAAGCATGTAAGCAACTCGAAGTAAACTAGAAAAGCTGGTTGGTAATCTACTCTTGGTTTTCTGAGTTTCTTTCGACATCACGCATTTTATCTTTCTCTCTTCAGCTCCAGTATGAGTTTGTACACAAGGCACTGCTAGCCACACTGGAGGGCCATGCGAAGTCCAAACGCCGTAAGTTGAATATGTTTTCCAGCTCACACTTTAGCTAAGTAACAAAGCTGAGCAAGGTAACTTTTTCTACCCCGGCCCATCACCTAAGCTGTTTTCCTTAATTTGAATGAAAAGTACAGTTTTGAGCTTGAATAACTAACCTGAAAGACTTTGTGGTTTCTGTCACCACAGACTTGCCAAATGGTCGTCACAAATCATCAAAACTACATCAGATTGTAATGTTATAGTAGGAAGCTAAACCTTGAAGTCACAGATTCCCAGTCCGTGCTTGTGCAAGATATAAATAACAGTAGGAGAAAAAAATGTTGATTTATGCATATTTACAGTTTTTTGCATTGCATCTTGGGTAAACAAGGCATGATTTACCTGGCAACATTTTCACACGCTGCTTTATGTTCACACATTCTGATAAGATTGGGATATACATTTAAATTCCCCTTTCCAATGATAGCAAAGCCATTTTTTTAAATGGACCTCGCTTTGTTTTCACAGGTGCCAGCATTGACAGTGACCAGCGTATTGAGAACATTATAGCAGAGGAGTCGCTGTAAACCACAATGCACCCCGCTGTCACTTTGTGTCAAATACTAGTTTAGCTGACCTCCGTTATGGGATAACATGTCCAGAATAGTTCATCTGTTGACTGTTCATTATACTTTGTTAATCTTTTGGGAGAAAAATATTTTGTTGAATTTGGGAATATACCTGTCACATTATAAATAAAGAAGATTGTCTTCGGGAAATAAAAGTGACTTTTGCATGAAATGTAACCAACTGTGCTGTAGTATGTCTAAAGAACAAACAATAATACACGGAAAGTAAGAAAAATAGATCCAAGAAGAGCATAGGCTGACAGGCAATGCAATGATTTGTTGCTGTTGTGTGCATTTTTGTGTATGATGGACTGGTAATGCTATAGAATTTCACAGATCTCTGACATAAGTAAACATTTTTGTTTCTATTCAGAAAAAGCAAGTAAAACTTGCATAACTGGTTTTTGTTTGCATTTTTGTAAAGTGTTAAGCCAAAAAACTTTGAGTACTCAGAAAACAGTAACTGGACCCTCCTTTTTATGGAGATTTTGGTTGAAAGAGAGGTCAGAATAAATGTATTTTTGGATCTGTTGAGGAAAGAAATTGTAAGTTTTTTAACAGTGCAGGGATCTTTTTGTTTTTACTGAGCACCATGTTGCTAGGATAAATGTTTCCTTGGTAATGTCCACAATCATTTTGAGAAGTATGCGATGCTTGGTGCAAAAGATTTTGTAGCGACATTCAGAGAAGAAAAAAACAGTATGTCTTGTTTGTACCACGTTACAAATGACTATTTGTTTTCTGTTGTATTTATTGACAAATGTTAAGTTTTTCAATGCGTTTATGTATACTTGTAATTGTTATGTAGTAAAATGAAGGTAAAAGTCTGGATTTTTTTCACGAATGATTTTTTTCTATGGTGAATTTATCAGGGTAGTGTTCGTAAACATTGATGTATAAGTAGCCTTTCTAAACATTTATATTTTTATGCATGATTTTTACATATCCTTATACATTTTCCCAGTTTTTGTATTTCGAATGGAATGAACAAGTACTATTTTTAAACGACTTTAAAGGGATTTATCTTTGAAAAGGATGTAAAGTGGGGTAATTATTGCTAAAGTTAAAGTTGCTCTGTGCCTGCAAAAGAACATGTCAAAGAGTGCCTCAAGAGACTTCATGGGTGGAAATAAAGTTTCTTCACTGACGTTTAAAGTGAGTGCGAAGCGGACAAAAATGCTGCATAAAATTGTGCACTTGCTGATCTGTTAAGTTGTGGATGGAAATTAATTTGATTATGTGATCATTTATGATTGTGGGATGACACCGTCTTAGTAACAGCATTGTGGGGACGGTCATTCCGATAAATATTTGGGCAAAACCTGAAACAATAGAGGCGGGCTAATGGAGTTGATGCTAATGGTTTATTAGCAGCACCTGCCCTTATACTAATGATGATGTTTGGTTTTCATTCATTCAAATTATTTTGCTCCATTCATATCAAGTTACAATAATTGTGCAGGTTTGATTCAGCTGTTCGTATTCATTGTTAATTTACTCTATAGAGTACCTAATTTAACCTCTCCTTTCATCTTGGCCATGAAGAGTTTCATATAAGAAATCATCATTTTCGAAATAGATATGAGTTGATTTTTATCTAAAGATGAGGATTTGTTGGTTGGATGTACATAGCCACACCTCATGATGGTAGTACACCCTAACCACTCCAAGGTATAGCTACAATTTTTATGAATCAGTGTATGATATACTGGTCCTTGCAGCCACTCATGTCCTTGAATACTGTCATTTCTTGGCCAGTTTTCAAAATCTCGAGTTGACAATCCCTGAAAGTCTTTGTTTCACCATTCCCTGCCTCTTATTGTGTAACTTTTCTGAGCTAGTCGTAGAATCTTTTTAAACATTTTGTGTAAAAGCCATTGCTCCTGCATCGCCTATCACCCAGAGTGAAATATCAGAATGTTTTAATCTGAACCAGCCTGACCTTTGAAGCGTTGTTTGTAGTGACCTACTAGAGATGATGACCTGTGTGTCACTCCCCCCCCCCCCTTGACCGCATTGTGCATCAGCTCTTATCACATCTCATGGAAACCAGAAAAGGGAATATGTGCAGTTACTTTGGCAGCATTTTCTGCAGCAGATTTGTCATGTGACTGTACAAGATGCATGTACCTTGTTTCATTGGTTGCCTAGTCACGTGCCATTCCAGTTGCTTGACGTGCAACTCCTTTCAAAGGTTGGTCTGAATTGGCTGGACTAACGGATCTCAACCTTTTCATCGTGCAGATTTCAAAAGTGATCAATTTGAGGTTTTTTTTTAACTAGTATTATATCAGTACTGTGTGGAGGGATACATTTTTAATTAAGCCAAGGCTTAGTTCTCACTGGAATGAATATATATATAAATATATGAAATAAAATGTGTTATATTAATAAGTGCATTCAAAGACATGTGCATATTAATTTTGTGTATGAATTATTCAGAGAATGAAATTCACCTGTCATTTTTGTTTTCAGGACATACTAAAATTATTTTCTACATCTTCATTATAAGGGACAGTCATATTTTTTGTAGAACAGAATTTTTCTAGCTTGTTTCATGTTTAAATTGCTGATGGACCCTGGTCATTCTTTCAGTCGGCTGTCAAGCAGGAAACGTACCCAGTAAATTTATGTACCCAGCCAAAAATTAAGAAAGAATCTTGGAAGGCCACTGCATGTCTTTGGTATATTTGTGGCTGGGAGGCTGGATATCTGGTTCATAAGTGACTTCGTCACAAAGGCGGACACGCGATGATTTGCAGGCTCTCATTGGACAATCGCTGAAGTTGCATGTTAACTTCCGGTTCCATGGTTCCATGTAAAGGGCGATCAATGCATGTAACCCTATGTGCTTGCACGTGTGCAATAGGTGTGGTTTAAACTGAAGTGACGTCACACTTATGAACTGGATAGTGAAGCAAAATTGTCTCTGTATGCTTAGCACAAATGACTTGTCACAATTTAATCAAATGACACTATCATACAGACCATTCCCAGTTCAACACCACTCCAAATGTTTTCAAAATGTTTGTGTAGAACATGTGCCTTGATTTTTCGTTCTATTTGTCCAGCTTTACTTATAACCTAAAACTTCATACTTAACTCGCTCACACACACCATAAGTTTAGACATCAGCTTTGGACTATCTCTGTAATCAAGGCAGAGGTAGGTTATAGTGAACATGGGTTGTCCATCATAAGAGCTGTCAAGTTGTAAGTCAAAAATACACGAAAGCCGATAAAGTTTGAAACGACAGTTTTTCTGTTCAATGTCTACAAGCCAACTTTTACTGTTTGAAATATCATTTTACAAATTTAATTGAAATGAGAATATCTTTGGGCTTTTTTGATATCAGTTTCAAACTCTTTCTCCAAAAACACTGAAACATGTCAAAGGCACCTGTACTGAAGTACTGTATGTTTGTTAACAATTAATTATTCTATAACTTATTAATTATGCTTACTTATTTTTGAATATTAATGATATAGGAGCCTATGACCTAATGGTTAGGCTTTGTGAGTCCTCATCACAGGGTTGGAATCTTGTGATGGAGCATACATTGTGAGCTTGGTTGGCTAATGGCTAGGGTTTGTGAGTCCTCACTATAGGGTTGGGGTTGGAATCTT